CCGGCTTCAGTGGAGCAGACACTACTTGCGCTGGTGATCGATGAATCACTTTTCCATATGTTCTGGAGAGGATCGGTTTTGTTGTTTTTTGCTGTTTTTATTGTTTTTATTTTTTTATTTAATTATTTATTTTATTTATTTATTTATTTATTTATTTATTTATTTATTTTTTATTTATTTATTTATTTATTTATTTATTTATTTATTTATTTATTTATTTATTTATTTATTTATTTATTTATTTATTTATTTATTTATTTATTTATTTTTTATTTATTTATTTTTTAATTTTTTTTTTATTTTTTTTTTATTTTTTTTTTGGGGCGACGCTGGGACGACATAAGAGCTGCAGCAAGCAAGGCAAGTCCTCAGTGAGGCGAAGGTGCCAGGACTGCATCAATGCACAAGGCGGCCACACCTCCTTGTAAACCCAAACATGTATTGTGATTAATCTGCAAATGCCAAATACGCTGTTCTTTAGGACTTGTGATCGTTACCGCACCTTAAAAGACATTCTCTTTCCATGTAATAACATTTTAGCAAAGGTTTTTATACTGGTTCTGTTTGTTGTTTGTATGTAAACGACTTTTGTTTTTGAGCATATAATGCTAACTATTGTTTCAGCCTTAGTTGTGAAACCAGATTTATTGTTTAAACAAATGAAAATCATTATGCTAAATATGTTTGTTTTTCGAAATCACATGTGAGATATTTTTTGTGTGGGGGTGTGTGGGGTGGAGGTGTTATGGTTTTGGTGTTTTGTATTGTTTTTCTATTTTTTAGCGTTTAATGGTTAATTTGTTGCTGACACGTTTATCCGACTCTGTTGTCTAGGCCGCTATGGTGAATTTTCAATGGCCCACACTTAGTGACAGGACAACCGTGCTTGACTCCGAGGCATTTGGAAACTATGATACAGATATATGGTCCAATCAGAGCGGTGAGTCATGTCATTAATTTCAGGAAATCATGCTTAACATCACAAATTTATTTTTGGTATAAATTGTAATAACGTGTTTTTCTCTTGTTGTTTCATTGTAGATAGAAATAGCAAAAATCATAATCTTCCATTAAAATCCGGGCTGGGCATATATTTGTAGAACCTTTCTTTAAATTGACTTTGTACGCTCGGTAAAACAACCTTATTCCGCATGTGAAAATATGAAACCATTGATTCAGTTACTGAGAAAGTGTAATCCCCAAAACAACATATGTTACATTTGATCACTTTCTAAATGGCATTGTGTATTCATTGGACCTTTTTGTTGCAATTCACACATTACATGTAGGCTTTCCAATAATATATACAGTGTTTTGCTGTAGGTAAACATTGCAACCATTACAAATGGCATAAATTCAAAATATGTCTTCGTTTGGCTTTAATTTATTTTCTGCACCTAGGTACCATTTAATAACATTATCTTCAAATACGCCAACGCAAAGTAAGCATTTAATTATTGCCGGGTATTGATATGTTTAATTTTTATATTCGGTCTTTCTAAACAAATTGTCTCTGTCTGACTTTATTGATTTTCGACAAATTATGAACATATTTCTGCCAATTTTTCTACATTTTTGGAACCAATAATAATCATAACAATTCTCAAGTATGTGTTGTTTTTGTCCAGGTGTGGCATCCTCTGATGATCCCAAATCGCAACATCTCCTCAACGCCCATAAGGCAAACCAAGCGAAAATTGTAAATATATTAATATACATAAATAATAACACTTGGTGTTTTTTTATATAATAATGGTAACATTTTGTTATTGTGTATTCCTTTAATGAAAATGTTTTAGAAACGTTTTAGATTTCACTTTGTCGTCTTTTGCTGGAATTTTATACATTATAAATGGAATTCTATTCTCCAATCGGAATTTTGAGTCTAAAATTAGAATTGGTGATATTTTATCATAGATATCTATTGAGTGTTGTAAATAATAATAATCATCTATAACTCGCATTCAATAATAAGATTCTTCATATTAGTTATGAATTAAAGGTTACAGATTAAATAACGGATGAATGAGACAACATTAAGTCAGGCAAGGTATCATTGGGCTGGCATTATTTATGCGGCTTACGTTCGGACCAGTGCAATTCGTTCATTATTCATTCATTCATTCATTCTTTCATTTGGGAATGAGACAAAACATCACCTAAGTCAGGCAAGGTATCATGCTTGGGCTGGCATTATTTATGCGGCTTACGTTCGGACCAGTGCAATTCGTTCATCATTCATTCATTCATTCATTCATTTCATTCGGGAATGAGACAAAACATCACCTAAGTCAGGCAAGGTATCATGCTTGGGCTGGCATTATTTATACGGCATACGTTCGGACCAGTAAAGTTCGTTCATTCATTCATTCATTCATTCATTCATTGTGACACATCAATGATTCAGATAAAGAAAACATGTGGGTTATTTCAAACCTAATACTCACATGAATGTGCTTTGTGCCGATTCTACTTACTGTCGTTATACATTTCATCCCATCTACGTATGTTTGTTGCAAAACAGGCGTCCGAAATCGCGGATATGGCTAATGAGGCGGTACAGCTTGCTACCAAGACTCTCGCCCAGACCGTGGCCCCTGGGGAAACCCTACAATTCACCACACCAGCTGCCTCGGGACTCATCGGGCATATGGATGCTGGAGACATGGACTTCGGTATGCAGCTAACCCTGTCTGATACCACCACATCTCTCTCCATCCCTGACGGCAGCGTCTTCGGTAACAGCCTCGGCTCAAGCGACACCGCCATCATATCTGTGAGTTATCTGGATAAGTGCCACTTTTCAAATTGTGTGATGTTTAACGCCTCGTCCAACAGGTTTCTAGCTATACGAAGGGAAACTGTAAATAATCAGGTATCGACCAGACAATCCAGTGGTTGACATAATGAGCATCGATCTACGCAATTGGATACGACGACATGCACAGCCAACGAGATTAACCACCCGATCCCGTTAGTCGCCTCTTACAATAAGCATGGGTTGCTGAAAACCAATTCTAGTAATTTGTTGTTAAAAATGCCCGCTCATTTTATTGGGGTCGACGGGGTAGCCTAGTGGTTAAAGCGTTCGCTCGTCACGCCAAAGACCCCGGTTCGATTCACCACATGGGTACAATGTGTGAAGCCCATTTCTGGTATCCCCCGCCGTGATATTGCTGGAATATTGCTAAACGCGGCGTAAAACGTACTGACTCACTCCTGCAAACGTGTTATGAGCGTGTCCAGTCCAGACACGAAAGTTTCAAATTAATATTATTTTTATCACTATCACTCACTCACTAATTCATTCATTTTATTGACAGTATATTTTGGCAGGTGTTTATTAATCATTTTCATTCCAGGCGATGGCAACCAAGATGGATGTGAACTCCTTTGTGGACTCTGGCATGAATCTCGGAGCGGGGACACAGTTCCTGAATGTGGACATGATGGACGGGTTCGGTAACCCTATGGAGATCAAGGACACCCCAGAACCACTGAGGATCACCATTGCCAGAACCCCAAAGTACCCCAAAATGTCGTTCAAGGACACAAAGCTCAAGATTGCTGACTGGAACGACATGTCATACACACAGCTGAACATCACGAGAGAGGCTTCTTCAATACACCTGAACATAAAAGAACTGGCGGAAAAAGATATCCAGATCATGGTTATCTTGAAGAAGGGGGAGGTGCCAAAAATCAGCGCTGACAAATGTGATAAAGTTATGTTCCTCCCGACATCGCTGGACTACTGTGAGAATTCTTTTCATTTTATGTATCCTAGCTGTTAAAGCGTTGGCTCGTCATGCTGAACTCCCGGGTTCGATTTCCCACATGGGTACAATGCGTGAAGCCTATTTCAGGTGTCCCCCGCCGTGATATTGCTGGAATATTGCTAAAAGCCGTATAAAAGTAAACTCACTCACTCACTCATTTTATGTACTTCAGTTAGAGTTAGAATGTCTCTTTGCTTGTTATAGCGCACTCAGCAATATTATAGCTAAATGTTAACTGATCACCACCTGTAAATGGTAGGGTCTGGACAAACCAGTGATCGATATTCTGATCAACATCCATCGCCGACGGGATATGATAACACCCAGTGAACCAAAGTATCAACTCGTCCTAAGCAACCACCTCTAACATAAAAGATGGCTTTCTGGGAATATATTGCAGTAAGCTGGATGGGATGTTGGGATGAGGAGGATGGGAAAAGCTGTAGAATTACATGAATTACAAAATAATTAAGGCATAATAAAAAAGAGAAAGTGTTTTGTGTGATATTCCAAGACTTAACGTTCGGGAGGTACGTCACCACGTGTTGTTCCCGTAGGATTACACTAAAATCATCATAGCATCTTGAATATAAGCATTGCACATAGTAACCGACCATTGATTAGATAGAGCGAACTTGAAATTCAAAATATTGTTCAGTTGATGCTATCTAATACCATACGTAGATGAAGGATAATTTGAATTTTGTATTATGTCTTTTACGAGTGCTCCAATGACATCATAAAATGAGGGGCGGTGGGGTAGCCTAATGGTTAAAGCGTTGGCTCGTCACGCCGAAGACCCGGGTTCGAATCCCCACATGGGTACAATGTGTGAAGCCCCTTTCTGGTGTCCCCCGCCGTGATGTTGCTGGAATATTGCTAAAAGCGACGTAAAACCAAACTCAGTCAGTAGGCAGTCATAAAATGAATGTGGATGTTTAACGAATACAGATGCATAAGTGAGTTTAGTTTTACGCCGCTTTTAGCAATATTCCAGCAATATCGAACCGGGGGACACCAGAAATGGGCTTCACACATTGTACCCATGTGGGGAATCGATCCCGGGTGCTCGCCTGACAAGCGAACGCTTTAACCAATAGGCTACCCGACCGCTCTTAACGAATACTAACGCGATTTCATAGGGAAATAGACAATTCAGTTACTGATTACAGCTCCTAATGTCAACATACATGTAATTTTTCCTTCCAATTCCAGCTAAGCAGGTGACTGGCCGGATGAGATTTTTCATGGACAACGAAGAGGTGAACAATTACAAAGGCCCAGCGTGGTTTGGATTCAGGGCTATGCCGAAAGGGTTTGACACGAGCAAGATTAAAACGTGCGCGGATCTTGACAACGTGGACGTCCCAAAGAGCCAAACCAACAACGACCTAAACCTCGGCATCTACACCTACACAAGCGGCTGCTACTTCTTTGACCACGACAAGAGAGACTGGGCGTCTGAAGGGTGCAAGGTAGGGAACTGCATGTGTTGGAAAATTTTGAAGTCTTTGTTATACGAGTAATAGTTTTGCGGATAATAGTTTTGTAAACATAAGACAGCACTCTTTGTTGTCAATTATGTGCCTCAAACTGCACGGGATACACGTGAAATGTACCGATCATCATGATGCCCATGCATCCAAGCTCCGTCCGCGTTACAATACAGATGCGCCAACTACTATACCAAGTTGACTTTAACAATGCACGATCCAAGAATCTTTGCGTCACCATATGGCTGCAATATTGCCGATGTGACGCTGAATATTAACTCACTCAGTCACTCCAAGGATCTTTGGTTTGATATCAGTACCAGTCATGCCAGATAAGTCTAATTGGTAACATAGACCCATGGACGCACATGTAGGGAGAAGGGTATGAATGTTGTTGTTGTTGTTGTTTAATTGTTTAATGATGTTCGTTTCATTTTTCTTTTTTAATTTTGTATATATATATATATATTTTTTTTATTTTTTGGGGGTCTAATATTTGTTATGTTTTCCTCTTCAAAGATACATTTTGTCACTTTATAGTTTTAGGTAACATAATGTAACAACATTTTACCTATTTATATAATTTCTACTGTATAGGGTTAAACAAAAATGTTCAGTAAATAATGGCTGATGTCACCTCACGACTTTTGCGTTCCGCCAAACTTTGAAATAATCCCCTTGAGAATAGGTTGCATTCATTTCAAACGTGAAAAAATGGCAAACAAGTGTCCATTCAAGAAATATAATAGATCGTTTAAACTATAGGGTGACCTCACAAATAGATGTATGTAAACCACAATTTATTTATTTAAAGTAGCGTATTTTTATTTATTGGCAATAAGTAAAGTGTTCATTTTCGTAATGTACCAAAAGAACATAAAATGCACAGATGCTGGGGTTTTTTTATTCTTTGTCCATTGAGGCGGTGAAGTGTGTGTGTGTGTGTGTGTGTGTGTGCGCGCGCGTGTGCGTGTGTGCGTGCGTGCGCGCGCATTAGTGTTCAGGGAGTTATTGACAGACAGACAGACAAATTTATTCAGTATAAGGCCCTTTGGCCCAAAATACAGACAATATAGGGTTACAAAATATCCCTGCGCATAATACATATTTACATACATTCCATAGCATAAAATAGTACAAATGCATGATATGAATATATTATATATTACCTTGCCTTATTTGTTGTGCTTTAAATAAAAAGATTGAAGTGTTATGCAAAATATCATAATTATGAGAAGCGATTATAGAAATAAAGTGTATTACGGAAAAAACTATAAGCTTCACAGATTAGAAGTACATGATATTCATTTTCAATAAAATACTTTTTTGGGGATAAACAGAGAGGACAGTCTTTCTTCATATGGTGTAGCTTGATGTCTTCCAGTGTTGACAGCTATTCTAAAGTTACTGCATCTGAAGCGTGATCAGATCCTTTTTAAGCGAGATGGAAGTGATGAGTTCAGATAGTATTCAACAGTTATTGAAAGCTTAGCATATCCACTCCACAGGTTGGCCCAGAGACGACCTATACTGAAACTGAATGCTACTGTAATCACTTGACAACGTTTGGAGGCGGATGGTCCGTGGCTCCAAACACAATCGACTGGAACTTCGTTTTCTCACACGCTGATTTCATGAAGAACCCAACCGTCTACGTCACTGAAATCGTCATCACCGTCGTCTACCTGCTCGCCATCCTTTGGGCCAGAAGAAGAGACAGGAGGGACCTGGAAACGGTGAGCTAACACGAAGTTTAAACATTTCTCTGAAGAATACTTCATATACTTCTTGGACCGCCTCCGTGGTGTAGTGGTTAGACTGACTGACTGAGTTTAGTTTTACGCCGCTTTTAGCAATATTCCAGCAATATCACGGCGGGGGACACCACAAATGGGCTTAACACATTGTGCCCATGTGGGAAATCGAACCCGGGCCTTCGGCGTGACGATCCAACGCTTTAACCACTAGGCTACCCCACCGCCCTTTGTAGTGGTTAGAGCGTCCGCCCGGAGAGCGGAAGGTCGCGGGTTCGATCCCCAACCGCGTCATACCAAAAAGACGTTAAAATATGGTACTTGTTGGTCCCTGCCTGGCGCTCGGCATTAATGGGTACAACAAGGACTGGTCGGCTCGGAGTCAGTATAATGTGTCTGAGTGGGGTATTCATGCTTCACTGCGGCATGGTATCTCAGTGGGCTAGCACTATAAAACCAGCTTCAGTCTGGGCTAGTACAAGCAGCCGCACATACACATGCATGCACGTCGTCATATGAGCGAAATATTCTCAAGCACGACCTAAAACCCAATTTCATCTCATCTCATATACTTCTTGGATTACGATTCAGAGAAAATTCAACATTAGGTAGGTCGTGCACGTTGACACTGGTAGCACCCACATGTATTGTTAGGGAGCTTTACCAAAGATTTATTATATGACAGAATCACAGAATCAGTCGTACAAGCAGATCTTGTCATGGCCAATGGACGCAACCCTGCTAATTAAAGCTACTTGCGCTTTTGGACCAATGATATTCAGGGAAGAATGTGAAATAATAATCATTAAATATATCATAAACACCTGTTATTATATGATGGGCTTTAGTTCTTTATAATAAAGATATCATTAAGTTATTTTTAAACTAGCATTAACTACAACTTTCTTTCTACCATGTTTTAGCTTGGTGTTACTCCCCTGAAGGACAACGACCCCCAAGACAAATACTATTATGAAATTGTGTGCGTAACGGGCATTCGGAGGAATGCTGGAACAGATTCTAAGGTAACGTATTTCATTTGCTTCCGAAATATACAACTAAAAAGTTAAGTACCACACGGTTCTTTATTAATTCTATATTGCATCTTATAAACTATGAAAGAATCGAGTAACCGTTAACTTTTTTTCAAGTGGTAGTAAATCGATTACGCCATTGAATGAAACCGTCACACAATTATTTAATCCAGTACGAGTATTATTAGTAGGTATTTAAATGTACGATATAATGTTCAAATATCATTAAACTCAAGAATGAAACTAAAGAAAGGAAAGAATCAAAATGTACCCTTTTCTATGCACTGTCGGATACGATTGCGGAATAAAATATGTCGATGTATTTTCAGGTATTCATTATTCTGTCCGGCGAAAATGAGGAGACAGATGTGCGTCTGCTGAATGATGACAAGCGCAGTGTCTTCCGTCGAGGTGGCGTGGATGCCTTCCTAATGGCTGTGTCCGAGTAAGGTTTCTTGACTCCTGCAATGCTTTACATTTGTATCTCATATCGGTGACTCGTAAATGGTAAGGAATGATAGTGAAGGTCCTTAAGATTTCGAATTGATATCACCGTGACACGTTGCTTGTGCTACCAGACTTTATCCTTATTGTTTGAATGGCAAATGTACTAAGTCTTGCATATTTTTGAGAGAGAGAGAGAGAGAGAGAGAGAGAGAGAGAGAGAGAGAGAGAGAGAGAGAGAGAGAGAGAGAGAGAGAGAGAGAGAGAGAGAGAGAGAGAGAGAGAGAGAGAGAGAGAGAGAGAGAGAGAGAGAGATTTTCAAGTAGTTGTTTCTGTGGAATGTTATATAATGAGAAAGTAACCTACTTTTAGACCATTGGGATCTCTGAATTACGCCCGTGTGTGGCATGACAACTCAGGCAAGGGAAGTTCGGGTCGTGGTACCTCAAGTACCTCATTGTCAGAGATGTGCAGACCGAACAGAAGTTTGTCTTCATCTGTAACAGGTGGTTTGCTGTTGAGGAGGACGATGGACAGGTGTGTTAATGAAGTATAATTTACGCCAACGACATTTAATACCTAAAGGGCAATGTGTGTCCGTACTATTTCCTGCAATATTCTTACCTAAAGCTAAAACTGTTTTTGATGGTTGCGTGACTCCAGGTCGACCGCGTGATCCCTGTTTCTGGCCTAGCCCAGATGACGGAGTTCAGCCACCTGTTCTCGGAGAGAACCAGGAAGAACCTTGTAGATGGTCACCTCTGGTTCTCCGTTGTCGCCCGACCCCCACAAAGTCGCTTCACCCGTGTCCAGAGAGTGTCCTGCTGCCTGTGCCTCCTGTACGCTACTATGCTGGCAAACGCTATGTTCTATAAAAAGTCTGAAGATGAAGCAGGAACTTCTTTCACGTTTGGCCCCTTTGCTTTGAGTCCACAACAGGTAAACACATAATAATATTTCTCTTTGCACGAGTATATCTGAATCATCAAAACTAATCGAAATTCTAAATCGCATCTTGCGTACAGTTTCATTTTTTAAGGAAATGGTCCAAATTCAGGCTGCCAGTGAACGTGGAAAATTGTAACCGCCATGTAATAAGAGAAGGCCTGCTGAGAATGTTGAATAAGTTATGGCATTAGTAAAGTTCATGGTAGTCATGTGAAGTGTGCTGCACGATGAGAGCTTAGGAGTACCATTTTATACATTGGATTCGCAAACTATTGCCGAGGGTCCAATGGAACGGGCATTGTGGGCCCAGTTGAGTATCTTTTATTAACACGTACAAGATTGCATCAAATCTCATTTTCAGGTGAGTAGTGGACTATGTGTTTACTTTTACTTGAATTCTGTTCGCAGATCTATATTGGCATTATATCCAACCTGATCGTCTTTCCCGCAAACTTCGTTGTCATCATGATGTTCCGGAAGTCTCGAGCGAGACGAAAGCGTCCATCTCGTCTTGAAGAAGCTTTGAAGAAAGTTCCCACTGGGGGTACAACATCGGTCAGTGACGTAAAGCCAGATGTTGGAGGGATCTGGGCAATCGGTGGGAAATCCAGCGGTCAGATCCAGTCTCGCCCCGAGAGTTCATTCTCTCAGTCTTACGATCGACCTCAAAGCACCCTGTCCCAGAGGGGTGACAGAAGGAGGTCAAGGAAGCCAAAGAAGGAGCTACCTTGGTTCTGTCGCTACATTGCCTGGCTGGTGTTATGGATGGTTACTCTTGGGGCGGCTGCCATGGTTACATTTTATGGAATCAGCTTCCAGGACGACAAATGCAAGAAATGGATCACGTCGATGCTGGTGTCATTCTTCACGTCCATCTTCATCACGCAGCCAGTCAAAGTGAGTGACAGAAAAATAAGATCAATAAAATAACATCTTGATTGTTTGTTGTTTAACGCCGCCCTCAGCAGTGTTCCAGCTATATGGGGACGGTCTGTACATAATCGAGTATGGACCAAACAAACTTGTGATCAATCGGGACACGATGACATGTGTCAACCAAGCCTGACCACCCCATCCGTTAGTCGCCTCGTACGACAAGCATGGGTTGCTGAAGATCCATTCCAACCGGATCTTCAAGGGACCAATAAAATAACAGCATGACAGTAGAAATCCCAGTTTGTCCTATTTGTGTGAATGGGAGGTGCTGATTTCGCCACCACGTTTGAGTGATCCATTCTTATAATTTCACCACGGTTTTTATCTTTTATGCTTAATGAAATCTGTTTCTGATCATCCTTCGATGTTTTATATCGATATTTTCAGGCTGGTCGTTGCTGTTGAAATTATATATATAAATATTACAGAAATCAACTGTATAGAAATGGTCGCGGTTTAATTATTATATTTATGCCTATTTTTCTTAGAGTATAATGTTATTTTAAGGCATATTTTTGTTTCATTAGAATCCGTTAGTATCTCCTAAATTTAAGCTAAACAATTATATCTTAAGTTGCCCTTATAAATATTTCATAGTTGAAAAATCAACCCAGAATGTTTGTTTTCTTCACTCAATAGCCCTAAGTATATAAACACTATTGTTCACCATGCTGATATCCATGATATGTTCACAGGTGTTCCTGACCGCCATTTTCTTCTCCCTGATCTGGAAGAACCCCGGGGAAGCTGAGGATGATCAACCCGAGGATGAGGAGGAACCACGACTGGAACACGATGAAGAACTGCTTCACAAGCCAAACCAGGGTGACTAAATGTCCTAAACATCATGAGCATTTAGTATTTGGTTTTTCATACTTATGAAAATATTTTGTAAGATCTCATCCTTACATCCTAGACTGCATGTTGGCGGTTCAACGGTGTTTCCATTAAAGATATTGAATGCAGGATTTTTTACAGCCAACCTGTCCTCAGGTTATATCCATTTTTTAATTTCGATTATCATGGTCATTTACCCACAGGATACGGACATGCACGACCTAGAAAAATAGGCTATAAGCCTCCAAATCCTACAGAACTGGAACAGGCAAGAAAGAAAAGGCTGAATGAGATCAAGATGTGGGACATCATCAGAGAAATCATCTTCTACTCCTTCTTCTTGTGGATACTGATGGTTATCAGCTACAGGAACAGGAGCCCGGACAGCTTCTACTACAAGAATAGCCTGGAGAAAATGATCATCAAGAACAATGACACTCTGCAATGGTTTACAGAGGTACGAGTGAACGTTTGGAACTCTATGAGACTGTTACGGTACAACAGAGGCAATGTAATTAGTACGTATAAACTGTGCAGACTATATATGTTTGATTTAGCGTCCAGGCCGATTCCTAATGAACAAAACAGACGAATGAAGTAATATTGTTTTTTAAAAAGTTGTATCTTGACTTACAGATTCAGAACACGGACGAGTTCTGGATGTGGGCAAAAAGCGGTCTTGTGAACGGCCTACGAGCTGACAGCTACTACAACAATGCCCCTCCTCTTCTCCTGCGAGGATTCATTGGCGACAAAGTGTCCAGAATAATGGGCTTTGCTACAATGCGACAACTGAGGGTTCAAAAAGGTACTTTATTATCATATATGAAGTCTGTAGGTACCCGAAGGTATTTCATTGGATTTCATTCGTCAGCCAATCTGACAAGGAATTTTTTTTTCATTAAAGCTTACTAGCAAGAAAATATGGATTCATACATGACATATTCATGTAGTTACTGACCTTTATATATTGTTTGCAGACACGTGCTCCACCATCGATGTTGTGGCGGCCAAGATACATGAGTGTAACGAAGCCTACACTATGTTCAACGAAGACAAGGCGTCATATGGACCAGCATGGAGGACAGACGTCGAGACGTCTCCACGAAGGGAATACACTTACACTAAAGCATCTGAGCTGAACAGCTACCCTTACTGGGGCCTCCTAGGCGTCTACGGAGGAGGGGGCTATGTCGTTGACTTAAAAGGGTCCAAGCGTACTCTGACGGCACATATGGCAACACTCGAGAAAGAGAAATGGGTAGACAAATACACACGTGCAGTATTTGTAGAGTTCACTGTCTATAATCCTCAAGTGAATTTGTTTGCCATAGCCACCATCGTAGCCGAGTTTCAGTCAAGCGGAGGTATACTAGCATCATATCGATTCGAACCAGCGATGCTTCTACCCTACATGACGTCGGTGATGCTGTTCCAGGTTATCTGTGAAATCATCTACTTCTGCTTTACGATTGCATTTATTGTCAAGGAGGTCCGCAATCTCATCACACAAAGGGTTCGATATTTTAAGTCTTTCTGGAATTTGATAGAGTTGTCAATTATAGCCATGTCTATCTCTGCCATTGTTGTCTACTTCTACCGTCTAATTGTAACTAACACTCTCACAACCGAATTCAAACGGAACCATGGCAATGAATACATGAAATTCCAGTATGTTGGTTACTGGAATGAACTATTTTCCTACATAATCGGCTGGTTGGTATTCTTTGGAAGTCTCAAGTTCCTCAAATTGCTCCGCTTCAACAAAAGAATGTCCATGCTCGGATCGACCCTGAAAAATGGTGCCAACAGCATCCTTCACTTCAGTTTGATGTTCTGGGTGGTGTTCCTGGCCTTCATCCAGCTGTTCTATTTGACCTTCATGTCAACCAGCCCCAAATTTTCAACCTTTATCAAGGCAGCCGAGTCCGGAATCCTGATGATGATGGGCAAATTTGACGTCTATGGAATGCTGATGGTGGAGCCCACCCTTACCCAGGTGTACGTCTTCTTCTTCGTCCTCACGGTCACCTTCATCCTCGTCAACATGTTCCTCTCAATCCTCAACGAGACCTTCAGCTCAGTCCGCTTGGACATCAGGAAACAAAACAACGACTATGAAATAGTCGACTTCATGGTGAACAGGTTTAAGAGGTGGATCGGCATTGGCACCGTTCCTACAACCCTCCCTCCAGCAACGGCAGACAGTGAAGACGGCAACACCACATTCCGAAAATGCGACACCGTTGAAGAGTTTCCTGACCGCATCGACCGCCTCCTAAACTCCATCTCCAACGTGTACATGGACGACAACCTGGAGGCCATCATTGAGAGGAATGGGGAGTCAAAGAAGATGGCGATGAAGCACATGATGAAGGGAGGTAGCACTTGCGATTTCGCTGAAGACGGACCCACCAAGGTACACACTCACTAGGCGCATCGTAAAGGAAGAAAACATCTTGTGAACGATTGTAAGCCGATATTCCTGAGGCATTACTTTTTGTATCTTACCTTCTGACATATCCTACGATTAAGGTGCATTTGTTACATTCCCTAAACTCACTCTCTCTGATGAACAAATGTTGTAACTTTCCATAAATTCCTGTTACGGCGGGTGGGCTATTGTATGCTACCCTGAAGTGGATAACAGATATCTGAAATTCCTTTTGTGTTACTCGCATTAGATAATTGATGTTGTAAGGTGTTATTCTTATAATCAAGCGGAGATTTTAATACATAATAAACACGAACCATATAGAGAGAGAATTAAATTTTGTCATTATTTTTTGTATTAAGAAAATGTTAATTATATCATTACCTTTTATCGTTTGACACCTCCATTGGTGTACACTGAAACTTGACTGTGACGTGATCTTCTTCAAAACATAACGAAATAAATGTATAACTATATCTATTACAATTATTTATTGTCATTGCACACTGAGGATGAGTAAAAGGATTAATCTTTCACAGCAGTGAAAAGTTTGCCTTTGGAATATAGAATCTACTTAAACATTAACACATATTAAGGGCACCGGAGACACATTTGTTTATCTGCATTTCGCCGTGAGGAGTTGTACCCTCAGGCCTGCCAGAATCAGCACCCATGGGTTTTACCAAAGTTCAGCTAAGGCGTCACCTTCTTGAGAACATCAATCTCGTTGACCAGACAGTTCGATGGTACATCATTATCAACTTCATAGTGTACTGGTCAAAGATTCTCTGTGTCTCCTGGTTGTGTTGGCTTCAAATAACTGAATGGCCGTGGATTCGAATTGCCGTGATTATGTTACTATTGTCAAATTTAATCAATGGTTAAGGTCTAAGACCTGTTGCAATTTTGGCTCTCCTCTTTCTAATACCTCGCCGTGATTTAACTAAAATGGTGTTCAATACCGCAGCATCCATTCACGTACATATTTCTACATAATTCGTAACTACCTTTCGATTCTTTAAGGTTCACTGTTTACATACATAGCAGATGTAGATGTATCATGTCTGTGTGCAAGGTTTCAGAAATGACTGATGGTAACATACCACTGTATATCCGTGGTGCTCAGCTTCGAATGCTGGACGCACAGAACTAAAGTGTGAAATCAGTAAATGACAAAACACGATAAATTCACTTTCCGGAACATGAATTGAAACACACGTTATGTTTACAGCCATACAAGGCAATAACATGGGTGAAGTGTTTATCACGTCGATATGTAAAAGGTCCAATTACACAAGGCTGTGTAAGAGGCGACTAACGGGATCTGGTGGTGAGGCTCGCTGACTTGGTTGACACATGTCATCGGTTCCCAATTGCGCAGATCGATGCTCATGCTGTTGATCACTGGATTGTCTGGTCCAGAATCGATTATTTACAGACCACCGCCATATAGCGATAACATTGCTGAGTGCGGCGTAAAACTAAACTCACTCACTCACTCACTCACTCACATAAGGCTGTGCACTGACAAATGTCGAGAATACGTCACAGATGAATGTCTTAAATGTGACACGTGTTCAGTTCTTCTATCCAGGAAATAGTTTTGGAAGCAAGCCGAAAATCGATGATTTCAGATGCGTATCCCGTATACAAGGAAGGATATAGGAGATGTTGGGCTTTGTGTTGGAGTTTGAACCATAAACGTCTACAACTAAGCAAGTTAAATCTAAATTACTGGGCGATGGGGTAGCCTAGTGGTTAAAGCGTTCGCTCGTCACGCTGAAGGCCCGGGTTCGATTCCCCACATGGGTACAATGTGTGAAGCCGATTTCTGGTGTCCGCCGCCGTGATATTGCTGGAATATTGCTAAAAGCGGCGTAAAACCATACTCACTCACTCAATCACTCTAAATTACTAGCGGCCACAGTCTTTTACCCGAACTCGATATTTTACGAGCGCCTCAATCAACTTGCGTCCATTAAAATCATCGGAAATATAGGACATAAATGAATGCTGACAATTTGTGTTGAAACTCATGTCAGTGGTATATGTTCTTTTCTTCAGTTCAGCAATACAACAGGATGCAGGCCAAAAGTTCCGAACCTAACTTCCGTGTTTCCGGGTTACGAAAACACCATATATAGGACAGTGACGACTTCAGTGTAGCAATGCATCTCTATCAACAATGTTGATAGGGAGCAGGACTATTTTGAAACGGTTACAGCAACTAGTCTTAGCGTTAAACTACGATCCCAGATATTAATCATATACTGGACAAAAATAGTTCGGGATATATGTAAATTTTGAAATTATGATTAATAGAAATGATCTATTTATTCATTGACACACTCATACAATAGAAATCATAAAAATACCAATATCCCTAACTTATTTTGTCCAGTTTATGATAAATTTAAGGTGTTACGATTTCCAATAAGTTTCAAAGGTCCTATCCAATTGTCGTATCCTGGTATGAATTTTGTTTGATCTGTTCTGTTTGACAATGCCTTTAATCTCAAATCCTTGATAGATTAGGCCATCTTGTTTGTTGACATCACTGCAAAAAAATGTTAAGAAATAAATAATTCTAAGACCCTGAGAAAGGTCATGACATGGATGTTGGCAAAACATTGAATCACCATTGAAAACTGAACACGCTGATTACCATGCAATAAGACACTAGTTTCCCCCAACATTTACTGTTAATAGAAACGTATGTTATACACAACTGACGTATCATCGCAGCAGAGTCAGTTTCGCAACCATGAGCCACCTGCAGTAACACTAACATTGGAGAAACATAAATATCAAACCATGAGCGTCACTGAACACCAAGGGGCAATCAACAAACACGACACCAAGTCTTGGATCAGATTCAAGAAACAGCTAGTCATCCGATCCAGTGGACTAGTCACAAGAGGAGATTTGTGTCAACCATCAACAGGGGCCAAGATTGCTTTATGTCTTCAGGGGGCGGTGGGGTAGCCAAGTGGTTAAAGCGTTCGCTCCTCACGCCGAAAACCCGGGTTCGATTCCCCACATGGGTACAATGTGTGAAGCCTATTTCTGTTGTCCCCCGCCGTGATATTGCTGGAATATTGCTAAAAGCGGCGTAAAACTAAACTCACTTACTCACTTATGTCTTCAGTCTGAAATCATCTCGTTAACTAGAGCACTCAATGTAACAATACAATGCACCAACCACCTCTTTATTACAATCGTCCCAATCATCACTCCTGTGTGTGTTTGTTATTTTCATTAATTCTCCATATATATATATATATATCAACAGCTATGAGTGAGTGAGTTTAGTTTTACGCCGCACTCAGCAATATTCCAGCTATATGGCGGCGGTCTGTAATTAATCGAGTCTGGACCAGACAATCCAGTGATCAACAACATGAGCATCGATCTGTGCAATTGGGAACCGATGATATGTGTCAACCAAGTCAGCGATACTGACCACCAGATCCCGTTAGTTGCCTCTTACGACAAGCATGGGTTACTGAAGGCCAGGGCCTAGATTTTCGAAGCTCTCTTAGCGCTAAGATAGTCGTAAGTGCCATACATTAACATTAACTTACGACTATCTTAGCGCTAAGAGAGCTTCGAAAATCTAGGCCCAGTATTCTAACCCGGATGTAATCAACAGCTGTATCAACATGGCCTACTCAGCAGGAGATCACGTCCTTGACAATGGCACCAGCAGCTGCACCGAAACGTCACATTGACAATTTAAGAGAACAATGGAATCCATAAGTCACCTCTCTGTTCAATGTTTCTGAATATGCCAATTAGGAGATAAACATCATGGGTTGGCCAACACATGATGTTTATCGACATTGTCAACACAAAAGTAAACCAAAAGGTCCACACATTTGTTTTTTGTGTATGCACTCATTGACATCGAGTACGGGTACAGCAGTGAAATGTCATCAGCCTGCCGTTTCGGCTGTCTCCCATGGTACCATCTGGAACTGCTCATTTGTGACGTCATTCCGACTCTACGTCACAATATGATTTGAATGACGTCATCACAGCTGTCGGCGTAACAATACAATGGTGTAGCGATGTTTGAATGTATTAATACGCAGCGAATTTCCGGGAATCGAATACCATTTGATCCAGTTTTTTTTTCAACCAATCAGATTAAAGAACACAGTGACTTTTGGTTTACAATTGAAAATATCTCAGCACAATTTTCAAGAAAATGGAAAAAAACTGCGGTAACACTGATTCGTTTCAAACTCTTTGATAGAATTGCATTGTATATGTAACCGTGTGCCCCATACCGACACAATATGACCTACATGATCTATAGTTTTACCTATAATGTACTATTATATGATAATACAGATTAGAGTTAACACAATACGTTGGCAATCTGAATGTCACAATGAGTTCAACATTTAAGATATGGTTTTGAAAAACAGCACGACAGGAGATATGATCATGAACACAGGCAACATGACTAAGAAACGGTATTATTTCGTACCTAAACAACTACTTACGTCGTGCTTGAGAATATTTCGCTCATATGACGACGTGCATGTATGTGTATGTGTATGTGCGGCTGCTTGTACTAGCCCAGACTGAAGCTGGTTTTAAAGTGCTAGCCCACTGAGATACCATGCCGCAGTGAAGCATGAATACCCCACTCAGACACAGTATACTGACTCCGAGCAGACCAGTCCTTGTTGTACCCATTAATGCCGAGCGCCAGGCAGGGACCAACAAGTACCATATGTTAACGTATTTTGGTATGACGCGGTCGGGGATCGAACCCGCGACCTTCCGCTCTCCGGGCGGACGCTCTAACCACTACACCACGGAGGCGGTCGGAGGAATTAGGACTGGATCATCTTTTTTACTACCTTCATAGACATACCTATGTCTCGAATACATTGATAAGTCGAATTTATTACTTGGTCCCCAGCGATTCGACTCATCGGGATTTGACTGTATATAAGATCCCCATATGTATGTGTAGTGGTATGACCAAACTCAACTTTGGGCCCATATCCATACAGCTGAATAGTGCTGATGGATATTATTGCTAGCAAAAGAAATTCAAAGTATCAATATAGAATGTCAATGCAAAAGTTTGGTGTAAAGATATAAAAATAATAGAATTGGAACACTGAAAATCAGTAATGAGGTGTTCGCGAAAACAGTAAGCATGTTCCACCTTAACGGCAGCACCCGCCATTCATAAAATTAGCCTTTAAATGGAAGCATTTTGCTTGACACAGCACAGCAGTAGTCCTGTCATGTGACGGTGGCCTGTAACCAAATCAGACAATCAAGTGATCGATGGACCGTACAATCCGGTTGCACAATTTTGAGTTAAGGCTGCTGTGTAGAAGTGAGCCATAAAACCGTGTCCATGTTCATATGGATCTCTGCTAGAGGTTTATGATTCCGATAATATCATTCGCATGTGTGTATGACGTTGTATCAAACAGTGATGAATGTCACGTCGCAAATACAGGCAAAGTCAAGTCAATTGTTCCCCTGAAAAAAACACGGAAACATATTTCACAAAGATGACAAGACATTATGGATGATCAACTTCTTTATTTTGACAATGGCGACGTTTCGGTATAGATTTTTTTACTGATTCTTGAAAACGGTATAAGAATCTATACCGAAACGTCGCCATTTTCAAAGTAAAGAAGTTGATCATCCATAAAGTCTTGTCATCTCTATACCACCAACTTCTAGAATGCCACTCAAACAAATATTTCACAAATCCAAATAGAGAATTAGTGCAGGTAGAGGTTAGTTTGATAAATTTTAGAGCAATGTCTTTTGCGCCAGATGGTATGCCTTTGCTCTGACTTAATATTAAATTTCACTTTAAACTGAGAATCATGAAGAGACCTACATATATACTTGGTAATGGTCAGGGGTTTCCTATGTGAGATGAGGCTTATTACCAATCTAAACTAAACATATCCTTATCATTATGGGTAATATGAACCCGGATGTTAATAGTCTTAGCGACCAATCAGAACGTATATTTGCCTTGACGTCATCAGCCTAGTGAACCAGTAGCTTAACGGTGTGCTGTGACAGTCAGATAGGGCCAGCGTGGACGCCGACTATGGCAAATCAACATACACTGCTGTTTTCCTTCATATTGGTATGTAGTGTATCTGTATTTATTTATATAAACTTTATCGTAATTGCTAATTCCTTCCTATGAGTCAATCTATCTGTCCTTATATCATCTTTTGCTTACTTTTCAGCTCTACAATGTGTTTCGAAGTGAAACAGGTATTTATAATATTAATATTGAATATTAATAATTTAATTGACCATGTGTATTTTATTCATTTCATTTTTTGAGAAATATTAACGATATGTGAAAGTATACCTGCTCAGATTATCAAGGTAGGGGAAAACTTTCCTTAATATGTAATGCTTGAAATACCGCCAACGTGGTATTGCGGATAGAGCGTTTGACCGGAGAGCGGATCGACCTCCGGAAGGTCTGTGGTTCGAACCGCAACCGTGTTATATATATATACCAGAAGCAGTGTATGAAATAAGGCCCGTCCGACCGCCCGAGACGGTCTAGATTTCTGACGGACGGTCTAAATTTACAGCCAGCCAGCCCGATGGTCTGGTAACAATTTTAGATGTTCCATACATCTGAGTAAATTCACCATATTTGGTCTGGTTAAATCCATTTTGGGCTGGTGACATTTTGAAGTTACCAGCCCTGATGTCTGGCTGGATTTTTGGCATATTTCATACACTGCCAGAAGACGTTAAAAGATGGTACTCATTGTTACCCTGCCTTATGTTCAGCATTGAGGGAAATAACATGTACTGTTTGACTCGGGGTCAATACTGCGTTTGAGTGGGTATTCATTTTAATGACATGTTTAATGCCAATAACATGAAAATATATTATATCATATAAAATGGCATCTTCAGATAATGTTTAGTACAGATTGTAGATCAAATTTGGCAACAGGTAAATAGTAATGACAGGTATTGAATGGGTCGCTGACATCCAGTGATGACACCAGGTGTTCGTTAAAAGGGCAAGCATATCCTGCTCTACACGTGTTACCTGTCACTCACAAAATTGGCAAAAAACACGAGGAATCTCAATTTCAGTGTAAAAACAATCGTTCGGTTTTTTCCTATATCTAATCGTCGAACAATTCAGAACAATATTCTTAAGACAGTAATAACATATAAATATAAGTTTCATATAAATGTTCGCTTTTACATCCAGTTAAAAATGTATACGTCGAGAAATGCAGAACAATTGTCTTAAAGCAGTAATAATATACTGGACAAAAATAGTTAGGGATATATGTAAATTTTGAAATTATGAATAAAAATCTATTTATTCATTGACACACTGATAAAATATCAATCATAAAAATACCAATATCCCTAACTTATTTTGTCCAGTATACATTGAGTATTTTTATATTCTTGTTCCGGCTTTTATCTGATTTGATTTTCCTCTGAATGAAATATAAAGCTGAGCTATATTTTGTTTTCAAACCCACCTAATAACCCACACAGCAGTTAGATGTTGATCGGATGCAATGTGTGAAGCCCATTTCTGGTGTATACCACTGTGACATTGAATATTGAATATTGCTAAAGGGGCGGGCGGAAAACTCACTCACTTACCAAAACCCACTCTCAATTCAATTTAATTCAATATTTTATTACCCGTGAAGGTCCGGGTTAGAATGAACCTTCAGCAACCAATGCTTGTCGTAAGAGGAGACTAACTGGATCGGGTGGTCAGGCTCGCTTACTTGGTTGACACATGTCATCGGTTCCCAATTGCGCAGATCGTTGATCATGCTGTTGATCACTGGAATATCTGGTCCAGACTCGATTATTTACAGACCGCCGCCATATAGCTGTAATATTGCTGAGTGCGGCGTAAAACTAAACTCACTCACTCAATATTTTATTCCGACAAACCACCATTGGTGGTACAGGAATAATACAAATAAAGTCATAACATAAATGATATATTGTTATGATCACTTGGTAACAGTGAATATATTAGTGTGTTTATCTTTTAATAGTGTTATTGATAGTTCTTGAAGTATTCTTAACAAGTGGATAATTGTCTCACTCACTCACTCACAAAGTGTTCTGTCCCACTACCTAGACAAATCGGTAGCTAGGGAAACACACAATGTTTATATAGCTACACGTACGCTACCTTGACATATATCCTATATATATCACTGGATATACGTTGATGAAACTTACCCTGGAGGAGTATTAATCAAACATGTCATTGTATCTAAGATATGTAGTTCCAATCAGGTTTTGCTTTCGGAGACTTCATTAAAAATTCATGTCCTCTGTGAAGATGTACGTACAATCAAGCAACAGTGACCAAAATACAGACTGAATTCAAATTGAGGTATCAGTGTGTCTATAACGATGAATTATGATACCATAAGTATGCCCAAGCTTGTGAATAATTGATTCAAACATGAATACTTAATTACACACGTGCATCGTTTTACTCGTCTTAGCGTGCGTTTATGTCGTCGAGTTTTTGTATACTCAGCAGTAAGTAATGTTATTGTTGGTCGCCATAGTTTCGTGTAAATATATATTTATACTTTAACAGGTATATATAACCTGCATATAATTTATATAATTTCCGTCCACAACACTAAGTTAATTTATGGGCGAATGGACGAGTTATAATCAGACTGTTAAAGGCCACTGGCCCATACAACAAAGGTATACAGGAAAATTGTTTTCCCTGCAAAGCCTTTTAATCATCTTGGCATATCTAAGAAAATACACTGAAGCAATGTTCTGGTTGCTGGGGTTTGTTTTGGTTTGGTTTGGTTTTGGCTGGGTGTTGTTTTTATTGGGTTTTTTTATTTTTTTAAAAAATGCTTCTGATAGAAATTGGTCAATACATTTAAGACTTCCTTTTCAATCAGTGGATATCAGAGACTTCACCACTGTTAAAGATGGGTAAAGAGAGCGTTCAGCAAAACATTCCTTCCATTACTGATTTACAACACACCATTAACACGATATTCGTCCTCTATAGGGTCTACACATGGCAGTACAGGCAGTACAGTACTTAGCATGGCAGTACAGGCAGTACAGTACTTAGCATGGCAGTACAGGCAGTACAGTTCTTAGCATGGCAGTACAGGCAGTACAGTACTTAGCATGGCAGTACAGGCAGTACAGTACTTAGCATGGCAGTACAGGCAGTACAGTACTTAGCATGGCAGTACAGGCAGTACAGTACTTAGCATGGCAGTACAGGCAGTACAGTACTTAGCATGGCAGTACAGGCAGTACAGTACTTAGCATGGCAGTACAGGCAGTACAGTACAGGCAGTACTTTAGCATGGCATGCATGGCAGTACAGGCAGTACAGTACTTAGCATGGCAGTACAGGCAGTACAGTACTTAGCATGGCAGTACAGGCAGTACAGTACTTAGCATGGCAGTACAGGCAGTACAGTACTTAGCATGGCAGTACAGGCAGTACAGTACTTAGCATGGCAGTACAGGCAGTACAGTACTTAGCATGGCAGTACAGGCAGTACAGTACTTAGCATGGCAGTACAGGCAGTACAGTACTTAGCATGGCAGTACAGGCAGTACAGTACTTAGCATGGCAGTACAGGCAGTACAGTACTTAGCATGGCGGTACAGGCAGTACAGTACTTAGCATGGCGGTACAGGCAGTACAGTACTTAGCATGGCAGTACAGGCAGTACAGTACTTAGCATGGCAGTACAGGCAGTACAGTACTTAGCATGGCAGTACAGGCAGTACAGTACCAGCATGGCAGTACAGGCAGTACAGTACTTAGCATGGCAGTACAGGCAGTACAGTACTTAGCATGGCAGTACAGGCAGTACAGTACTTAGCATGGCAGCAGTACAGGCAGTACAGTACTTAGCATGGCAGTACAGGCAGTGCAGTACCAGCATGGCAGTACAGGCAGTACAGTACTTAGCATGGCAGTACAGGCAGTACAGGCATGGCGGTACAGGCAGTACAGTTACTTAGCATGGCAGTACAGGCAGTACAGTACTTAGCATGGCAGTACAGGCAGTACAGTACTTAGCATGGCAGTACAGGCAGTACAGTACTTAGCATGGCAGTACAGGCAGTACAGTACTTAGCATGGCAGTACAGGCAGTACAGTACTTAGCATGGCAGTACAGGCAGTACAGTACTTAGCATGGCAGTACAGGCAGTACAGTACTTAGCATGGCAGTACAGGCAGTACAGTACTTAGCATGGCGGTACAGGCAGTACAGTACTTAGCATGGCAGTACAGGCAGTACAGTACTTAGCATGGCAGTACAGTACTTAGCATGGCAGTACAGTACTTAGCATGGCAGTACAGGCAGTACAGTACTTAGCATGGCAGTACAGGCAGTACAGTACTTAGCATGGCAGTACAGGCAGTACAGTACTTAGCATGGCAGTACAGGCAGTTACAGTACTTAGCATGGCAGTACAGGCAGTACAGTTACTTAGCATGGCAGTACAGGCAGTACAGTTAGCATGGCAGTACAGGCAGTACAGGTACTTAGCATGGCAGTACAGGCAGTACAGTACTTAGCATGGCAGTACAGGCAGTACAGTACTTAGCATGGCAGTACAGGCAGTACAGTACTTAGCATGGCAGTACAGGCAGTACAGTACTTAGCATGGCAGTACAGGCAGTACAGTACTTAGCATGGCAGTACAGGCAGTACAGTACTTAGCATGGCAGTACAGGCAGTACAGTACTTAGCATGGCAGTACAGGCAGTACAGTACTTAGCATGGCAGTACAGGCTTAGTCAGTCTTCACTTGGGGTGTTCCAGTGTCTTTTACAGTTAAATGCGTTCATCTGAATCATGAGATAATTCTTTTATAACACACTGGGAGTTCAGATGATAAGCATCCCCTGCGGACTTGAGTAAGGGCTGGCATTTTGATTAGTAATGAAATTTGGGAGAAGTCGCGAATAGAAAACGAATTTAATCATAATTTTAATCATATTTTTCCTTCGTAAAATAAGGGGCAGTGGGGTAGCCTAGTGGTTAAAGCGTTCGCTCATCACGCCGAAAACCTGGGTTCGATTCCCCACATGGGTACAATATGTGAAGCCCATTTGTGATGTCCCCTGCCGTGATATTGTTGGAATATTGCTAAAAGCGGCGTAAAACTAAACTCATTCGCTCACTCCTTCGTGAAACATATCAACTAACATATAATAAAATATGCAAACTTAGTATTAAAAACAGAAGTGATTCGCGTATTTAATGTTATAACTTACTACAGTGAAAACAATCGGTTCAGTCCAGTTCTCTTTTTATATCACTTTGGTTATGAAACTCTAAAATAGACCCATGCCCGCCACAACTTCGACGTGAAAAATATCTCCTAATTATTTTTAAATTTGTTCATGAATTACTAGGGATCATGTTATTACATGACATTAGAACGACCAAGGAAACTGTTGGCTTTTTGTTCCTTTTCCATAATCTGAAAATACATAAGGTCAAATCCAGTAACGGTCAACTGTACATATTGAAACTGAATGATAATAAAGTGAGTTTTTGTTGCACTGACTGATGTCACTGATTTTATATTGTTGTATATACCTTCTCATGCTTATCATTCATTAATGGCTCACTTATTTATTTACTATCATATTTGGCCTTTTGCTAGGGAGGTCTAAGTATACCAGATTCTGCCTTCATCTTTGAAGAAAGGCAATAAAACATTGAAGTCCATTCTTCATTATAGTGACAATATGGTCGGTATTCCGTAAACAAGGAAATATTGTAGTAATTTAGTTTATCTTCATATTTAAAATACGGGCGGTGGGGTAGCCTAGTGGTTAAAGCGTTTGCTCGTCACGCCGAAAACCCGGGTTCGAATCCCCACATGGGTACAATGTGTGAAGCCCATTTCTGGTGTTCCCCGCCGTGATATTGCTGGAATATTGCTAAAAGCGGCGTAAAACCAAACTCAGTCAGTCATATTTAAATTCAATTCAATTCATTTATCCTGAAAAAGAACCACCAAGTAACTTACCACGGGCCCTCCAAATAACACATCTTTATATCGTCTTCCCTTTAGTACAGAAAGACACAAACAAAAAATGAAATAGACATAACATATGTAGTAATAAATGAAATATATTTGACATTATCATACTGAAAAATAATCCCAAAGGCATTAGCATTCCTTTAAACATGTATACCACAATCACGCTTCAATAATCCATTCTAGATTTAGTTACAGAGTATGATAAACCGCTCCTGTAAAATCCTCAAACGATGGAAACTACCCCTTCGCCACAGACGGCAAAAACAATTCGGGTGTAACAACGGACCCGACTCTGATCATGAATAATCGATAATGAACGGAGAATCAAGTACTAACATTGACAGATACAATTAAATTTCACATTGATATTTATCGGAAAATACGAATATATTGTTTGGATTATATTGTTTTCGGACATCATACGTTTTCGGAATGCAGTACTAACGCTATAACGAGGTGTGGTGCGTCACACAGGCATTCTAAGAAGCCGTATTATGGCCTATTTTTAAGATAAAGTTGTCCTTTATAAATTAGTGTCATGTTTTACTTTTTTTCGTGTGATCAGAGAGAAATCTACCTTATCTAATATCCTCCCAGTTGACACCGCTGTATCCAAACGTTCCTCCCCGCTGAATCGGTCTTTGCCCTTGGAATTTACAGAAATGACACTTGGTGCTTTCGTTTGACTTATTAGTGAGTGAGGGAGTGAGTTTAGTTTTACGCCGCACTCAGCAATATTCCAGCGATATGGCGGCAGTCTGTAAATAATCAAATCTGGACTAGACAATCCAGTGATCAACAGCATGAGCATCGATCTGCACAATGGGGAACCGATGACATGTGTCAACCAAGCCAGCGAGCCTGACCACCCGATCCCGTTAGTCGCCTCTTACAAGCATGGGTTACTGAAGGCTCATTCTAACCCGGACCTTCACGGGTAGACTAATTAGTACATCTCCCGCTACAAAACATCCCTTTTGTGCGCCTTGTACATACCGAGAGTAACGGGAAATCACTGGACTAATACACTGTTAAACATAGAAAATGGAAAACGTCGACTTTCGACAATATTATTATTATTATTATTATTTTTAACAATATTTTTCGACAATATACATTCGCTGGTTGTTGGATGAGGATTGTTGTTTTTCCCGATAACAATTAAATCAAATATTAATAGTGTGTAAATGAACACATTATGTGACTATTTAACATTTGTTAAACGACCCGTGAAGATTCGGGTTAGAAGTGATCTCAGTAACCATACATGCTTGTCGTAAGATAGGGTTGAGTGTCGTCGAGTTAGTTTCTGTATACTTAGCAGTTCGTAATGTTATTGTTGGTTGCCATAGTTTCGTGTAAATAGCGGGTACCGATCGTGTAGGGATCGGGTGGCCAGGCTCGTTGACTTGGTTGACACATGTTATCGTAACTCAATTGCGTATATTGATGCTCATTTTGTTGATCATGGGATTGTCTGGATTATAGCTGGAATATTGCTGAGAGTGGTGTAAAACTAAACTCACTCACTCACATTTGTTAAACAGGTTTTTTATTCAATCTTTAATTGTCTACTTTAAGTGTCAGCCGTCACTATCTGTGCCCATTGGGTTCAGACACCCGAGTGACTATCGTTGACTTAACACATTGTACTCACATGGGGAATCGAACCCGGGGTCTTCTGCGTGACGAGCGAACGCTTTAACCACTAGGCTACCCCACTGATTGGCGTTAAAATGAACCTATCTAGCAGGTCTGATGTTATGCATATGCCCCTTGTTATTCCAGCCGAGCACGTGGGATGTTTCAAGGAGAACAAAAGAGACCGACACTTCAAACTCAGCCCCGGAAACTATGACCCCAAGTCCCTAACCCCTGAGAAGTGTTCCAGCGTGTGCGGAGCCTACATGGCTCCCTATGCCGGGATGACTGACGGGAGGTTCTGCTTCTGTGGGTCCTCTAAACCAGGACCATCTTACAAGGCAGCCGACGGCGACTGCAGCAGCACCTGCTCCGGCGACGACAAGACGAAATGCGGGGGGTCCTGATCACATCTCCCTGTATCACACCTTCCAGCCTATCAAAAAGGTTGAACTGAAAGTCACCGAGAAATCCATTCCAACAACCGGTAAGCCGGTGACATTTTCCGTGAACGCAGAGGCTGGCTACAACATCTTCTACCAGATGGACTATGGAGATGGGACGCAGGGCATGGACAGAAATGCTACAGGGATGTTCACAAAAGAGTACCACATTCCTGGCCAACATGTTGCCGAGGTCACAGCATCAGATGATAGCGGTTCTGTTAAGGTTAGATATACAATACATTGTATCAGGTAAAGAGTTGTCAGAAACGTTCGTTTTTGGTTCAGACCAAAACCATGGTCTGGAGAAACCAGAGTCCTATATTCAGCATATGGATGATTAAGATGTTACTTCACGCTTTCTCAATGTGATATATAACTTCTACTATGTGTAAGGGGGGGGGCGGGGGTGGCCTAGTGGTCAAAGCGTTGGCTCTTCACGCCGAAAACCCGGGATCGATTCCCTACAATATGTGAAGCCTATTTCTGGTGTCCCCCGTCGTGATATTGCTGGAATATTGCCAAAAGCGGCGTAAATCCTTACTCACTCACTCACTAAAAAATCACAAAACAGGTTTTTGGCATTTTAGCCCAAACGAAATGACATCCATAGGACTCTTCAGGTGATTGTGTGTCCGTTTTGGCACCAAAAAATCTCTAAGTCTAAGCATCAGAATACAATGATTACCACAAAGGGAAACTTGCGCCAATCCTGAGTTGAAACCATTTTTAAAGTAGATACATATAAATAAGGGAAATACACTTTGGTGTCATGAGATCACCACAAAAGAAAAACCGCCCTATTCATCACGTATTGGTACGAGTGGTTTGGGTACTTGCGGAATCACATTCCTGGAAGAGTAACTGTAGAAACCAATTGTTGCAGAAAACTGACGTAGCAGGAGTTAATGTGCAGGCTCCAGTAAAGAACGTCTCCGTTGTCTGCCCCGACTTCAGCAGCTACGACGAGAAGACGTGTACGGTGACCATCACCCATGGAACCAATCTCCGTCTCTATGACAAAGTCGACAACAAAGACAGAACAATGAAAATAGCCGGTACAGATCTGTCTTAGATTTACACATTTATCAGTATGTAACCATAATGTGTTGTTGTTGGGGGCTTTGGGGGTGGGCGGGTTGTCTGTTTTGGGGGCTGTCTTGTTTGTTTTTTGCGTTTGTGTTTGTTTTTGTAAGGTTTAGAATTGGAATTGTTTGGACAATTACTCAGTTGTGAGTTCCATCAAGAAACTTATAAAATGACTTCCAGAGCATTTATCTTAACTCAGTCAGGAATGCATAGGTTTACAATTCAAACATATGTGTCCACAGATCCTGTAATCGGCGTCGCTGGCTGTTGTGTTCCATACACTGCCAAAGCAGAACCAGAGAGTTTGTCAGATGGTGATGCCATCTTCATCATGCCAGCTGCAGAGTTTAGATTTCATGGAGTAGTTACACACTGGGAGCTGTGGGCGGACAAAGAAGGCAAAGTTACAGTCATGGTAATAAACATATTATTTCATACCTACCATGTCACGGTTTCATTCTAATGGAATAACCGCCTGTATGGTTGGTGCGCGGACAAAGAAGGCAAACTTACTGTCATGGTAATAAACACATGATTTCATACCTACGTTGTTACTGTTTCATTCTAATGGAATAACCGCCTGTATGGTGTAGTGTGCGGACAAAGAAGGCAAACTTACTGTCATGGTAATAAACACATTATTTCATACCTACCATGTCACGGTTTCATTCTAATGAAATAACCGCCTGTATGGTGTAGTGTGCGGACAAAGAAGGCAAACTTACTGTCATGGTAATAAACACATGATTTCATACCTACCATGTCACGGTTTCATTCTAATGAAATAACCGCCTGTATGGTGTAGTGTGCGGACAAAGAAGGCAAACTTACTGTCATGGTAATAAACACATGATTTCATACCTACGTTGTTACTGTTTCATTCTAATGAAATAACCGCCTGTATGGTGTAGTGTGCGGACAAAGAAGGCAAACTTACTGTCATGGTAATAAACACATGATTTCATACCTACGTTGTTACTGTTTCATTCTAATGGAATAACCGCCTGTATGGTGTAGTGTGCGGACAAAGAAGGCAAACTTACTGTCATGGTAATAAACACATGATTTCATACATGATTTCATACCTACCATGTCACGGTTTCATTCTAATGAAATAACCGCCTGTATGGTGTAGTGTGCGGACAAAGAAGGCAAACTTACTGTCATGGTAATAAACACATGATTTCATACCTACGTTGTTACTGTTTCATTCTAATGAAATAACCGCCTGTATGGTGTAGTGTGCGGACAAAGAAGGCAAACTTACTGTCATGGTAATAAACACATGATTTCATACCTACGTTGTTACTGTTTCATTCTAATGGAATAACCGCCTATGTGGTGCAGATCATGGTAATATGAACTTATGCTAATGCATATGCTAAGATCTGTAAATATACGTTAAATATTTTGAGAATTACTTGATTTATAAGGGCATTTTCAAATTTATCAGCATCATCATGTCGACAATCACCACAGAGCTCTTACCAACATTGTCATGCATGTCTCGTTTTTGTTACAGGTTCTGAAGCCTGATTGTGATGACTACTGCTATGAGACAAACACATGCGGAGGGTCATGCAACGGAACTACATGTTCCTCAGGAAAAACCTACTGTCATCAGTCTGGAACCTGTTCTAAAGAGTGTAAAGAAACACAGCGGTACCCATCAGACACCCCCTTAGTTGACTATATAGAACGTCAGTCCACAGAGCTGACCGTTTCCAAGGGCCATCAAGTTGTGGAATGTCCATACATGAATGTATTTCCTGGTGACATCATCGCCTATAAAAAATCAACGGGGTCTGCCACCATCACAGTGTCAAAGAAAGAGACAACAGGAGATCGCAAATATGGAGGTGCAGCTGAAAAGTTTTCCAAGAACTCAGGAAATCCTGTGTCCAAGACACGTCACCATCTGAGAGCCATCTACTCCAGTCAAACGAAGGTTTCTCTGGACTATTTATTCGAAGAAGCTAAGAAATACACCCTGCGTGTAAACGTTAGTAATGTTGACATTGAAGGCTCTGAAACTGCTACGACTGAGATTGATGTTCGTGAGGGTATCAATGCTACAATCCTTGTTGGACCAAAATATCTTCTCGTAAACACAGAGGGAATCTTCACCATCCTCCCTCATACAGGTAAGTCATGAAGTTTATTGGGCCATTCATATACTCATTTACCATGGTATCACTCTTGATGAAATTTGGTGCAGCTTTTGGTATTGGTTTAAGCACTCAATACCATTTTACACGATTTTACATGTTATTTCAGGTTCTCTCCGTAAAACGACACCTTGGTTGTACATGTTTTAGGTCCTTCCGCTGAAACGAGATTGGGATTTTACCTTACATTTCAGGTTCATCAATGTAACGAGACTGGGATTTTACCTTATGTTTCAGGTTCATTAATGTAACGAGACTGGGATTTTACCTTATGTTTCAGGTTCTTCAATGAAATTAGACTAGGATTTTACATTATGTTTCAGGTTCATCAATGTAACGAGACTGGGATTTTACCTTATGTTTCAGGTTCTTCAATGAAATTAGACTAGGATTGGACATTATGTTTCAGGTTCTTCCCTGTAATGAGACTGGGATTTTACCTTATTTTTCAGGTTTTCCGTGAAACGAGACTAGAACTGTACATTATGTTTCAGGTTCTTCCGTGAAACGAGACTAGAACTGTACATTATGTTTCAGGTTCTTCCGTGAAACGAGACTAGAACTGTACATTATGTTTCAGGTTCTTCCGTGAAACGAGACTAGAACTGTACATTATGTTTCAGGTTCTTCCGATGAAAGACTGAGATTCTTCCAGAAACGAGACTAGAATTGTACCTTATGTTTCAGGTTCTTCGATGAAACGAGACTAGAACTGTACATTATGTTTCAGGTTCTTCCGTGAAACGAGACTGGGATTTCGGAGACAAGAACGTATTCAACGCCACTGACACTGACCAGTACAAGCACACGTACACGTCCAAGGGAGTCTACAACATAAGGGTTAGATGCTGGAATTCGGAGAATACCAAAGAGAACGCGTCCATGGTGACTGTGGAAGAGGCAATAGTTGACATGAGTGTTAAATACTCTCCATGTACTACTTTGTCTAACTGCAGCTTTGAGGTGACAGTAACTGGAGGTTCAAACTTTGAAATTACATGGGACTTTGGTGACTTAACAAGCAACGTTACCACAGAAGCAGAATACTTAGAAAGCCATGTGGTGAACCACGTGTATACCACGGGTGGAAACCTCTCTGTCAATGCCAACTGCTCCAATCACGTCAGTTCCAAGTCTTTCACATTCTTCCTACCTGTGCAAGAGGTGTGCAATGGGTTGTCTCTGATTAGAACCGGTGCAGAAAAGAACGTACCTTTCCGAATTGAATGGACACTTGCTCATGGATCCAATTGCAAATTTGAACTGAAATTCCGCGGGCAAGTGGTTGCAATAGAGAAAGCTAACACGACTACCAGGAGATGGGAATCTGCAATGCAGAATGGCCTGCCAGCAAACATATATCCACTGATCCTCAAAGTAAGCAATGCAATTGGTCACGATGAAAAGCATGTCAATTTTACTGTTGAAACCGCTATGAAAGGAATGAAATCCAACTGTAGCACTTCTTTAATCAGCACTGGCGAAGAAGCATCATGTTCTGTGACCATTGCAGAGGGATCAAATGTGCAGTGTGTTTGGGACTTTGACGATGGGACGGTCGAGCGTTTCAACCAAGGCCCACAAGATTGGGCATTACGAGCCAGCACCCCAGAGATCCGTAAACACGTATTCACAAAGAGCAAGAACCACAATGTCTCGATCACCTGTTCAAACAACGACAGAAGCGAACCTACCTACCATTCAATTCTCGTAAAGCAGGGTGTCAATGCAGTTGAACTAAAGCATGACAACGCTGTTCCCTTCAATAGGCCTGGAATAGGAACATTTTCCTTTGAGGCACCCAGTGGCGATCCTGATGATGCAAAGGTTCAATTTTCCTTTGGTGACAATCAGTTTGACTCAAAAGAACTCAAAATGAACTTTAATTACACCCACCGTTACCGCGATGCGGGATGTTACAAACTTTATGTTAGAATCTGGAATACTGTCGGGGAAAAGATATTCAATAACACCCAGATCTGTGTCGTTGAGAAGATCCAAGGCCTCAAGGTCATCACGGAACCTGTTGCTGCTATCGTCAACCAGCCAGTTGAAGCTAAGGTGATCATGCATCTTGGACCTGCTGGAGCCCTTACAAACATAACCTGCGACTACGGAGATGGGGAAGGGAAGAAAACCTTTCTAAGACAAGGTAATTTTGGAAAGTATAAGTTTATATTACTGTTGTAGCCCTTATTTTTGTAGCATCAGCAGTGGTTTGTTCTCGGAACGTAAATTATTTTAATAGTCAGTAAATATTAATGTGGCTTTTAATAGAAGTGTTCCAGTGTTGGACCTTTACCGATCAAGGGGGAATGAGAGGGAGTTTGGTAATAACAAGGCTTTGGACAGTATTTCAGTTACATCATGGCGTGTCAACGTGATGTAAGAGTGAGTGAGGGAGTTGGATTTTACGCCGCTTTTAACAATATCACGGCGGGGACACCGGAAAATGGGCTTCACACATTGTACCCATGTTAGGAATCGAACCCAGGTCTTCAGCGTAACGAACGCGATGTAGGTGAGGTGAGGTGAAATTGGGTTTAACGTCGTGCTTGAGAATATTTCGCTCATATGACGACGTGCATGCGTGTGTATGTGTATGTGCGGCTGCTTGTACTAGCCCAGACTTAAGCTGGTTTTATAGTGCTAGCTCACTGACATACCATGCCGCAGTAAAGCATGAATACCCCACTCAGACACAGTATACTGACTCCGAGCCGACCATTCCTTGTTGTACCCATTAATGCCGAGCGCCAGGCAGGGACCAACAAGTACCATATTCTAACGTCTTTTGGTATGCCGCGGTCGGGGATCGAACCCGCAACCTTCCGCTCTCCGGGCGGACGCTCTAACCACTACACCACGGAGTCGGTCACATGATGTAGGAGGAAAGTGTAACGCATGTGTTCAATAGAACACAGCACGGATGTGGTGCTCACAACCTTCTTGATGAACCAATTGTCATAGGTTTCTGGCACTGCTGTGGGACCTAATGTGCACCATCAAGGCGGTGCCTATGACAAATCGGCCATCCATGTCTCTGTAAAGTTTAAAACGAAATGTACCGACTTTTAAGTGCCATCATTGTTGGCATATACACGCCCTTTTTAACTGATAGGTAACTATGTCGAATACCGTTGTTGGTTTAAACAAATACTCATGGAAACTAATAAGGGAACACATGAAAGTACAAGTGTTCCTTTATTCTTTTCCAGGTTTCTTCACAGGGTATGTATTGCACTGTGGGTGAAATTCTGGAAATAAAGGAACACTTGTACTTTCATGTGTTCCCTGATTCGTTTCCATGAGTATATTTTTTTACCGAAATACACGAAAGGGAGATCGGTGAACAAGCCTGGGAAGACCGTTGGGTCTGCTGTACGTTCAGTTTCAGTGACCATTCTCACTATTTGTTCCAGGCAAGCAGATTGATGGAGAGGATGTCAGGTCCATTACTTACAAGAAACTGGGACAAACGACCATCACTTGTGACGTTGTAACCCCCCTGGAAACTCTCACGGCTAGCAAGACGGTCAAGGTGGACCAGGAAGTAACCTCTGATAACTGTCACATCACCACCAATTACCCTGTAGAACACGGAAGTAAGTCGTTGCTGGGATAACTGTCACATCACCACCAATTACCCTGTAGAACACGGAAGTAGGTCGGTGTTTGGATAACTGTTGCATCACCTTCAATTACCCTGTAGAACACGGAAGTAAGTCGGTGTTTAGATAACTGTTGCATCACCTTCAATTACCCTGTAGAACACGGAAGTAAGTCGTTGCTGGGATAACTGTCACATCACCACCAATTACCCTGTAGAACACGGAAGTAGGTCGGTGTTTAGATAACTGTCACATAACCACCAATTACCCTGTAGAACACGGAAGTAAGTCGTTGCTGGGATAACTGTCACATCACCACCAATTACCCTTTAGAACACGGAAGTAGGTCTGTGTTTGGATAACAGTCACATCACCACCATTTACCCTGTAGTACACGGAAGTAAGTGGGTGTTTATATAACAGTCACTTCACTATCATTTACCCTGTAGAACACGGAAGTAAGTGGGTGTTAGGATAACTGTCACATCACCACCATGTATCCTGTAGAACACGGAAGTACGTTGGTGTTTAGATAACAGTCACATCACCACCATTTACCCTGTAGAACACGGAAGTAAGTGGGTGTTTAGATAACAGTCACATCACCACCATTTACCCTTTAGAACACGGAAGTAAGTGGGTGTTTAGATAACTGTCACATCACCAACAATTACCCTGTAGAACACGGAAGTAAGTGGGTGTTTAGATAACTGTCTCATCACCACCATTTACCCTGTAGAACACGGAAGTATGTCAGTCTTTGGATAACTGTCCCATCACCACCATTTGTCCTTTAGAACAAGGATGTGTGTCGGTATTTGGGTATCTGATACACCTGCCTTTCACGATTTGGTTCTAAACAAGCATATATCCATGTTATTATTCAGAGAAGATCGTCTACTCAGTGGTGTGCGACAAGGACCCGATGCCAACTAACGCCCACATCACGATTGACCGCGGTGATGGTACCTCAGAGAAGGTGTTGTTCACTGGAACAGCCGGTGTTCCACAGACAATTTCTTACACTCCGCCGAAAGACGGACATTTCATCGCCAAGATTTCATTGGGCAACGGGGGATCTTCAGTGAATGTGTCTCTTCCGGTAGGCAGCAATTTAGTGAAATTCGACAGTCTCTCCGATTTAGGAAGGCTATTTTCCTGATACTAATACGCTTCTGTTTCATATGTTTTCACTACGGCTGGGACGGGTCCAAATTTTCTACCCGGGTACCCCACCCCATATTACCCTACCCGGATACCCGTTATGTTAATTCCTGACATCAAATTTGTAAGAAATGGCAATATATTCTTCAGCTTTGAGGCTAAAATTTCGAGTTTTCAATATCTTAACCATGTATTATATTCAAAAGACGTGACTGTAAATTATGTCTAAGTCTTCAAAGAAAATATAACTTTTAATCATAAAAGAATAACATATAACATTGTTTAATCTATTAGTCACATGATCATAACGGGTCCGGGTATTGAGACGGGTACCCGGGTCCAACTCATTACCCACCCGTCCCGGGTATCCGGGTTACCCTTCCCAGCCCTAGTTCTTATACAGATCAGGTCTTTCGTAATGCTTTCCCAATCGATTAAATAACACCGTATATAAGAGGAGTACTAGAAACAATACCATAAAACATAACGATCTGATATTGTTTACCCGTGAGGGTCCGGGTTAGGATTAATCTTCAGTAAACCATGCTTGTTGTAAGAGGTGACTAACCGATCGGGTGGTCAGGCTCGCTGACTTGGTTGACACTTGTCATCTTATCCCAATTGCGTAGATCGATGCTCATGCTGTTGATGCCTGGATTGTCTGGTCCAGACTCGATTATTTACAGACCGTCGCCATATCGCTGGAATATTGCTGAGTGCGGCGTAAAACTAAACTCACTCACTCACTAATATTGTTTACATACAGTTACGAAATTATTAGGAAATCTGATGAAATCTGCATAAAATACAAAACATAATTGCTACTCTAGTTATGTTCGGGGCGTATTATTAACATTACATGAAATAGAAATTATTAACCGCAGTAAAATAACAGTAAATGAATGTAGTGACATTGACGATGAGAAAACCAACATTGAATTTTACAAAATACGATATGTATACGCACACTGAATTAATAAATGCGATTTGGGGGCAAAATCCTTGTTGAGTTTAACGTTTCTTAAATCATTTGAAATAACATAGATCTTTCCATCATATATTTCAACTGAAGTGTGGAAGGCAAGGCCATCAGGAATTAAGATAACGAAAATCCAAAATCTTGGTCTGAAAGCAAGATACTGTTCTCCTGACCAATACTGTTCTCCTGACAACATGTGTTGCTTTGATATCAACATTAATCAAACGAATGGTGTTACTTGCTATGAAATACACATATTTCCATCCGTGCCATTTTTTGCAGGCTGGCAGCTATAAGCGCCTAGTGGGAAACCCTGAGTTCAAGTGCCAGTACAAAAAGGCGATTCCCGTCAACAGTGGCTACAAAGACGGCATTGAAGGCATGAACCAGAACTTCCCCACATCCTGCCCTCTCACATGCAGTGTACAGATGGATGAAGGTATTACTGATAAAGCATCACCTTAATCCACTACTTCCATAACTGACAGCGAATGTTCAAGTTCCACTTAAAGTGAGTGAGTGAGTTTAGTGTTACGCCACACTCAGCAATATTCCAGCTACATGGCGGCGGTCTGTAAATAATCGAGTCTGGACCAAACAATCCTGTGATCAACAACATGAGCATCGATCTGCACAATTGGGAACCGATGACATGCCTCTTACGACAAACATGGGTTACTGAAGATCAATATTCTAACCCGGACCTTCACGGGTCAGTTCCTCTTAAAACGACAATTATCCGATGTTCACTATTTCTTTCCCTTTTCAGTTTTAAATTTCTTTAAGTTACCCATGTGTCAAGCACAAAGTTTCAAGACAATTCTGGTGTCAACAACCAAGATATTGCAGACTTATTGCCGAAAACTGCGTAAAGACTCAATCGCAAACATGAAGTTGATGGAGGCCTATTCTAACTTGTTTTATATTTGGTATCGGGTCAAAGGTTTCTACAGCAAGAGTAATCAAGAAAGTATCCTTGCCTGCTGAACAAGAAATGTTAGCATTAAAAGGATGTTCTGATATCAAATGTAACTATATCCTCTTCTACTGACGCTTAAATAGCTCTTCCTTATTACCTTGTTAGGAACACCTGTATACTACGAGATGATGGCCACTCACGAAACAGGAACACCTGTGGTAGTGTGTAATCAGACATCGACCCCCATCATCTGTTCGATCAAAAAGGTAATGTCATGCATTATAATATTAACAATAACTAATGCATGTACACTTGATGCTTACAAAAATACATAGTAAGGGCATGTACTGTTTGAGGTCCTTGTAATTACCGCCAAAACAGTTTGAAATGTGAAGACAATAAGTATGATTTTATGCACAGACGCATTTTTAAAACAATACTGTTGTCTCTGTTTAGCGGAATATTAACTGTCTTCTGTACCTACTGTTTCAGTCGGGGCATTATACTGCATCTCTTAAAGTGGGAAACCCTCTTGGGTCCGTCTCGGCAGATCCAAAGGATCTGCAAATGAAGGAGCCTGTGCAAGGCATCCACGTGGTCGATCTTACACCCAAGGCCAAGGTTGAAGAAGAAAAAACTTTCAGGATATCCTTTGATTCCATGGGTGATGAGATCTGTATGAACATTGATTTTGGGGATGATGAAGGAGAAACGTTCAACTATGGTACAGAAGAATGGTGCGAGAGGGAGTCTTCATTCGACGATGGAGAATTTATGGACGAGATGAAAAACCCAATGGAGGTGACCAGGACGTACTACGAAAACCAGAACTATGAACTCAAAGCCACAGCGGTTAACCTGTTTTCGGATGCAAGAGTTACATTCAGTTTCTCGATCAGCGAGTATGACTGTGATAAACCGGAAGTCGACATTGAGGATGCTGTCACCGTATTTACTAGCCCCATGACGTTTGAGAAAAGCAAAGGTATAGTTTTAAGAGGTAAAGCCAATATCACTTGCGCGGCAAGTTTGCAGAACACAAAATCCTGGAAAATCGAAGTTATTGATCCAGACTGGGGATCTGTACAGAAGACACTGGATTTGCAATCCGACAAGGCCGAGTTTGTTATCAAAGCCAAAACTCTTCCATATGGCCTCTACAAAGCTACATACAGCATCCAGATGGACCTACCCGATGATACTAATTTTGTGGAATCAGCATTTTCCTATTTCAAAGTGACAAAGTCAGAGATAGTCGTAGTCATGGAATCGGGTGGAATAAGCGAAATCGATCGAGGTGAAAACCGCATGGTGACCTTAAGCCCAGAAAAATATTCCTTTGATCCAGATGTCGACAGGTCTGCAGACCAGGTACATTATTTTCATTTTTGTCATATATTTTTCTCTTAAATAGGTATTGCTAAACATTGAAGCACAATTCCCAAAACTCTGTATATACGGCGTTTTTTCAATGATTATTATTTGGAAAACATAAACCGCTTCTTTCGATACATAAATGGTCTTAATGCGCAGACAGTTCATGGGACATATTTCAAAGCATAGATCTTCAAGAGTTACACTTGAAAGTATGATTATTGCTTGACTTGAATGCAGTCGATCGTTGCATTCGATTTATCAAGCATTATTTCAAACAGTTTGTATGATGCACTTTTATCCATAGGGCTTCGACAGCTACACATGGAAGTGCAAGTTGATGAAGAAAGTGTCATCCGCATCGACCTGCGAGTCCTTGTCCAAGATGACCACTGGCTCCATCACTTTCAACAGCAGCATCTTCGAGACAGGAGAACAAGTCCAGCTTTCATGCAACGTCACAAAAGACTCTCGCTCTGCCGTCGGAATGATCCTGATCAACTTTGTCGAGGGCAAACCCCCTAACCTGATTATTGAGTAAGACGTCTGAATAAGTAGCTAAAACAACCTCTTTGTGACGATATTGTATCAGTTTACCCTTGAACCCAAATCATTATATTCATCAACCAAATACATAGTTAAAGGTTTTTCTATGGGCACCTGTGAAGTTCCGAGTTAGAATTGATCTTCAGTAGCCCTCGTAAGAGGCGACTAACAGGATCTAGTGGTCAGGCTCATTGATGTGGTTGACACATGCCATCTTATCAAAATTGTGTAGATCGATGCTCATGCTGTTGATTGTGTGGATTGCCTGGTCCAGACTCGATTATTTGCAGACCGCCGCCATATAGCTGGAATATTGCTGAGTGCGCCGTAAAAACTAAACTCACTCATTTAATCAATTTTCTTTTGGCTGAGCAATAGTAAGACTTAAGCTGAATCATGCTCCACAATTTTGGTTTGGTTTTACATCTATTTTAGTAATTTTCTTGTAAATACATGGCAGAAGTCACCACAAATGGCGTCACTTGCTGTGCCATTGTGGGGAATTGAACCCGTGCTTCGGTGTTACGAGGGAACTCTATAAGCAAAAGCCTACCGTTCAATCCTCCTGCCTTCTGTAACCTGATTCATTGTCCTGTTTGCCGCTAAGCTGATATATATACATTAAAAAATGTGTAAGGCAAATTAATAATCAGAACTAGTTCGAACATTTTCACCCCTGCAAAGACCAATCTACGATATGTCAACGACATGCATCAATCAGGTAAAATATTTGTTATAATTCTACCTTTTTCATTTACCTCCGACGACTGGCAACGGTGATATTGCTGGAACATTGCTAAACGCGGCGTAAAACTCAACTCAACTAAACTGTCGACGAATGGCAGTATTTACATGTCATATATTTTGAAGAATATTTGAACATGATCTTGATGCTGCAAAGTGACAGACAACCAGCAGGAAAAATCGTCAGAAATATGTTTAACATCTAACATGGAATAACTGTGTATAGTGTACCCATTATGGCCAAATGCTGTTTTTAGGCCAGTTGGAAGCAGTAGAACAGTTCAGCTTGCCGAGTCCAAGATGGTGTCCTCTGAGGAGAGGTTGGCCCTGAGGGTTAGATGTAAGGACTGTGAGAAGGTCAAGCTGTCCTGCGAGTGGACGGCTTATTCGTATGCTGTTGGGTGGCCCTGGAGAGATTACTCCGCAAACGAAGTGGCTGGTAGAATTACTGGTGGGTGTGGTGACGAAAAGGGCACATTTCAGATGGATTTTCAGAGAAGACAGAAGAGAAAATAGAATTCATTACTGTATCTCCGACTTCTAAATATTCGGCATTGTTCTGTGTGGGGGGAGTAACAGTAATGGCACTGGAGACTTTCCGCAATTATTCTCTATTAGGATAAGAAGTAAAGGACTATACGGAATTATGATGTATTTAGGAGTAAAAGCCAATATGCCAATATCACGCTCTGAAGTCATCCTATTTGCTCATGTTTCCGTTTCGACAGCGATAAACGTCTAATCGGAACTGAATAATAGTGGTGTTTGCCACTGCTTTTCAGATGAGGCTCTGCAGCTTAAATATGCTATTATGTCGATCTTGGTGTTCCGTCAAAACCAACCGAGTAACACCACAGTCATGCTGAAGGAAATCGTGCTATCAAATCCAAAATGCATCCAAATATTTTAGAAAATATTTTTTTTTTTATCTCCGTTTGCAGGAATAGCATTTAATGTTTAAATGACTAGTTCATGCTATATCAATTTGTGCTGTAACAAAGGTATGAAAACCGAGACCATTGCAATCCAACCATCCCTGTACAAACTCCACCCTGATGTGAAGAAGTACCGTTTCTCCTGCAAGTGCCGACAGGGTGATGGCGACTATGGAAAGGCTTCCCTCAACATAGACCTGAACCCTCCTCCCCAGCCCGGCAGCTGTGTGTTATCCCCAAGGAACGGCACCATCGGCCTCGACAACAACAGCCCCTTCAACGTCAAATGTAGTGGATGGAAGGATGAGACAGAGATTGTGGAATATAAGTTTTTCTGTAAGTAACGGCCAGCGTTGTGGATATGTTAAACAGTATTGCGTCTGCGATGTGATGTAAATATTTTCGAGGGCGGCAATTTGTCAATTCTATCTTACAGCATGACACTCTTTTGTGTATATTTGGTTCTATGGACTGAGGACCTCGGTACCTTTTATTTCTCTAAAATATGTTGCATAAAAGTATAAGACGACAATATTATAAATATCAACTTCTTTATTCTATACACAAGGCTTCTGGGCTTTCCTTGCCCCTTCGTCAGGTGAATCAGTCAGCTGACGAAGGGACAAGGAATAACCCAGAAATTTTGTGTATACAATGAAGAAGAAGTTGATATCCATAATATTTTCGTCTTATATTTAAAAAACAACTTGTATATGCCATGTTGCATACAGCTTCGCTAATGAGTCCCTTGCTCTCATCCTCTAAGTCTCCAAGGTTTAACATTTCGATATACTTACACTAACTAATGGATTCATTCCCATGGTTCTATCACTCGCAGATTACCTGCCCTTTGTTTCTATTATCCCCATTTTCATTGGCTATGCTACTTGGTCTAATGTATCAATTAGAATGCGAGTTACAAATCAGCTTCAATCCTGGTTGGCAATGTCAACAACATTCCAAATTGTTGTGTGATCGAGTTTGCTGGAAATTCATTATTGTACAATAGCTGACAAAGGAAGCCCTAGCAAAAAATCTTTCTGATGGAGAATAAGTCTACATATCCCATAACATTGGATGTTGCTTTGGTTTCTAGGTAATACGAGTCACCTCCTTGCCCTTTCCTTGTCTATATTTGATTCGTCGGTAAAATGTTAATAAAACTCAGTTTCGGGTAATTTGCAATCGCAAGACCTATGAGATGGGACCCAGTAGTAAATGTAGCTTTACCGAAATGCAAGCCTTACGGAGAGATATGTAGATGATGCCTTCTCTGTATTTAGGTACACACAAGAACAGTAAGCTGCACCACCAAATTACCACCTTCGAAGAGGCAGAGGACGTGACCATTGACCCCCTCTGGCGCTGACGACGACGAGAGTACCGCCAACACGTCTATGTGTCCGTCAAGGACTCCATGGAGGCAGCATACGTCTACGACCTCGGAATAATACAGGTAACCATAACGGTTGTTTGATTTTGGCACCATAAACGCTTTTTCTAAGAATATGTTTTAGATTGTAGCGTTCTTGCCTCTGGTAACATTGAAATAATTATACTACACTACTTACATGGAGGAGAATTTAGGGTTGCATAGTGCATATCTGTCTTTTTACAGCTGAATTAGGGCTGCGCAATATAACCAGTTTACTGGTATTTACCGGTTCAGACATGAAAACGATACGTATTGCGATACGCTGATCGAAAACCGGTATTTTGACATCCATTCGGAAGACGTCGTAACACTCGTAAATCTTCGAATATTTCCTTGTTTCATTTGTGCCAAATATTATTCACATTTTTATTTTATCATGATTAAAATTTGTTATTAAAGCTTAATCAAGCATAGTGATTTTATTGTATTTTTTCTCTATAAATCAAGCATTAACTCGATTATAAGTAGTTTTTTGTTTAAAAATACTTCATTCAATATATTGCAATGCATATCGTAATACATGCTTTCGCATCGCAATATATCGCAATATGAATTTATCTGCAATACCCACCCCTAAGCTGAATAGTGTATGACTCCTTACACGGTGGGGATTAAGGGTTGAATAGGGTATGCTTGATACCTTACATTATGGAGAGTGACGGTTGAATAGTATATGCTTGACTCCTTAGATGGTAGAAAGTGAATGTTCTAAAGTAACTAGTGGGTTAAAAAAGGCAGAGTACAAGCACAATATTTTATGATTGACTCCTAAAACTGCGGCTATTCTGTGCTGAACATTGTATGGTTGATATCTCCTGATATGTGAAATAGTCAGTGTCGAACAATTTATGGATGAATACTTCTGACAGGTGTTCCCTAACACGGCTAACATGGGAGAATGGTCAGCTAAACAGAAAACGAACGCCTTGAACGAGATCGAAAAGGTTACTGCTTCTGGAGATCAGAAATCAGTCACCGAGAAGCTCACCAAGCTTGCCTCTCTGCTGAACGCTGACAGTAAGTGATTTATTTAACTTATACCTAAACATGAAGCTCATCTTCATGCTCACTCTTTTTCGCTATCATCTTCTGTCATCACGGATTTTCAGTGATCAATTCATTATATGTGCACCCCTTTTTCGCCTTTGCAAAGAGTACACCCAATGACGTCTGTTTTCAAGAGTTGGGCGTGAAGAGACATAATTCTTTCCAAAAGCACAAGATTATATTATGCGTTCACACTGTGTCTATCATAAGCCTGTTTTCCAGAATCTCTATGAAAAGGTAAACGTATCGTACCCAAAAGAATTACCTGTTCCGAAACACTGGGATCTCCAGTTAACACGCGAAAAGGCAAGTCATCTGGTCAAATAAACAAACACGGGTATGTAATGGTACAAAGGAACATACGGAATTGCATTAATTCTTGTCACTGATGCGACAGAACTGGAAATGTTCTCCACGAGTCCACTATACAACTTTTGAAATCTTTACTTACAGATGAGGACAAACTTTATGGATGAACAACTTCCTTATTCGGATGATGCGACGCTTCGATACAGATTCTTGTATCGTTGCATATGTTAATTTTGGGATTACACTTTCTCAGTAAAGTACAGATTCTAGTACTTTTGGGGGGTTGAGTCCCATCCGGGATTCGACCCCACACCCTCAGAGTCAGGCACCTAATCGCCAGCACACAAAGTCAGACGCCTAGACCGCTCATTTTGTAACGTTGTCTAGCAAGTATCAAAACGTCGCATCATCCGAATAAAGAAGTTGTTCGATCATAAGGTTTGTCCTTATCTGATTCACCAGCTTTTAAACATGCCACTCAAAGCAAGCTTTACTTACAATCTGAATGTTAAAACGTCTGAAGTGGTAAGGCGCTCAAACGTCGTAGAAAGAGCATACTCGATGGCACCTGAAAAGTTGTCACCCAGACAGAAAAGGCTAGAGCTGTTGGAATATTGCTCAATCTAAATGGAAATGAAGTCATTTCACTTGCCATGCAATCGTTTGTAATATATATTTTCATGTTCCTTGGTTACACTTCTGAGTTCAATAATTTTCAGTGAGGCATGCCAGCAGACAGTTTGAAATGTAGAGAATACACACAAGTTGTGACCATTGGGATGGGTACTGATTGCGTGAAGAAATTGCACGACTGCTCTGATCTATATTTTCAGAGGCACACAATAAACCCGGTGCTCCAGGTCTAGCACTGACGGAATTCCAGCCCGCAGGCCATGTAAGTGTCTGCATTTACAGTAAGACAAATGATGTTCACTCTTGGACAATGCCTTAAATAATGACATGGAACACGTAGGTCCTATGAGCTGACTACATGCAGTGAAATCGGTTTTGGATGAAATTTGTATCTATGTCTGTTCAAAGGTACATTTTAGGGGTGTTTTTCTCATCCAATATGTATTTACTAGTCTATTGTTGGTACCTTTTCAAATATTTGTTGTATATTTTCTTTTTCATATTTTCAACTGTTTTTCTCTTTCCTCTTTAAAGGCAGGTATGGACTTCACTGGTATTTCTGCACCAAATATGGGCTTAGCCAACTTTGAAACCGGTGGGGGAGCTGCTCCAGGCATGGGCAACTTTGGAGCCGGTGGGGGAGCTGCTCCAGGCATGGGCAACTTTGGAGCCGGTGGGGGAACAGCTCCAGGGATGGGCAACTTTGGAGCCGGTGGGGGAACAGCTCCAGGGATGGGCAACTTTGGAGCCGGTGGGGGAACAGCTCCAGGGATGGGCAACTTTGGACCTGGAGGCGCCGGGGCACCTGGCATGGGCAACTTCAAAATTGGTGGTGCCGGGGCACCTTCGCTACCAGGATTTAAAATGGCTGACGGAGTGCCAGGGTTATCAGGATTACCAGGATTTCCATCTGGAGGCGCACCTGGGTTACCTGGGTTACCTGGCATGGGTCAGTTTGGCGCTGGTGGCTCCGGAGCTCCAGGCATGGGCAAGTTTGGAGCTGGAGGTGCCGGTGCTCCTGGGATGGGCAACTTTGGAGCTGGAGGTGCGGGTGCTCCAGGGATGGGCAACTTTGGGGCTGGAGGCGCCGGGGCACCTGGCATGGGCAACTTCAAAATTGGTGGTGCCGGGGCACCTTCGCTACCAGGATTTAAAATGGCTGACGGAGTGCCAGGGTTATCAGGATTACCAGGATTTCCATCTGGAGGCGCACCTGCGTTACCTGGGTTACCTGGCATGGGTCAGTTTGGCGCTGGTGGCTCCGGAGCTCCAGGCATGGGCAAGTTTGGAGCTGGAGGTGCCGGGGCTCCTGGGATGAGCAACTTTGGAGCTGGAGGTGCCGGGGCACCTGGGATGGGGCAGTTTGGAGCTGGTGGAGCCGGGGCACCTGGGATGGGCAGTTTCCAACTTGGTGGGGGCGGTGCACCCGGGTTATCAGGATTTAAAATGGCTGGCGGAGTACCAGGATTATCAGGAATGCCAGATATGAGTGGTTTCGGTGGAGCGGAAGGAGGAAGTTCCCTTGGCAGTGGAATGAGTCTTAATTCTTTCAAGATCGCTGGTGGCGTCGGAGGGTTGGATTCTGTAGTAAGTTGTTTTGAATAGATATGAACATGATATTAAACTTTTGCATAATGCTATAGTTTCTTTTACAACGTTAATTTTCAGTAGTACACTACTCGGCTTAAGCTGTCCCCAGACTTCCGCAACAGTGTTTGATTTCGAGTCATTTCTATTCCTGTTTTTAGGGAACACCGGCAGAGCGGAAAGCACTCATCCAAAAGGCAGAAAAGGAACGAGATAACAAGGCTAAGGTAGATATATTTCAGACCAAGAGACATCGGTCCAGCAAGGATGGTCACAAACTGTCGTTTCTACAGGGATGATATGTGTGGTTATGTAGTGCTAACACCTGTCTCTTTTACGGAGCCTCGAGGTCAGTCTCATTGAGTTGGTAGATGAGGTGAGGTGAAATTGGGTTTAACGTCGTGCTTGAGAATATTTCGCTCATATGACGACGTGCATGCGTGTGTATGTGTATGTGCGGCTGCTTGTACTAGCCCAGACTGAAGCTGGTTTTATAGTGCTAGCCCACTGAGATACCATGCCGCAGTGAAGCATGAATACCCCACTCAGACACATTATACTGACTCCGAGCCGACCAGTCCTTGTTGTACCCATTAATGCCGAGCGCCAGGCAGGGACCAACAAGTACCATATTTTAACGTCTTTTGGTATGACGCGGCCGGGAATCGAACCCGCGACCTTCCGCTCTCCGGGCGGACGCTCTAACCACTACACCACGGAGGCGGTTGAGTTGGTAGATTCATTTATCGTATTTCAGTTGCTGATATCGATGCTCATGATGTTAATCATTAGATTGTCAGGTCCACAAATAAATATTTTCTGCCGTCACACCAGCTTGAATAATGCTGAGTGAGTGAGTGTGGTCTTACGCCGCTTGTGGCAACATTTGAACACGCTTTCGGTGTGTTTCAGCACCCTTGTTTTCGCTGTTTTTGACAATGTTTCATTTTACTCAAACTCAACGAATATTGAATCAGTTGCTTCACTGCATGTTCCAACATGTCGTTTGAAGTGCCCATTAAGCACACAAAACGTTGCATTTACCTTAGAGTATAAATGACCTCATCACGTTTACGTTTATATATGAATATAAAATGTTACGGTATTCCCATACTTTTTGATTGTAGTTTAGCTACATTTTATAGCCAATTTAACCATATGTCCAAATTTAGCTATATAATATGTCACTCTGAATTAAGTATGGTTTTACGCGGCGTTTTGCAATATTCCAGCAATATCACGGCGGTGGACACCAGAAATGGACTTCAGACATTGTACTCATGTAGGGAATCGAACCCGGTGTTCGGCTTGACGAGCGAAACCTCTAGGCTACCCCATGGCTATCGATGTCTCTATATGACTATACTAAATAACCTGCCTCTCTGTATAGTGACATCCTCGAAAAAACGAATTCTCTAAATGCATGTTGCATTCAATTACTGCATGCTTCAGCTCCGAGACACTATAGCAGGAGCCTGCGCCAATATGACGACCCCGGACTCAACCGCCATGGAGCAGGTGCTTACCTGTCTACATACTAACGCTAAGGAGTCTGCAGAGTGTACCAAGTTATGTCAGGTAACATCCGCACTGTGACCGTCAAACGTATCAAGTTTTACCCCTGTGTCATGTTAATGCACCAAATTATGTAAGGTAACATCCGCACTGTGACCGTCAAACGTATCAAGTTTTACCCCTGTGTCATGTTAATGCACCAATTTATGTCAGGTAACATCCGCACTGTGACCGCCAAACGTATCAAGTTTTACCTCTGTGTCATGTTCATGCACCAAGTAATGTCAGGTAACATCCGCACTGTGACCATCAAACGTATCAAGTTTTACCTCTGTGTCATGTTAATGCACCAAGTTATGTCAGGTAACATCCGCACTGTGGCCGTCAAATGTATCAAGTTTTACCCCTGTGTCATGTTCTTGCACCAAGTTCTCTCAGGTAACATCCGCACTGTAACCGTCAAACGAATCAAGTTTTACCCCTGTGTCATGTTCATGCACCAAGTTATGTCAGGTAATATTCATACTGTAACCGTCAAACGTATCAAGTTTTACCTCTGTGTCATGTTCTTGCATCAATTTCTGTCAGGTTACATCCGCACTGTGACCGCCAAACGTATCAAGTTTTACCTCTGTGGCATGTTATTGCACCAAGTTATGTCGGGTAACATCCGCACTGTGACCATCAAACGTATCAAGTTTTACCTCTCTGTCATGTTATTGCACCAAGTTATGTCGGGTAACATCCGCACTGTGACCGTCAAACGTATCAAGTTTTACCCAAGTGTCACGTTCATGCACCAAGTTCTGTCAGGTTACATCCACACTGTAACGTCAAACGCATCAAGTTGTACCCCTGTGTGATGTTCGTGCACCAAGTTCTATCTGTTTGTGACCATCAAACGTATCAAGTTGTACCCCTGTGTGATGTTCATGCACCGAGTTTTATCTGTTTGTGACCGTCAAACGTATCAAGTTTTACCCAAGTGTCACGTTCGTGCACCAAGTTCTGTCAGGTTACATCCACACTGTAACGTCAAACGTATCAAGTTGTACCCCGATTGTGTGATGTTCATGCACCAAGTTTTATCTGTTTGTGACCGTCAAACGTATCAAGTTTTACCCTGTGTCATGTTAATGCACCAAGTTATGTCAGGTAACATCCGCACTGTGACCGTCAAACGTATCAAGTTTTACCTCTGTGTCATGTTCATGCACCAAGTAATGTCAGGTAACATCCGCACTGTGACCGTCAAACGTATCAAGTTTTACCTCTGTGTCATGTTAATGCACCAAGTTATGTCAGGTAACATCCGCACTGTGACCGTCAAATGTATCAAGTTTTACCTCTGTGTCATGTTCATGCATCAAGTTATGTCAGGTAACATCCGCACTGTAACCGTCAAACGAATCAAGTTTTACCCCTGTGTCATGTTCATGCATCAAGTTATGTCAGGTAACATCCGCACTGTAACCGTCAAACGAATCAAGTTTTACCCCTGTGTCATGTTCTTGCACCAATTTCTGTCAGGTAACATCCGCACTGTAACCGTCAAACGAATCAAGTTTTACCCCTGTGTCATGTTCATGCACCAAGTTATGTCAGGTAATATTCATACTGTAACCGTCAAACGTATCAAGTTTTACCTCTGTGTCATGTTCTTGCACCAATTTTGTCAGGTAACATCCGCACTGTGACCATCAAACGTATCAAGTTTTACCTCTGTGTCATGTTATTGCACCAAGTTATGTCGGGTAACATCCGCACTGTGACCGTCAAACGTATCAAGTTTTACCCAAGTGTCACGTTCATGCACCAAGTTCTGTCAGGTTACACCCACACTGTAACCGTCAAACGCATCAAGTTGTACCCCTGTGTGATGTTCGTGCACCAAGTTCTATCTGTTTGTGACCATCAAACGTATCAAGTTGTACCCCTGTGTGATGTTCATGCACCGAAGTTTTATCTGTTTGTGACCGTCAAACGTATCAAGTTTTACCCAAGTGTCACGTTCGTGCACCAAGTTCTGTCAGGTTACATCCACACTGTAACGTCAAACGTATCAAGTTGTACCCCTGTGTGATGTTCATGCACCAAGTTTTATCTGTTTGTGACCGTCAAACGTATCAAGTTTTACCCCTGTGTCATGTTAATGCACCAAGTTATATCAGGTAACATCCGCACTGTGACCGTCAAACGTATCAAGTTTTACCTCTGTGTCATGTTCATGCACCAAGTAATGTCAGGTTACATCCGCACTGTAACCGTCAAACGAATCAAGTTTACCCCTGTGTCATGTTCATGCACCAAGTTATGTCAGGTAATATTCATACTGTAACCGTCAAACGTATCAAGTTTTACCTCTGTGTCATGTTCTTGCACCAATTTCTGTCAGGTAACATCCGCACTGTGACCGTCAAACGTATCAAGTTTTACCCAAGTGTCACGTTCATGCACCAAGTTATGTCAGGTTACATCCACACTGTAACGTCAAACGCATCAAGTTGTACCCCTGTGTGATGTTCGTGCACCAAGTTCTATCTGTTTGTGACCATCAAACGTATCAAGTTGTACCCCTGTGTGATGTTCATGCACCGAGTTTTATCTGTTTGTGACCGTCAAACGTATCAAGTTTTACCCAAGTGTCACGTTCGTGCACCAAGTTCTGTCAGGTTACATCCACACTGTAACGTCAAACGTATCAAGTTGTACCCCTGTGTGATGTTCATGCACCAAGTTTTATCTGTTTGTGACCGTCAAACGTATCAAGTTTTACCCCTGTGTCATGTTAATGCACCAAGTTATATCAGGTAACATCCGCACTGTGACCGTCAAACGTATCAAGTTTTACCTCTGTGTCATGTTCATGCACCAAGTAATGTCAGGTAACATCCGCACTGTGACCATCAAACGTATCAAGTTTTACCTCTGTGTCATGTTAATGCACCAAGTTATGTCAGGTAACATCCGCACTGTGACCGTCAAACGTATCAAGTTTTACCCCTGTGTCATGTTCATGCACCAATATATGTCAGGTAACATCCGCACTGTAACCGTCAAACGTATCAAGTTTTACCTCTGTGTCATGTTCATGCACCAAGTTCTGTCAGGTAACATCCGCACTGTGACCATCAAACGTATCAAGTTTTACCTCTGTGTCATGTTCATGCACCAAGTTATGTCAGGTAACATCCGCACTGTGACCGTCAAACGTATCAAGTTTTACCCCTGTGTCATGTTCTTGCACCAATTTCTGTCAGGTAACATCCGCACTGTAACCGTCAAACGAATCAAGTTTTACCCCTGTGTCATGTCCATGCACCAAGTTATGTCAGGTTATATTCATACTGTACCCGTCAAACGAATCAAGTTTTACCCCTGTGTCATGTTCTTGCATCAATTTCTGTCAGGTTACATCCGCACTGTAACCGTCAAACGAATCAAGTTTTACCCCTGTGTCATGTTCATGCACCAAGTTATGTCAGGTAATATTCATACTGTAACCGTCAAACGTATCAAGTTTTACCTCTGTGTCATGTTCTTGCACCAATTTCTGTCAGGTAACATCCGCACTGTGACCATCAAACGTATCAAGTTTTACCTCTCTGTCATGTTATTGCACCAAGTTATGTCGGGTAACATCCGCACTGTGACCGTCAAACGTATCAAGTTTTACCCAAGTGTCACGTTCATGCACCAAGTTCTGTCAGGTTACATCCACACTGTAACGTCAAACGCATCAAGTTGTACCCCTGTGTGATGTTCGTGCACCAAGTTCTATCTGTTTGTGACCATCAAACGTATCAAGTTGTACCCCTGTGTGATGTTCATGCACCGAGTTTTATCTGTTTGTGACCGTCAACGTATCAAGTTTTACCCAAGTGTCACGTTCGTGCACCAAGTTCTGTCAGGTTACATCCACACTGTAACGTCAAACGTATCAAGTTGTACCCCTGTGTGATGTTCATGCACCAAGTTTTATCTGTTTGTGACCGTCAAACGTATCAAGTTTTACCCCTGTGTCATGTTAATGCACCAAGTTATATCAGGTAACATCCGCACTGTGACCGTCAAACGTATCAAGTTTTACCTCTGTGTCATGTTCATGCACCAAGTTATGTCAGGTAACATCCGCACTGTGACCGTCAAATGTATCAAGTTTTACCCCTGTGTCATGTTCATGCATCAAGTTATGTCAGGTAACATCCGCACTGTAACCGTCAAACGAATCAAGTTTTACCCCTGTATCATGTTCATGCATCAAGTTATGTCAGGTAACATCCGCACTGTAACCGTCAAACGAATCAAGTTTTACCCCTGTGTCATGTTCTTGCACCAATTTCTGTCAGGTTACATCCGCACTGTAGCCTGTCAAACGAATCAAGTTTCACCCCTGTGTCATGTTCTTGCATCAATTTCTGTCAGGTTACATCCGCACTGTAACCGTCAAACGAATCAAGTTGTACCCCTGTGTCATGTTCATGCACCAAGTTATGTCAGGTAATATTCATACTGTAACCGTCAAACGTATCAAGTTTTACCTCTGTGTCATGTTCTTGCACCAATTTTTGTCAGGTAACATCCGCACTGTGACCATCAAACGTATCAAGTTTTACCTCTGTGTCATGTTATTGCACCAAGTTATGTCGGGTAACATCCGCACTGTAACCCGTCAAACGAATCAAGTTTTACCCTTGTGTCATGTTCTTGCATCAATTTCTGTCAGGTTACATCCGCACTGTAACCGTCAAACGAATCAAGTTTTACCCCTGTGTCATGTTCATGCACCAAGTTATGTCAGGTAATATTCATACTGTAACCGTCAAACGTATCAAGTTTTACCTCTGTGTCATGTTCTTGCACCAATTTCTGTCAGGTAACATCCGCACTGTGACCATCAAACGTATCAAGTTTTACCTCTCTGTCATGTTATTGCACCAAGTTATGTCAGGTAACATCCGCACTGTGACCGTCAAACGTATCAAGTTTTACCCAAGTGTCACGTTCATGCACCAAGTTCTGTCAGGTTACATCAACACTGTAACGTCAAACGCATCAAGTTGTACCCCTGTGTGATGTTCGTGCACCAAGTTCTATCTGTTTGTGACCATCAAACGTATCAAGTTGTACCCCTGTGTGATGTTCATGCACCGAGTTTTATCTGTTTGTGACCGTCAAACGTATCAAGTTTTACCCAAGTGTCACGTTCGTGCACCAAGTTCTGTCAGGTTACATCCACACTGTAACGTCAAACGTCAAACGTACCATGTTCATGCACCAAGTTTTATTTTGTTTGTGAACGTCCGCGTATCAAGTTTTACCTATTATCTCGCATTAAAGGATTGTTTTAATTATATATTTCTTGTTGGTGAACATTTGCACTGTGCACCGTCAGTGAATATTCTAAGCGACTTATAACATTTCTTTAGTCATGTTCATTAGAATTCTTTAGTAATGTGGAATGTACCGTCCGCTTAGGTGTAGTCATTTGAACATAGTACCATAGTTTTACCTCTGTCTTCATAATCACAATGCAAATCCAAGTTATACAGGTAACATCCGCACTGTGACCGTCAAACGTATCAAGTTTTACCTGACTGTGTCATGTTCTATGCACCAAGTTATGTCAGGTAATATCCGCGGCTGTCACCGTCAAATGTTCAAAGTTTTACCCATGTGGGATTCGATCATCAAGTCATGTAAGACTCATAGAGCAGCACATTGTGTTGTATCAAACGAATGTCGTTTCAATATTTTTAAATATAAATCAGACAAGTTGGTCTAGGGAATATCATGTTCAAATAGAAGCATTTGCTTCCCGCCATCGTTTATGTCAGGTAACATCCGCACCAGATGTGTAACCGTCAAACGTGTGATGTTGGCAAGTTTTTTCTCCCCTGTGTCATGTTCTTGCACCAATTTCTGTCAGGTTACATCCGCACTGTAACCGTCAAACGAATCAAGTTTTACCCCTGTGTCATGTTCTTGCATCAATTTCTGTCAGGTTACATCCGCACTGTAACCGTCAAACGAATCAAGTTTTACCCCTGTGTCATGTTCATGCACCAAGTTATGTCAGGTAATATTCATACTGTAACCGTCAAATGTGTCAAGTTTTACCCCTGTGTCATGTTCATGCATCAAGTTATGTAAGGTAACATCCGCACTGTAACCGTCAAACGAATCAAGTTTTACCCCTGTGTCATGTTCATTGCACCAAGTTATGTCGGGTAACATCCGCACTGTAACCCGTCAAACGAATCAAGTTTTACCCCTGTGTCATGTTCTTGCATCAATTTCTGTCAGGTTACATCCGCACTGTAACCGTCAAACGAATCAAGTTTTACCCCTGTGTCATGTTCATGCACCAAGTTATGTCAGGTAATATTCATACTGTAACCGTCAAACGTATCAAGTTTTACCCCTGTGTCATGTTCTTGCATCAATTTCTGTCAGGTTACATCCGCACTGTAACCGTCAAACGAATCAAGTTTTACCCCTGTGTCATGTTCATGCACCAAGTCATGTCAGGTAATATTCATACTGTAACCGTCAAACGTATCAAGTTTTACCTCTGTGTCATGTTCTTGCACCAATTTCTGTCAGGTAACATCCGCACTGTGACCATCAAACGTATCAAGTTTTACCTCTGTGTCATGTTATTGCACCAAGTTATGTCAGGTAACATCCGCACTGTGACCGTCAAACGTATCAAGTTTTACCCAAGTGTCACGTTCATGCACCAAGTTCTGTCAGGTTACATCCACACTGTAACGTCAAACGCATCAAGTTGTACCCCTGTGTGATGTTCGTGCACCAAGTTCTATCTGTTTGTGACCATCAAACGTATCAAGTTGTACCCCTGTGTGATGTTCATGCACCGAGTTTTATCTGTTTGTGACCGTCAAACGTATCAAGTTTTACCCAAGTGTCACGTTCATGCACCAAGTTCTGTCAGGTTACATCCACACTGTAACGTCAAACGTATCAAGTTGTACCCCTGTGTGATGTTCATGCACCAAGTTCTATCTGTTTGTGACCGTCAAACGTATCAAGTTTTACCCCTGTGTCATGTTAATGCACCAAGTTATGTCAGGTAACATCCACACTGCAACGTCAAACGTATCAAGTTTTACCCCTGTGTGATGTTCATGCACCAAGTTTTATCTGTTTGTGACCGTCAAACGTATCAAGTTTTACCCATCTGTCATGTTCATGCGCCAGATTTTGTCAGATAACATCCGCATTGTGACAACCTATTATCTACGCATCAAAGGATTGTTTTAATTATATATTTCTTGTTGGTGAAGTTTGCGTATGCAATCATCAGTGAATATTCTAAGCGACTTAGAACATTTCTTTAGAGTAGAATTATCAGCTGTCTTTAGAGTGGAATGTACTACTTAGGTAGTAGTCATTTGAACATAGTACCATACTTTATACTCATCTTTAATCACACTTAAATCACATTTTACATGATCATTTCTGTAGTTCCTGTGTGTGCTTTCTTCAATCATTACTGACTGACTGAGTTTGGTTTTACGCCGCTTTTAGCAATATTCCAGCAATATCACGGCGGGGGTCACCAGAAATGGGCTTCACTCATTGTACCCATGTGGGGATTCGATCTTCAATCATATAAGACTCATAGAGCAGCATATTGTGTTGTATAAGAATGTCGTTTCAATATTTTTAAATATAAATCAGACAAGTAGTGGTCTAGGGAATATAGGTCTTGAAAAGCTTGAAATAGAAGCATTTGCTTCCTGCCATCGTTTACGTAGGTAGGTGGCACAAAATTCCACCAGATGTGTAACCTCTGCAACACGTGTGTGATGTTGGCGATGAATTTCATTACATTTTTCTCTGCCCTTTCTGCAAACATCATCGGAAAACTATTATATCCCAGACCAATACGTTACAAAACCCAATGTTTTAAGACGAACTGTTTAACTGTAAACGAATTAATGTTTTGAAAAAATGTGTATATTTTGTAGTATTATCATGAAAACTGTACAATCTTCCTTGTAACCCATCCAGCCACCCCATGTATTCTCTACTGTAAATTTGTACCTCTTCGGCCTGAGGGTAATAAAAGTTCTGTTCTGTACTGCCACCATAAAACTTGCGATAGCCATTTATACAGGAAAATATCCTTTTGTCTTAGACGTAGGGATAAAAATAACTTTCTAGTCTTTCTGATTGGATACACTCAGATCATGTCAAATTTAATCATTCATATATCTATTTTAAAGTGTACAGGCTTTCACATGCCTTAGAAACTGACATCCATATGCGTATATACGACACAATTAACAATTCACGCGTCTTACACGAGACTTTATTCTTGAAATGACGTAAACACTGACGGACTACTTACACATTCGTGGGGAAACCCTTGGGAATTCCCTTGCACAAATATACGCAGAAGCGTTGTTTTAGATCATTAAACCCTTTAATCTTGAACTAAACTTTTTAGCATAAACTGGGAGTAGTTCACACCAATCTATAAATCTACCTAAGTGTCTGCTTGACATATCATTATACTCATATTTCAATGACTGACCAAATGATCAACGATGAACAACTTTGAACATTTCTCCCGTCATGTCTGCCATGTCGGCCATTTTTACACCCTGCATTTGATATATTACGACGCGCCGTCACTAAGACTGACCAACTGAGTTAGTTCTTAGAAAACGTTTTTGTCGTCCCATTTTAATCTATTTGTTGTAATCCAACAATCAAAGGTGCTACCCAAGAGCATACATCCACTCATGTAACCCTTCCTTTTGAGAACTATTTTATTCCGCGTGTCTCAGTTGGTTGGTGTACGGTCGTTTGTGTAAACCAAGTCACACCTACCACATGAAATTGCGAAATTCTTGTGTACAATAGTTATAGAAAATATTACAAGAACTGAATGCCATTGTTCCATTAAGTTAACGTCAATGAATAATAGATATTGTTAAGTGAGTGAGTATGGTTTTACGCCGCTTTCAGCAATATTCCAGCAATAGCATGCGGGATACACCAGAAATGGGCTTCACACATTGTACCCATGCGTGACGAGTGGACCCTTTAACCATTAGGCTACCAACCGCCCCATATATTGTTAAATATAGAGCGAGTTTTCGATGATTTCAGAAAGCAACTATGCTGAAAACACTGGAGATAACAAAGGAACTATCACATATGAATACATCGTCTGAAAACACAAAGGCTCTGGGCACGGCTCTGCTCAACGTGGCTCAGGAAGCTGCTGCGGTCAGTAAACTCCTCCATCTTTAAAGTTTCCCCTCCTTTGCATAATGTGGTGTTTCTTGTGTGGAGATTCCATAAACCATATGTTTCTATAGTGAAGTATTTCTCCTTGACCAACTCACACATTATCTGCATACAGCACAGCACATACGAGCCAATCACCAGCGTTCATGTAACAAAACTGTTACGGCTCTACCTGGAAACACTAAAGTCATCAGAACTGCACTCTTCAATCTTGTAACATTCGTTACACTCCCATGTATACCCCTTACAAATCACAAGCTTATATGATGTGGGGTCTCTTCTTTTAACACCTTACAAATAAGAGATTGGTATAAAATATTATCTCCCTTTATGACACCTTACAAATAACAGATTTACATCTTCTTTACAGTATCTCTACGTTACGTAGACGACATACCATATGCTTATGTAATGACGTGTATCCTAACCCTTCATTCATCATATGGTTACAAAATGTAGTATCCTACCTCATACATAAATGTCGTTTTCTGATTGGCTGAGCGCTTTTCTATTATTTTCAATGTACCCCGCTTACAAGTGAGTAGCATTTTCTATGTTACCCGCTGTGGGAATTCATTTTGTACTTCGTGTTAGAAATTCTTTATCTCGAATAACTGAGACACGTATCATGTACGGAAATTACCGATGTTTTGCGAAGGCAGATGATGTTTTTTCTTGTTATCTGCTAGATTATATGTCATCTGAAAATCTACTATTAGCTAATTGTCCCACTCTGGTACTCTTTATTATGATCTGATACCCGTGCTTCAAACTGTTCAAAATTAACATTGAGGTGTTCGGTAAGATAAATACGTTGTTCACTGGTCCCTCGGGATCCATGGGCTGATGTATCCTCTATCGGGCTCAGGGAACATAAACAAACATATAGTGTACATCAACCCATGTCCCCCTCGTGATCTGTGAATAACTTATAGTGTCTCTCCTTAGACACCCCATAGCATGCTTACATAGAGCAGTCACTCTCTCACCGACACCGAGCATACCTTTAGTACACGTGATTGTGTATTGTTTTATTTCCAAAAACCACTGACTTTATACATACATAAGCTGAATATCCGACATGCATTTTTGTTTTTATCAATCTGACCTAAAGCATACTTTTTCTGCTATGTGTGTGTGCATCATGCAGGCCGCGGTGGTGAATATCCAGTGGCCAGTACTGAGTGACAAACTCACTGCAATGGATACGTCGGAATTCGAGGACTATGACACAGACATAGAGTCGAACCAGAGCGGTAAGAGCTAGTGGGGGATGGAGGGGAAAGGGGGTTAAATGATGTTTTGAACTGTACTTCTCTTTTTACAAGCAGTATCAGAACTTGATATTGGAGGAACATTCAAGTTATGCATTTCTCTGGTCTTTGTGACTTCGGTGCTGACAGACATAGAAATTGGGTCATTGTGATATATCCGAGACTCTTAGTAAAGTAACAGAAGCAGTAGAAGGGGTGTAGTAATATTGGTAGCATGAGTAGTTGTCCTAATACGAGGGGCAGCAGCAGCAGCAGTAGAAGGGGTGTGGTAATAGTAGTAGCATGAGTAGTTGTCGTAATAGGAGGGGTAGCAGCAGCAGTAGAAGGGGTGTAGTAATATTGGTAGCATGAGTAGTTGTCGTAATAGGAGGGGAGCAGCAGCAGCAGAACGGGGTGTAGTAATAGTAGTAGCATGAGTAGTTGTCGTAATAGGAGGGCAGCAAGCAGCAGTAGAAGGGGGTGTAGTAATAGTAGTAGCATGAGAAGTTGTCGTAATAGGAAGGGTAGCAGCAGCAGCAATAGAAGGGGTGTAGTAATAGTAGTAGCATGAGTAGTTGTCGTAATAGGAGGGGAGTAGCAGCTGCAGTAAAAGGGGGTGTAATAATAGTAGTTGCATGGGTAGTTGCCGTAATAGTAGGGGTAGCAGCTGCAAGCAGCAGAAGGGGTGTAGTAATAGTAGCAGCATGAGAACTTGTCGTAATAGGAGGCAGCAGCAGCTGCAGCAAAGGGGTCGTAGTAACAGTAGTAGCAATGAGAACTTGTCGTCGCAGTAGGGGTGGCAGCAAAGCAGCAAAAAGGCAGCAATAGTGGCAGCACGGGAGCCGGTGCAATAGTAGGAGCAGCCAGCGCAGCAGTAGAAGGTGTAGTAATAGTAGTAGCAATGGGAACTTGTCGTAATAGTAGGGTAGCAGCAGCAGCTGCAGTTAAAGGGGGTGTAGTAATAGTAGTAGCATGAGAACTTGTCGTAATAGTAGGGGTAGCAGCAACAGCAGTAGAAGGGGTGTAGTAATAGCAGTAAGATGAGTAGTTGTCGTAATAGGAGGGGTAGCAGCAGCAGCAGTAGAAGGGGTATAATAATAGTAGTAGTGCAGAGAACTTCTAATAGGAGGGGTAGCAGCAGCTTACAGTAGAAAGGGGTAGTATAGTAGTATGAGTAGCTGTCGTAATAGGAGGGCAGCAGCAACAACAGCAGAAGGGGTGTAGTAATTGTAGTGGCATGAGAACGTGTCGTAATAGGAGGGGTAGCAGCAGCAGCTGCAGTAAAAGAAGGGGTGTAGTAATAGTAGTAGCATGGGAACTTGTCGTAATAGTAAGGGTAGCAGCAGCAGCAGTAGAAGGGGTTGTAATAATAGTAGTAGCATGAGTAGTTGTCTTAAAAGGAGGGGTAGCAGCAGCAGCAGTAGAAGGGGTGTAGTAATAGTAGTAGCATGAGAACTTGTCGTCATAGGAGGGGTAGCAGCAGCAGCAGTAGAAGGGGTGTAGTAATAGTAGTAGCATGGGTAGTTGTCGTAATAGGTGGGGTAGCAGCAGCAGCAGTAGAAAGGGTGTAGTAATAGTAGTAGCATGACTAGTTGTCGTAATAGTAGGTGTAGCAGTATCAGCAGTAGAAGGGGTGTAGTAATAGTAGTAGCATGAGAACTTGTCGTAATAGTAGGGGTAGCAGCAGCAGCTGCAGTAAAAAGGGGTGTAGTAATAGTAGTAGCATGAGTAGTTGTCGTAATAGTAGGGGTAGCAGCAGCAGCAGAAGGTGGTGTAGTAATATTGGTAGCATGAGTAGTTGTCGTAATAGGATGGGTAGCATCAGCAGCAGAAGGGGTTTAGTAATAGTAGTAGCATGGGTAGTTGTCGTAATAGGTGTGTAGCAGCAGCTGCAGTAAAAGGGGGTTTAGTAATAGTAGTAGCATGGGTAGTTGTCGTAATAGGAGTGTAGCAGCAGCTGCAGTAAAAGGGTTTAGTAATAGTAGTAGCATGAGTAGTTGTCGTAATAGGAGGGGTAGCAGCAGCAGTAGAAGGGGTGTAGTAATATTGGTAGCATGAGTAGTTGTCGTAATAGGAGGGGTAGCAGCAGCAGTAGAAGGGGTGTAGTAATAGTAGTAGCATGAGTAGTTGTCGTAATAGGAGGGTAGCAGCAGCAGCAGTAGAAGGGGTGTAGTAATATTAGTAGCATGAGTAGTTGTCGTAATAGGAGGGGTAGCAGCAGCAGTAGAAGGGGTGTAGTAATAGTAGTAGCATGAGTAGTTGTCGTAATAGGAGGGTAGCAGCAGCAGCGGAAGGTGGGGTGTAGTAATAGTAGTAGCATGAGTAGTTGTCGTAATACGAGGTGTAGCAGCAACAGCGGTATGAGGGGTGTAGTAATAGTAGTAGCATGAGTAGTTGTCGTAATAGGAAGGTAGCAGCAGGAGCGGAAGGTGGTGTAGTAATAGTAGTAGCATGAGTAGTTGTCGTAATACGAGGTGTAGCAGCAACAGCGGTAGGAGGGGTGTAGTAATAGTAGTAGCATGAGTAGTTGTCGTAATACGAGTGGTAGCAGCAGCAGTAGAAGATGGTGTAGTTATATTGGTAGCATGACTAGCTGTCGTAATAACCCAGCAATGGAAGGAAACACAGCATGAACACACAGAAGGAAAGCACGACCACACACACACAGGAAGAAAATAGGAACACAGGAATGAGAAAACATAACACGAGGAAATAAGGAGGGGTGAAAAGAACAGTGGAAGGAGAATGGAAAAAGGAAAAGAATAACACACAGCATGGAGGAAAAGAAAAAAGAATGGACTTGAAGAAACAGAAGAATCCCACAAAAACACACATACATGCATGCACAGGAAAATAGCACGAGAAGAAGAATTAATAGAAATAAGAAACAAAATGCAAAGTAAAGGATCGTAAATACAGGAGAATGCCACAGACACACACACACAGTAGCACACAGCACGAGGCACGAGACACACAACAGCATGGAGACACAACAGACAGAAAGAAAAGAAAAAGACACAGGCATGACCAGAAAGACCAGAAGGCACGAGACACACAGAAGGAAAATAGCAGCAGCATCAGAAGGAACAGGCATGAACACACAGGCATGATCCACACCCACACACAAAGAATGGAGGCACGAGAACACAAAGCACGAGACACAAGCATGCACACAGGAAAATAACCACAAGAAAAGGAATGACCAAGACCGAAAGAAAAAATAACTTGTCAACACACAAGGAAAGAAGGAACACAGGAAAAATAAGGACGACCGAAGAAAATGGCATGGAAGAAGGAAAATGAAAATAAGGAGTGAAGAAATAAGGAATAGTGAAGGAGGAAAGGAAAGGAAAATAACACAGGCATGGAGGAAGAAAAGGAAAGGAAAAGAAGGAAGAATGGAGGAAAGAAGGAAAATGGAAAGAATGGACCACAGGAAGAAAAGAGTAGTAATAGTACTAGCAATGAGAAGTTGTCGTAATTGAGGGATGCAGAAGTAGAAGGTGGTGGAAATAGTAGTACAGTGAAATAACAAGGAAGTTGTCGTAAATACGAATTGTAACCGGCAGTATGGAAGGTGGTGAATAGAAATGAGAGGAAGAATAATGGAAAGGAAAGAATAGTACCCAAAATAATAGTGGAGTAATAATTGGACAGGCATGACTTAGCTGTCAATGTCTGAAGGGTGACCAGAAGCACATGGTTAAATCGTAGAAGTAAGTGGCACCATGTAATGTATAGTAAATGATATTGGTAAGCTAGCTAGTTGTCAGCATTAGGCCAGAACAGTGTGGTAAGTAGCATGAGTAGTTGTCAATAGAGGGTAGCAACAGCAGTAGAAGGGTGTAGTAATAGTATTAGCATGAGTAGTTGTCGTAATAGGAGGGCAGCAGCTGCAGTAGAAGGGGTGTAGAAATACTGGTAGCATGAGTAGTTGTCGTAATAGGAGGGTTAGCAGCAGCAGAAGAAGAAGGGGGTGTGGTAGTTGTCGTAATAGGAGGGGTAGCAGCAGCAGCAGCAGTAGAAAGGGTGTGGTAATAGTAGTAGCATGAGTAGTTGTCGTAATAGGAGGGCTAGCAGTAGCAGCAGAAGAAGGGGGTGTGGTAGTTGTCGTAATAGGAGGGGTAGCAGCAGCAGAAGAAGAAGGGGGTGTGGTAGTTGTCGTAATAGGAGGGGTAGCAGCAGCAGCAGTAATAGTAGAATGAGGAGGAGCGAAGGAGAAGTAGTAGCAGCAGTAGTAACGACAGTAGCATCTATTGGAGGAAGTAGTCTTAGCAGTAGTGGTGCTGGTATAGATATGTGTGGGTGCTGTGTTGGTGATAGCAGTAGATTTAGTCATAGTAACCGATGTTGTCGTAACAGTATCTCTTCTTCAGACTTACGGCAGAGAGACAGGAGCTGTCATCAGTAAGGGTTGTATGTTTCAGGCGTAGCCTTCTCTAACGATCCAGCAGGTCAACATCTTCTTAACGCTCACAAAGCCAGCCAGGCCAAAATTGTAAGTCGATAACAATGTTATCTGGCGTTAAGCATATGCTACATGCATAAGTATAATATTTTTAGGTCGGGGACTTATTCACAATGAGGTTTCATAAGATTTGCCGTTATATTTGACCTGTTAACCCGTAGAACGACAGACTCACTCATTGTTAACTACAACAGATAACTGCCCATGGCGCATAACCTCATCACATAACATTTTCGTGCAAGGATTATTTTGTTTTCACTTTCTGCTTTAGAAAAACGACTGTGTTCCTAAATCAAGCCGTTCACTATCTCCGGTACAACATGAAAAAATCAGTTTTCGTATAATGTTTGATATGTTTTGTCAGGAGGTTGGTTGTAAGGGGGAATAACTCTGCATAAAGCCTCCAGGTTTTGTTCTTAGAGAACTGTGGTGTTTTAACAATCGACGTTTCTTGTTGTCAATATAGTTCAATATGGTTCAATATCGATGTCGCGTGTTTATGAGGATATGCTCTCTGAGGGGCGGTGGGGTAGCCTAGTGGTTAAGGCGTTCGCTCGTCACATCGAAGACTCGGGTTCGATTCCCCACATGGGACCAATGTGTGAAGCCAATTTCTGGTGTCCCCCGCCGTGATATTCATGAAATTTTGCTAAACTTGTCGTAAAACTAAAGTCACTCACTCACATGTTCTTTACAAGAATTAGAGAAATTGAAAATCGGTTTATTGCCTCCCTCCCTCTTTTCTGAACATCTAGGCAGCTGAGGTTGCCGAAATGGCCCTACAGACCCAGCAGCTGGCTGTCCAGACGCTGGGCCAGACTCTCACCCGGGAGTCGCTAGAGTACACCACCCCTCTGCTGCAGCCGGAATCATCGGCCATCTGGACAGTGAAGACATCATGTCTGGTGTGGAGATTCAAATGCCGGGGACAACGACGTCCATCTCAATCCCTGAAGGCAACATGTTCGGTGACAGTATCGGTGTCAACGGCAGCGCCATCTTGTCTGGTGAGTGAAATCAGTAATCATGGGTTCATTTTTCAGAGCTAGTATTCGGCGGATCACTTTTTTCAAATGTAACTTATAAACATGGACATGTTAAACTTTCTTCTTGTATTTGCATTAGCGTCATCATACCAGTTTCTGCAAGGTTCCGTTACATATACTGTAGCAAGCAGAGTTTCTAATTCGTTCAGGTGACTGCGAAGCACTTTTGTAGAGTTACTTCCTCCCTTTGACATGCACACAACTATAAATGTATATTGTTCGAATCCCGGCTCGCTCTGATTATGTTGCCTAGGTTTGTCAGCCTTATAGCCGTGTTCATGGGTTCCTCTAAAGTAGTATATAACGTCTAAGACCAGAGATATTACTTCGGAATTCCCTCCATATATCAAACAGCCGCGTGTCATAGCTGACGTGCTGTTCAAGCAACACTAAGGCAAACTTATCAGAGCGACGAACAAAATGTCCGGCACCTTCCTCTTTGGCGTAATTTATACATTCTACGCTTCAAAGTCCTTATTACAGGACAGTTTTCTGTTTGTTATTCGCATTGCAGTTGTTTTAGTAGGTGTCGTAAAATGTTTAATATATACCTTAGTAAATAAATTATATATCTATTATACACCCGATGCCGAAATAGTGCGTAATGTTACAAAACTTTTAAACAGCAGGTTAAGTGACTGTTATGCAAAATCATTTTCATTATATGTAATGATGCTGAAAAGAGTCACCGAAAAAGGCAGTATTACATGCTGTTTGGTATGACAAATCGTCCCAACAATAAGTCACATTCAGTTCCTGCCTGACCCGTGAAGATGCGGGGTGTGAATAGGTCTTCAACCAACCCACGCTTGCCACAAAAGGCGAAAGATGCGGGGTAGAATAGGTCTTCAGCAACCCACGCTTGCCACAAAAGGCGACTATGCTTGTCGTAAGAGGCGACTAACGGGATCGGGTGGTCGGGCTTGCTGACTTGGTTGACACATGTCATCGGTTCCCAATTGCGCAGATCGATGCTCATGCTGTTGATCACTGGATTGTCTGGTCCAGACTCGATTATTTACAGACCGCCGCCATGTAGCTGGAATATTGCTGAGTGCGACGTAAAACTAACTCACTCACTCTGGACACCCGGATTCTCTGTCAGAAGTTGAGTACATGTATACACATCCAGTTCCTTCTCATTTTGCAAGGCGATGACAACGAAGCTGGATATCAACACATATGTGGACTCGGGAATAAACCTAGGTCCAGGAACCCAGTTCCTGAATGTCGACATGATGGATGGCTTCGGCTTCCCGATCGAGGTCAAGGACACTCCGGAACCACTCAAGATCACCATCGAAAGGACACCAAAATATCCCAAGATGTCTTTCAATGAAACCCATCTGAAGATTGCTGACTGGAACGAGCTGTATTACACCCAGCTGAACGTCACGAGAGCGGAATCGTCCGTCCACCTGGAAGTGAAGGAGATGAAGGAGAAGGACCTCCAGATCATGGTTATCTTGAAAAAGGGAGGTCTTCCCAAGATCAGCTCTGACAAATGTGATGGTGTTGGCTTCATCCCGAAATCTCTGGACTTCAGTGAGAATATGTTTGTTATTATTTTGCATTATAGAAAGACAGGATTGCATCAATATGGTCAGTTGAAAACCGAAGTGAAGTGAGATTCTAAGTCTTAGAAATAATTGAAATAGTTCCTATTGTCCCAAATTTGACACAAACTCTTTCTTCGGGAATTTTGAAGTGAATGTCGAAACCATGGCAATTGATTAAGAGTGATTGATATATCCATGTTATGACTTGATATTGCAAACATTGAGAATGAATCGATGACTTAGGAAAGTGCTTGGTTAACCTTGAAGCCCCGGGTTGCATTCCTTGTATTTGGAGATAGTGTGAACAATATAAGCAGCCTTGCAATGACGTATCTTGACCATTGCTGAAAGCATCGTGAAATTATTCTCACTGATCTCTTTGTTTCTACAGCCAAGAAAGTGAAAGGGCGGATGCGCTTTTTCATGGATAACAACAAAATTAACAGCTATATAGGCCCGGTTTGGTTCGGGTTTAGGCCAATGCCAAAAGGCTTCGACTCCAGCAAAGTGGAGTCTTGCGCTGACCTGGACAAAGTGGACGTGTCCAGCGACAAAAACTACACCCGTATGAACATAGGCATCTATACCTTCACCAGTGGTTGCTACTTCTTTGACCACGACTTGAAGGATTGGGCGTCACAAGGTTGCACAGTAAGTGAAGGCAATAATAGATAGCTGTACAGTCAGTGAGAGCTACAATCGATAGCTTCTCTTTGAGGGCAACAATAAATCATTCATTGCACAATAAGTTAGCGACAATCGATGGCTGCACTTAGAGGGCAACAACAGATCATTGCACAATAAGACAGATCTACAATCGATGGCTGCACTTTGAGAGCAACAATAAATCATTGCACAATTAGTGAGAGCTACGCTCGGCCGTTGAACAGTAAGCTAGAACAATCGATAGGTGAAGAGTATGTGAGAACTGTCATCGATGGTTGCACAGGAAGTGAAGCAACAATTGATAGTTGCACACAAATAAAGTCAGGTTCTCAAGCACAGAAGTCCTACATTAAGTGGGCAAACACTTCAACGGGTGATTTAAAGACGGAGAACATCGCTTCAAGTCATCCCTAGTCCAGTCTTCCCTTAATGTTCACTCTTGCAATTTATTAAAAGCCAACATTAAATATGCAATACGCTCAATAATGTGTATATTTGTTATTGTTTATCAATATTATTATTATAGGATATTTATATAGCGCACATATCCACGCACTAGTTCATGCTCAAGGGGCTGGTATTTTTTCCCTCGATCATTGGATGTTAATCTCAACGGCACATCGCATTATCAATCTCAACTCCCTGGGGAGTGTACAACTCTTGCAGCCACTAGGCGCACCGAGTTATTGTGGCTTTTTCATCCTAACAAGGTACCCATTCACAGCTGGGTGGACTGGGACACATAGTCACAGTACTTTGTCCATGTTCACTGCACGTTGCCATGTTTAATAGCGCCAAAGCGAAACATCCAAGATCGAATATCAAACCTGTTTTTCGAAAAATACGGGCATTTAGAAAAGTATTGCCTTGATTATTCTTAAGACAAAAGACACAGATTATTGGACAGTTTTGTAGACAAGAGAGGCACTGTTATGGGCATCATTATTCCATGAACCTTTGCCTATGATATATAATAAATATGATAAGAAAGATGAGACCCCATTGGACTGAGTTCTGACAACAGGTCGGTGAGGGGACAAACTACACACAAACAGACTGTTACTGCAACCACTTGACGACATTCGGCAGCGGTTGGACTGTAGCCCCCCACACCATCGACTGGAACTTCGTCTTCTCCAACGCCGACTTCTTCAAGAACCCCACCATCTACGTCACGGAGATCGCCATTGCCATTTTCTACGTGCTCGCCATTGTCTGGGCCAGACGCAAAGACCGGAAAGACGTCGAGGCGGTAAGACAGACTCCCTTTGATGTATGTTGTCATCTTCCAGCTTGAATATTATTAAAACAATATTCATATTTGTTAGGAATAGTGTAAATATCACAAAGTATATTCTTTATTTAAAACCCGTGAAGATCCGGGTTAGAATTGGTCTTCAGCAACCCATGCTTGTCGTAAGAGGCGACTAACGGGATTGGGTGGTTAGACTCGCTGACTTGGTTGACACATGTCATCATATCCCATTCGCGTAGATCGATGCTCATGATGTTGATCATTGGCTATATGGTCCACACTCGATTATTTACAGACCGCCGATATATATCTGGAATATTGCAGCGTTAAACAACAGGCAAACTTTATAAAACAAAATAGAGGATCATGCGCAGCCGTGTATGTGGCCATGAACAGCTATTTAGTAACCGAAAACTTACTTTAACACATTATTATGAGAGTTTTGTCCTTTGGTTATTACGATCCGACAGTCTTTGGTTCCACATTGCAAGTGTCCTAAAATATGGGTGTTTGCCATATTGTGTCAAGGTGTGTTTGTTTCTTTAATTCAATGTTGTTTGATGCCGCACTCAGGGTTATCTTTATGACGGTGGCCTGTGGACCACACAATCCACGGAATGAGCAACGACCGACGTCGGGTACGATGACAGGAACACCTGATCCATCAACTTACGACCAGCACAGGTTTCTCATATACCAAATCTCCTGCCAGCTTTTCACTCACTTATTGTATTATTTTCCAGCTTGGCGTTACACCATTAAAGGACAACGATCCAGGCGACAAATACTTTTATGAAGTTGTTGTGGTTACAGGCAACTGCAAAAACGCCGGAACCGATTCTAAGGTACGATGACACATTACGCTTTCTGATACATTTTGTTTTCGTCAAGATGATTTTAATTTTCGGTCAAGTCAGCTAGCGATGAGTATAGATTCCACGAGCTTGATGAGAAGACCGAGGGATGTTTACACAAACACTAAATCACGCGAATTGGTGACTCAAGATGAACTTGTCATCACGTTTCACGTTCACAAGATACAAAACGTACTTTCGGACGAATATTTGTGTATGAAAATTAATATCTATGTAGAACCTACGATCAGATTTTTTCACCTCGGAAATAGAATCGATAGGTTCAACAAATGACGTCAGGATATACTTGAGTGAGTCAACATGTATTGGGTTTAGAAGGCGATGCTTAGTCATTCGGATTGATGGGTTTTTTTTAACGAGTTCTGAAACATGTTGTTTCAGGTATTCATCGTTCTGTCTGGGGACAACGACGAAACAGATGTGCGCATGCTCAATGATGACAGTCGGAAAGTTCTCACGAGAGGCGGAGTGGACTCCTTTCTTATGGCTGTGGAAGGGTAGGCTGGATCAATAATTGACCTAATACTGAATACTTAAGTACATTTTCCGTAACACCAATAACAAAAATATGCATACTGAAAATAAATGTTGGCATTAAAGCATAAAAAGTAATTCTAGAAAAAAAACTTTTCTGAAAAAGTGTTGTCATTTTAATAGGTATGATATGACGTCTCTTTTGGCGAACACCAAATAGCGTTTGGTGTCCATACTGATTTGCTGTGGACGGTTAACATAATTCTCACCGTCATTTTGCGTTTTACACTCTTGGGAATCTGTTGCCTCGACAACCGAGACTTGTTATTGTCTGGCATTCATATTTTTTCCTATATTCTGTTTGCAGTGAAAACGTACCGATGAATTTCGCTTTAAACAAAAAAGTAAATCACATAAAGTGAAATTAAGATTTCGAATCCTCTTTCCTTTACCTTGCCAAAAAAACATTTAAATGTGAAAATTTTATTCAACTTAGCACAAATGTTGTTTAACAAGCGGTCATAGTTTCAAATCGCTATTATTGGTTTGTATTACTCGATTATTTACAGACCGCCGCCATATAGCTGAAATATTGCTGAGTGTCCCCTTAAACAACAAACTATATGTATTGAAGGTGGAAATAAATAAAGGTTATAATAAAAAATTGGGGAAAACAATCGTGACTAGGGACACCTGCTTGTTGAGGCTACTCTCAAATGGACGGAAGATTCATCAACCGAGACAGCGAGTGGTAACTGTCATTTAAAGTATAATTGTATTTTCCAGAGAATGTATTAAGTTGGTTTTGTTTCGTTTTGCATTCGACAACTTGATCCAACTCTTTGCTTTACCCAGACCACTGGGGTCCCTGAATTACGCTCGTGTGTGGCATGACAACTCTGGCAGAGGCAAGTTCGCGTCGTGGAACCTCAAATACCTCATTGTCAGGGATGTGCAGACTGAACAGAAGTTCACGTTCCTCTGCAACAGGTGGTTCGCTGTCGAGGAGGACGACGGACAGGTACGATATTTGGGAACCATTTATACCTGTAACTAACGATGGACAGGAACGTTATTTGAGAACCATTTATACCTGCAACTAACAATGGACAGGTGCGCTGTTTGAGGGTCATTTACACTGGCAATTGGTATGGACAGGTGCGTTATTTGAGAACCATTTATACCTGCAACTAACAATGGACAGGTGCGCTATTTGAGGGTCATTTACACTGGCATTTGGCTATAGACAGGTGCGTTATTTGAGAACCATTTATACCAGTAATGCCGTTATTTTATGCACAAGTACTATTGATATTTTATGCACAAGTACTATTGTTATTTTATGCACAAGGACTATTGATATTTTATGCACAAGTACTATTGATATTTTATGCACAATTTTGAAATACGTCAAACAATTCAAAATATCTGTATACAGTGATGTTTTTAACTCATGCGAAATTATTTAGCAAGTTCTTATTGTATTATAATAGTGCTAACTAGATCAGCAACAGCATCTCCACAATTGTATCCGCATCATCATCATCATCATCATCATTGCAGGTTGATCGTGTGGTCCCTGTTGCTGGACCTGCCGAGTTGGAGGAATTCGGACAAGTGTTCTCTGAGAAAGGTATGAAGGACCTGGCCGATGGTCACATCTGGTTCTCTGTGGTCACCCGCCCCCCTCAGAGTCGCTTCACCCGTGTCCAGCGAGTGTCCTGCTGCCTGTGTCTGTTGGCTGCCACCATGCTGGTCAACGCCATGTTCTATGAAAAACATGAAAGCAAGGCTGGGACTGACTACAAATTTGGACCGTTTGTTTTGAGCCCCAAACAGGTAAAAAAAATTTAGCATCTTTGGCAAATTGTTTATTGAAATAGTATCAGTCTTGACTAAATACTTGTATTTCATAGTGAGCAAAACAGGCAATGACGAAGCCCAGTGGTTAAAGTGTTCGCTTGTCACGCCGAAGGCAGGAGTTCGCTTCCCCTTATGTGTTCAATGTGTGAAGCTCATTGCTGGTGTCATATATTATTAAGAGAATGCTTCTAAAAGCGGCAAAAACAATATTAACATTCATAAGCATATATCAGGGGTACGGATCATTAATTATGAAAACGAGTTTGTGTGGTAAGTTTAAGGGATATCTAAACACAATGGTCTTCACAAACTGCACACATGGGAGGAACTGAAAGGGATCACAACGAGCCAACGCTTTACGAAATCTCCCTCACAACCACCGGTGTAATGCACATCAGTATGTAGTGTTTCCAAACAATAATCGTCAGGGGTGTCCTGAAAATAGAAAAGGCTGGCTCGCTTCAGATCAAAGATTTTGATATATACGGTAAAGTAAATTTTATAACGAATACGATTATAACGAACTGAAGGACACAACGAGCTAAAACAAGTAGACCCTTTGAGTTCGTGATAAGCGTAATATACTCAATATATACTGACTCCAATTACAGGTGTACGTCGGTCTGATAGCCAACCTGGTAGTCTTCCCAATCAACTTCGCGATCATCATGCTGTTCAGGAAATCTCGAGCAAGAAGATTAAGGCCATCCCGTGTTGAAGAAGCGCTGAGAAATATCCCGAGTTGGAGCTCAACGTCACTTTCTGACGTCAACGCCGAGGTTGGAAGAGAGTTCCAGAAGGGTGTGAAGCTGAGTCAGGTCCAGCCATCAAGGCCCGGCAGTTCCTGTTCCAGACTGAGTGACAGATCTCCGAGCAGCATGTCCCAGGGAAGTCCTGGTCGGAAGAAGATGGAGCTGCCTTGGTTCTGTCGCTATCTGGCCTGGATCTTGCTGTGGGCGGTCATATTCGTCTCTGCAGCCATGGTAACGTTCTACGGAATCAGCTTTCGGGACGAGAAGGTCAGGAAATGGGTGACATCCATGCTGGTGTCCTTCGTAACATCCATCTTCATCACTGAACCTATTAAAGTGAGTTGATTGATTGATTGATTTATTGGTTTTAAACGCCGCACTCAGCATTATTCAAGCTATATGCCGGCGGTCTGTAAACAATCCAGTGATCAACATCATCAGCATTGACCTACGCAATTGGGAAACGATGTCATGTGTCAAGCAAGTCAGCAAGCCTGACCATTCGATCCCGTTAGTCGCCTCTTACGACAATCATGGGTTACTGAAGACCAATCCTAACCTCATCTCCACGGGTCTATAGTGAGTTAAGGACGGAGCGCACAGTACATGAGTGAGTGAGTGAGTGTGTCGTGGTCAATGAATAGTGTAAGTCATATATCACAGTGAAGTAAAAGGCCACAGTACGTATCTTAGTGTTACGGACACGACCGATCGGAGCTAAAAGTCACAATCAGAAAAAAATATTTGTTTTTGACAACATAGGAAACGTGCATCTGCAAGACGTAAGAAATAATAAGCTAACAATTGTATTTATTATCCATGGACATTGATCAAATGAACCGACTTGTCTATGATGCATACATCAATGGGAGGCAGATTGTATGATCCAAACTCTAATATTTTACATTATAGAGCTGGAATGTTGCAAGGTGCGGCGTTAAACAACAAACACATACATAGAAATAATAGGAACTAGCGCTAGTGATCTTGTTAATACTATGTACGAGTGATCATAGCACTGAGACAAGTATATCTGATAGCTATGTCTCAAAAACGAAATTTTCCTAATGTAAATACATCTGGTTGTTTCTTTGCGCCATGGCAACCTTACTCAAACAGGGGTTAAAATCAAACGGAACATCTTTGTTCTGTGGATTTTCTTTTTGGCAAAATCGAAATTTCCCATTAAAGATGATTCGAAAATAAAGCAGATTTGTTTTAAAAAGTTTATATGTGATTGGTTCAAGACCCCAAACGTCATTCAATTTGATTAAACAGTCAAACTCTGCTCAGAGATCACCTGGAGGGACTTTCCATTGAGGTGGCGTCAGTTCTTTGAACAGAGAGGCATTATTTCGGAGTAAAAGATCAGATGTAAATAACAGAGAGTTTTTAAACTCCTCTTCATCAATCTTAGAAGCGCAATAATTTCCACCGCCACGATAAAGGCCATTTTGCTAGATCTTCAAGTCAATGCTAACAGTTTTGCCAAGGTTGATGGTTTTTAATAATTAAGGTGTGACATGAAGTCAGAATTCATCTCGAGGTATAAAACTATGCTACCACCAGACGCATTGAGGTGTTATTTCATGAAGAAGAACGTTCAATGCACACAAACATGACTGCCATCTGCCATGTAAACGCGACATTCTTTGACCAACGTCCACGTTGTTGCTGTTACAGGTGTTCCTGACCGTCCTCTTCTTCTCCATGATCTGTAAGAAGCCTGTTGATGATGAGGATCACCGACCCGAGGATGAGGAGGGTTCAAGGATGGCTTATGACGAGGAGCTGCTCCACAACCAGGTGTATGGTAAGCAAAGTATTTCTGAAGTGGGTGAGTTGGGGTTTACGCCGCTTTTAGCAATATTCCAGCAATATCACGGCGGGGGACACCAGAAATGGGCTTCACACATTGTACCCATGTGGGGAATCGAACCCGGGACTTCGGCGTGACGAGCGAACACTTTTACAACTTGGCTAGCCCACCGCCCTTTGAAGTGAGTGTTTTAAAGCCAGTTATATATTTTTCAGGGAGACATTTGATGTGTGCCCAATTATAAGTAGATCCTGGAGGCTGTATTGTTGAGCTAGATGTTCAACAGCCTCGCTTTGGGTGATGAATATACAGCCACGTTTAAGGAATTCCCAATGGCGCCAATTGTACACATCTCCTTTTCGATCTCCAATTGGCAACATTAAATTTGCTTTATGCATATCAGATATGATAAGATGGATAATAAAAACAGCGTCAAAAACTGCTTGATCTGTCCCATATCTGGAATTCTGAATACATGAATACAGCTTTAGAGGGGCAAGACTGTACGACAATGATTCCAACTTTCCAAATTGGTGATTCCTTATTTTGACTTGTACAGTATGTTTCCGTGTTTGTGCAGGTGGACACGTGACTTGCGTGTGTGTTTGCGATGACTGACACCTTAGTTGCAGGATACGCTTTTGCGAACACCTTTTATTATCACTGTTTATAGATATTCACAAACACGTGTTATATGACCGAAATAATTCAATTTCGTATGAGTATAGAAACTGGGTGTGTATAGGTGGGTGGGATAGGGATGGTCCTCATGTTCCATGATTGCTAAGTGGATGAAGATTGGCAAAACAGTAAATCAAGTCGGGCTGTGTTTGTGGAAGATAGTTTTAACTGATATGATATGGTTTACATAAAGTTGACAAGGTAAGTTTAATTCAAATTGCGCTCACACAAACATATACTTAGTAACACATATATACACATGCACATACGTGCACGCACGCACGCACGCATGCAATGCACATACATACATACATACATTCACATATACGTTAATATATGTTTATACATATATTTACCACGTGAGGGTGTACATATATATTTTCAGAAGCTACTATATATGTTAAAACTGTGTTGGCACTTTTGCCCAATGGTACAGCGGAAAAAGTACACACAAACTCTTCGAATTATGAATTTTTCCTGACGTAGGCAGGGCTTATATAAAGAACTATGATGATATTTGGTGGAAATACATATCTGTTTACTTCCTCACTTGAACGTCCCTGTAATGCAATATCAACAGACACACAGGTACATTGCTCTCAGCTTGCCTCTTGCACTTAATACACTCGCTTCTTCTGATGAGCCCTGTTAAATATGGCTACAATTTAACACACATTTCAGGCACATACTTTAATGCATATTGGATGCCAGCTGCATCTTGCCCATATTGCCTTTGAAGAAAAACAGAAAGTTTTTCGCCAAAGATAAAAGCAAGCGTATTGATATATTTTTGTTTCAAGCGACGTACGTACATGTTTAATGCGCCTAACATATTGACGTTATAATCAAATACCTTCCCCTTCCGAATGAAACATACCCTTCCTCCACCGAATGGCCCGTTACAGCAAGGACCGTATTACAAGCATGTTTAGACTACGCCGTTCAACAGTGGCGATCACCATGTGTTTTCAATGTGTACCATTGTACGAAGGTCTGCGCCAAGGCTGCCTCCTATAACCGTGTGTTTTAGAGAAATTGTGCCACGTGTTGCCTACTGCTCTGTGCCATGGGGATGCATGTATATATACATAGATTCTGTTTTTCAATTTGATTCCATGATATTTTGAATCATGTAGCAGTAATTCGTGGGTGAAGAAGGTATGCATACAGGACTGTTGGAACTTTGATGGTTTGGATCACATTTATTCTGAATCATGCCATCACGGTATTATTTAAAGAGGCAAGGTAGGGTATATTTAATGATGTACAGCCTATATATTTAATCTGTAATATCATTTGTGCATGTATGTTATGAGGGCGGTGGGATAGCCTAGTGGTTAAAGCGGTCGCTCGTCACGCCGAAGACCCGGGTTCGAATCCCAAGAGAGGGTACAATGTGTGAAGCCCATTTCTGGTGTCCCCCGCCATGATGTTGCTGGAATATTGCTAAAATCGACGTAAAACCAAATTCAATCAGTCAGTCAGTATGTTATGGGTCTCTTTGAAAATTGGTCGTTGATCTCATTGTTAATATCGTTATATTTTTGTGTGACCTTTTGTGACTATAGTCATCAGAGACATGTTATTGTTTCATTATTATACAAATACCTATGTATCTGTGTTCAGATTTATTTTAAGATGTATTTGTCCCACGGTCAGACAGTGTCGCCAGTGCCACATGCTTGCTTTAACACTGTGATTATGAACAGCTATCCGAGTCTTGGGAGTACGGTGACATTCCGTCGCCCCCTACCACCAGCCTAGGTTTAAGGTTACCTATTCAAACAGAGAGTCCCTACGCCTTGACAACAAATACGACAGGTTCGTCGCAATCTGTGACCCGGCTGTTCATGTGACGTCGGTGAGGGCGGTGAGGTAGCCTAGTGGTTAAAGCGTTCGCTCGTCGCGCCGATGACCCGGGTTTGAATCCCCATATGGGTACAATATGTGAAGCCCATTTCTGGTGTCCCCCGCCGTGATATTGCTGGAATATTGTTAAAAGCGGCGTAACAAATATAGTCACTCCTACCCAACGACCATCTCACTCACTCACTTTTTACAGAACCATATTGCATGTTTAAATTATGACATCACAGATATTTGTTTGTTCGTTCCTTCCTTCATTCCTTCTTTCTGTTTTGTTTGATTTTTATTTGTTCGTTAGTTCGTTCGTTCTTTTATTCGTTTCATTGTTTGCTGGTCTGTTTGTTCTTTTCGTCGACGTAAACCGTATGTTCTCGCCTCTTATAACCAGCACAGGTTGCTGGGGATCTATTCTAATCTCGCAACCCAAGGGATGGCATGTTCCAAAATATCAAGAGTCAGTACAGGTAGACTGAGTACTGTATCCTGAAGCCACCTGGCAAGGGGTTGTCCTTTCATAGCAGTTCAGAGAATGTCTGACTTTGTGATCTAATACATGGACAATAACAACCTCACTGTACATGTATGATCCGAGCACCAGCAGGTGCCAGATACCAAGCGAAATATTATGATTTACAACGTTTCCAGAAAAAACTATCTTGGGGAGTACAAAGGTCCCACAGAGACCTTCTCCGTAGGCCTCCATGTTTGGAGGTTCAATTGCAGAATTTTCTCTCTCTCCATCTCTTTCAGAGCTTTCAGAGTTATGGAGATGGTTAGTTGGGTTTGGAGCCGCTTGCAACAGTATTAGGATTCAGTTGGTTCAGTTGTACTACAGTGGATTCCACAGTTTCTGCTGACAAAACTAGAAACATTCTCAGGTCGAATCCTAACGCGAACCTACGGTCACAGATTTCTTGCACTCCATGCATTGTTCATAATGTCAATCATTGTTTTTTGGTGCCTGAAAACTTTTAAAGAAACAGACCTAAGGTCCGCACATCAAGGTGCACAACTGTTTATTATCCCCCGTAACGCGTTTTACGTGGGGTATTATTTTGGACTCCGTCTGTCCGTGCAAATTCGTCTTTTCCGGAGCAGAGCATAAAAAATCGTTCATTATTTCTTTACCAAACTTGGCACATAGAGAGGTCTGGTTGCGAACTGGTGCCTTTTGGTAGTTTTGGATTAATGAATAAAATATTTTTTGCTTTTCCATGGCAACAAGTTTTACTTTGAGTGAAATTGGTAGTAGTGCTCTTTTTAGGAGCAGAACTTAAAAAACCCGCCGTATAGCTGGAATATTGCGGAGTGCGGCGTTAAACAACAAACAAACTTTAGAACCTTTCAACACTCTCCTTCCAGTGTGGGTATTCAGGAACCTAATGACATAAATCAACAGTACCACTCTGTACAGTATTCAACAGTACCATTACTGAGGTACATCAAACACTGGAAGCACTCAGGCAGTCTGTTGTTGATACCAGCATGGTGGTATATGAATAGTTTACATGTACATGTTTTCATGAGATCATTGTGAAGAACAATGTAACATTTGACATAGTCATAACTAGTTGACTTATTCATGAAGAGTATTTACCATTGCGAGTGATATTGATGACTTTGTCTTCTTGTACTATTTGGATTTAATATTAGTCGTTAAAAAGTATTCCCTTTTCTGTAGCCTATGGGGCTGCCCGTCCCAAGAAGATCGGGTACAAGCCCCCAGATCCTACAGTCCTGCAGAGGGCGAGGAGACAGAGGCTGAACGAGATCAAGATGTGGGACATCATCAGGGAGATTGTTTTCTACTCCTTCTTCGTGTGGATACTGATGGTCGTCAGCTACAGGAACAGGAGCCCGGACAGCTTCTACTACAAGGACAGCCTGGAGAAGATGATCATCAAGAACAATGACACCCAGCAATGGTTCTCAGAGGTAAGCCAAGTATGGTTATCTTGCGTCTTCAATGATAAATATAAGTGCCCATGCAAAGTAAAATCTTTCCACGTTACAGTACATGGCGTATTTAGGGATACTCTTAATTATAATTTTTAAAAACGTATGCTTGTTAGATACTAATTTGGGGTGGGGAGGGTTTTTTTAAAGGAAAAATTACTTTTTTCTTGCATTTTCGAGAAGATGAGGTATTTCTTTCAAACAAAACTTAACTAGTACCATTACTACATCATCCTTGATATTTCAAAAGAAGGGTATTGCTGGAACCAAACATTTCTCACTGTGTTCATTTGGAAATAAGATGTTTTTCGTTATGCCAAATATCAGCAGAAATCAGTTGATCTCAACTTTTTCGATTTTTCTTAATTACAAACTCTATACTTGTCTTTAAACGGTTGTTCGTAAATCTCAATTGTTCGGTCGTTTTTTTCATAGCTTTTTAGTATACTTTCTGATCTGCAGAAGCAGTGACCTCTTCGATCTCGTGGCCATCTTCTGTCGAACTGACCAAGCCCAATGTTAGAGACTTTAAAGATTTCCTGTCAGGGACTTTTAACCACACAATGTTCAGCCTTGACTTTCTTATCAGTAAGGTGTCAACCGCACACTCCCTTCCCTAAATAACACTGACGTACCTAATGTTCAACTCGAATTCGATATACCGTCCAAGATATCATAATACATTGGATTATTCACCATCATCGATCATATTTATGAATTCGAGATGACGGGTCAGTGTTCGCAAATATTGACCGCAGTTACCGCGTATTGAATACGGTTTTGAAGCACCGGGAAATAAACTGAATTTGTTTTACATTCTAAATCGTCATCCATATCATCGAACGGTATCTTAAACTACATACAAATCTGTTCAAAAACACTTTAGAAGTAACCAGTTTGATGAGCACGACATAGTAATCCAAGAACGATAATTCATGTATTCAGGTTATCTGCAGACCGCTAAAAATGTATATCACCTTTCGGATCCAGAACACTGACATAGTAATCAACGAACGGCAATTCATGCATTCAGGTTATCTGCAGACCGCTAAAAATGTACATCAACTTTCAGATCCAGAATACTGAGGAGTTCTGGTTGTGGGCAAGGAGCGCCCTGGTGAGCAGCCTCCGAGCAGACAACTACTACAACAACGACCCCGCACTCCTGCTGCGAGGCTTCATCGGCGACAAAGTGTCCCGAATCATGGGCTATGCCACCATGCGACAACTGAGAGTCAAAACAGGTTGGTAGTTGAGACCAATACAGGCTACATGCTAGATGCGGTTGATGCGTTCCCACGTTTACTTCATTATGTGTTTAATTATTTTGTGTTGTTGTTTTTTTGTTGTTGTTATCTTGGGGTTGTTGTTTTTTGTTGTTTTGGAGGTGTGGTTTTTTTTTGTCTTTTTGTGTTTTGGGTTTTTTGGGGGTGTCTTTTTTTTTTCTTTCTTTCTTTTTTTTCTTTTTTTGGGGGGTGGGTATTTTTATTTATCTATTTATATTTATATTTTTTATTGGGCAGGGGATGTTATTGTATTCAGCTGTATTCCAGCTGATATGACGATAGTCTGTGCATTGACAAGGCTGTGACAGACAATCCAGTGATTGATATCATGAGCATCTGGATACGATGACATGCAATCTAACAGGCCTGAACATCCCAGCGCCTCTAACAATCGGGATTCTAAGCTGCCGACAAGCATTGATAGCTGAAGACCTTTTCTAACTCCCTTCTTCCCAGAATAAATATATGTGATGCATGACAACTACCATCTGGCTTAATTTACACTTAAACTGTTTTCCATATATCAGTATCCTTAGCAAATGTTAAACGGTATGTGAACAAAGTACATTTCGTTATATATCCTTACAGGTCAGTGCAGTACGATCAACGTAATGTCCTCTGCCATAGTACAGTGCAACGAAGACTATTCCATGCTCAATGAAGACAAGAAGTCCTACGGCACCAGATGGAGCCCCTATGACCTGACAACTCTTGCCCGAAAAGAATACATTTACACACCAGCCTCTGAGCTGAACGGGTATCCGTACTGGGGTCTCCTCGGAGTCTATGGAGGAGGAGGGTATGTCGTGGAGTTAAGAGGATCCAAGGAAAAACTTGATAAAGCCATGACATCATTAAAGGAAGAAAACTGGATTGACAAATACACGAGAGCAGTTTTTGTGGAGTTCACTGTCTATAATCCTCAAGTGAACCTATTCGCCATATGCACCATAGTAGCAGAGTTCCCATCAAGCGGAGGCGTCCTGGCATCGTACCGATTTGAGCCAGCGATGCTTCTTCCCTACATTACATCTGTGATGTATTTCCAAGTCGTATGCGAGGCAATATATCTGTGCTTTACCATCGCTTTTATAATCAAGGAGGTTCGGAACTTCACCAAACAAGGATCAAAGTATTTTCGGTCCTTCTGGAACTGGATTGAACTATCTATCATCACCATGTCCATTGCTGCCATCGTTGTGTATTTCTATCGTCTCTTTGTTACAATCACACTAACGAGCATGTTCAAGAAAAACAAAGGCAATGAATATATGAAATTCCAATATGTTGGTTACTGGAATGAGCTGTTTTCTTACATGGTTGGCTGGTTGGTGTTCTTTGGGAGTCTGAAGTTCCTCAAACTGCTCCGCTTCAACAAACGTATGTCGTTGCTGGGTTCGACTCTCGAAAGTTGTGCACAGAGCATCCTTCACTTCAGTTTGATGTTCTGGGTGGTGTTCCTGGCCTTCATGCAGCTGTTCTACCAGACCTTCATGTCGACCAGTCTAAGCTTCTCGACCTTCATCAAGGCAGCTGAGTCCGGGATCCTGATGATGATGGGTAAGATCGACATCAACGAAATGCTGATGGTGGAGCCAATCCTTACCAAGGTCTACGTCTTCTTCTTCGTTGTCACGGTCACCTTCATCCTCGTCAACATGTTCCTCTCCATCCTCAACGACACCTTCGGCACCGTCCGTGTCGATATCAAGAAAAAGAACAACGACTATGAGATAGTCGACTTCATGGTGAACAGGTTCAAAAATGGGTTGGTATTTACACTCCCCCATCTCCCCCATCATCAACCGGCAGCAGCAGAAGCACGAAATTCCAAAAATGTCAGGACGTGGAGGAGTTCCCAAACCGCATCGACCGCTTGCTCAAATCCATCAATAACGTGTACCTGCATGACAACCTGGAGGCCATCATAGAGAGCAATGGCGAACCCAAGAAGATGGCCATGAATCCACAGATGAAGGAAACAAGAGATGGCGACTTCAAGGGAGATGGACCGACCACTGTACACACCAACTAGGACATCCGACATCCGACTGACATGCCCCAACGATGAAACCTCTGTTCTATCCTAAAGACATTTTTCTTTCCGATTGCACCTGTGCGTTCTCAAGTAACCGTGACAGCAAAAACACAATTCTATTGGTATTTAACGGTACTTAACATTTTCGACTTTTAAACTTTTTCACTGAACATTGTTTCGAAGTATTCTTGTCAACGTCTGTATTGTATGGAAATAACCTTATCTTTGTGTAAATATAGTTTCTGGGACGCATCTGGCTTCCCCCCATTCTGTATTCCACGTAAATCGAAACTGTAATGTTCTGGGAATGGTTTGAATATCAATATTTGCCATATTTCTCCTTGTTATTTTGACTTATCGGACGAATTTCACAGTTGCCTACTGTAACGAAATAATTCTTTACGTATAATGTTGCGTAATACCTCTATAAATGCACTTGCGAAATATCCTTTCTCCGTATATTGTTACGTAATACCTATCTACGTATACTGATGCATAATATCCTTTCTCCGTATACTGTTGCGTAATACCTATCTACGTATACTGATGCATAATATCTTTTCTCCGTATATTGTTAGCGTAATACCTATCTACGTATACTGATGCATAATATCCTTTCTCCGTATACTGTTGCGTAATACCTATCTACGTAATAATATCCTTTCTACGTTACGTAATACGTATCTACGTATACTGTGCATAATATCCTTTCTGTATAATAATACGTATCTACGTATACTGATGCATAATATCCTTTCTCCGTATACCGTTACGTAATAATACGTATATCTACGTAATACGTATCTACGTATACGGTGTCGTACCGGGAAGGCTAAAATTTATTTTTTAGATGTCCCGGGAAGGCTAAAATGTATATTTCGATTTCCGAGAGAGCTAATTTTCAAGGGAGTAGGGGTGTACCGCCAAAGCTAAAGATACGGTGCTGGGAAGTATAATCCATGTTGGGAGTAGATAGATTTCTTTTCAAAACATTGTTATAGTAGAGTGTTTATCTTCTTCGCTTGTTTAGATCTTTAAATAATAGTTTCTAGGCATAATTCATGAGTAGATAGATTCCTTTTCAAAACATTGTTATAATCTTACAATGTATAAAGAGCGTCCACGTTAATCCTTATTTCTTTGTAATTTGCCAGAGCCTCAGAGTGAGTCGCGCCGTGTTCAGTAAGCCATAACTTTGCATTGCAAGTACCGGGAAGGCAACGCTCATTGAACCGAGAAGCGTCATGATTTTAGCTTTCCCGGCCATTAACCACGCATACTGATGCAAATTAAGTCTCAAAGTACACTGATGCAAAACACCTCTCTTCGTATTCTGTGGCGTAATTTTTCTATGCATACTGTTGCGAAATACCTTTCTAATATCACTTTAAAAACAGACGCATAAGGAGAGACATTTAATTTTAGTTATTATCCATGCACAACAGAGCAATAAACACAACTCTTGATGCAGTCAGACCGCCTCCGTGGTGTAGTGGTTAGAGCGTCCGCCCGGAGAGCGGAAGGTCGCGGGTTCGATCCCCGGTCGCGTCATACCAAAAGACGTTAAAATATGGTACTTGTTGGTCTCTGTCTGGCGCTCGGCATTAATGGGTACAACAAGGACTGGTCGGCTCGGAGTCAGTATAATGTGTCTGAGTGGGGTATTCATGCTTCACTGTGGCATGGTATCTCAGTGAGCTAGCACTATAAAACCAGCTTAAGTCTGGGCTAGTACAAGCAGCCGCACATACACATACACACGCATGCACGTCGTCATATGAGCGAAATATTCTCAAGTACGAAGTAAAACCCAATTTCACCTCACCTCACCTTGCTGCAGTCTCTGTGTCTACGTCTTAAGTGGTTTATGAACAATGCCAAGGGGGGCAGAGATTGCGCTGTTGTCTGATTATACCGCATGTCACGCTGACCAAACCCATGACAAGAAATATTCTCAAAAGTAATTTCTTAAAGGTAACGGTAATCAGCACTTTTAGAGTTTGTTTTCTCACATATTAAAAAATAATTCCCCCAGCAACATCTTCGAATAATTTTCCCAAGGGAAGATAACTCTTATTATTCAAATTGGACAATCTGGATTTAGTTGGAACCATTGACGGAAACAGGCGATCAGTGGGATAATACCGACATTTCAGTATTGCCCTGAACAATTAAGGTAAGGATGCGATGTTTCAGATACCGCTTGACATTGAATCTGTGTCATGGCTTAAAATTGGACTTCATTGCCTAATGCTTACTGTGCAGTGATTTTCATGTCTATGGTCAACCTTACAAGGATCGTTTTAGAAAAGAGAGTTTATGGCTTTTCTATGATTTTTATTATCACTTGAAGTTAAAATGAACCGTAAAAAGGGGTGAGAAATAGACGAAACTTGACGTTTTAGGAACCATCGAAAATGCATCAAGTGATCAACAGTTCGAGGTGTTATTGAACCCGTGAAGATCAGAGTTAGAATTGATCTTCAGTAACCCATGCTTGTCGTAAGAGGCGACTAACGGATCGGGTGGTCAGGCTCGCTGACTTGGTTGACACATGTCATCATATTGCGTAGAACGATGCTTCTGATGTTGATCACTGGATTGTCTGGTTCAGACTCGATTATTTACAGACCGCCGCAATGGAGCTGGAATATTGCTGAGTGCGGCGTTAAACAACAAAACAAACCACACATTATAACCATTCAGAGAATCGAACCTGAGACTTCTGTGAAGGTAAAGTGGAAACATCTCTAAATCCAAGATTCTTCAAAACTACTTAAACACGTGACTAAATACAGCACTCCACGTGTCACCGAAAATAACCAACTGTTGATTGTTTCACGCCGGCCTTTGAAACGTCACATAAAATGATTCAGTATTTCCTCGTTAGATTAAAACATACGACAGCTCTCATTTAGAATAACGTTTATTAACATTTTGCAACTGAAACTATTTAAATAATGTAACTATACAATGACACATGACAGGAACACATAAAATGAATGTTGCCTTCACGCCAGACTTCACCATGCATGATCTGCTCTGCGTCGGAGACAATAAAAACATCAACTCTGTTAGAACCACACAACCATAACTGAATATTGCGAAGTTTATCATATTGCGGGTGCCTGGAAACGGCATTTCACTTATCAATAATAACTTATCAAAATTGATAATTCTGAATCTAATAGTCCTCTTCATTTATATATTTTCCACCCAAAATGTTTTACAAATTCATGATTTTCAGAAAGTTCTGGCAGATGAATAAACACAACCTTGTGGTAGATATAACGGCTTGTTGGCGTTTATAAGTTGCCGTTAACTAATGCTCCTAGTTGAGACACCCGATGACGTCAGAGTTTATCTGATGGTAGAGTACACTGGTTGGCTGGATAAGGACATCCCCCGGCACCCAGTTGTTAGTTTCCCTTGTAGGATCCTTCCCCCTTGTAGTTGCCAACGTAGCCGCTATTTTTTGCTTCGTCTACCCTCCCACCTTTGCCCCTGCCCTTCCCTGAGTCATCGAAACGTTCCTTGTGCGCGCCTGTGTACTTCGACGCGTCTGTCAGTCTTTTTGTGGTAGCATCAACCTTCCCGGGGCCCTGGAAGAAAAGGTGAAAACATAGAAGCGTTTATCTCCGTCAAACATATATGTAGCGTTTATCTCCGTCACCATACACATATGTATCTGTCACCATAGAGTTATTTATCTCCGTCACCATACACATATGTATCTGTCATCATAGAGTTATTTATCTCCGTCACCATACACATATGTATATGTCACCATAGAGTTATTTATCTCCGTCACCATACACATATGTATATGTCACCATAGAGTTATTTATCTCCGTCACCATACACATATGTATCTGTCACCATAGAGTTATTTATCTCCGTCACCATACACATATGTATCTGTCACCATAGAGTTATTTATCTCCGTCACCATACACATATGTATCTGTCACCATAGAGTTATTTATCTCCGTCACCATACACATATGTATCTGTCACCATAGAGTTATTTATCTCCGTCACCATACACATATGTATCTGTCACCATAGAGTTATTTATCTCCGTCACCATACACATATGTATCTGTCACCATAGAGTTATTTATCTCCGTCACCATACACATATGTATCTGTCACCATAGAGTTATTTATATGTATCTGTCCGTCACCACCGTACACATATGTATCTGTCACCATAGAGTTATTTATCTCCGTCACCATACACATATGTATCTGTCACCATAGAGTTATTTATCTCCGTCACCACATATGTATCTGTACACATATGTATCTCCGTCACCATACACATGTATCTGTCACCCAGAGTTATTTATCTCCGTCACCATACACATATGTATATGTCACCATAGAGTTATTTATCTCCGTCACCATACACATATGTACACATATTTATCTCCGTCACCATAGAGTTATTTATCTCCGTCACCATACACATATGTATCTGTCACCATAGAGTTATTTATCGTCACCATACACGTCACCATAGAGTTATTTATCTCCGTCACCATACACATATGTATCTGTCACCATAGAGTTATTTATCTCCGTCACCATACACATATGTATCTGTCACCATAGAGTTATTTATCTCCGTCACCGTACACATATGTATCTGTCACCCAGAGTTATTTATCTCCGTCACCATACACATATGTATCTGTCACCCAGAGTTATGTATCTCCGTCACCATACACATATGTATCTGTCACCATGGAGTTATTTATCTCCGTCACCACCCATGTGTATCACACTGTTACATGAGAAGCAGGAGATACCTTGGCGTCCTTGTCTTGTGCTGCCTGCTCGTCACCAGCTATTTTCTTCGCCAACTTTTCCGCCTCTGCCTCGTTACCTTTCGCCATTTTCAAGAAGAAGTCTTTGCTGACGAATTTGTCCAGGGCAAGTTTACCCCTGTCAAAAGATCAATTGGGTAACAGTGAGTGAGTGAGTGAGTTTAGGTTTACGCCGTTTTAGCAATATTCCAGCAATATCACGGGTGGGGAAAACAGAAATGGACTTCACACATTGTACACATGTTGGGATCGAACTCGGATCTTGACGCACACAGTATCAGCTGTCTGCTGATATTCATAAGAATCATAGTTCTGAACGTTAATTGGTTAATTCAAAATGACAATGAATTTTAAATGAATTTAAGAACCTGGATCCCGATCCACAGAGCGTCCCAAGCGCTGCGACATTCTTGAAGCTATGATAAACTCTAGAGTTACGACAGGATTTAATGTTACGAACGCTTTGTGGGTCGTGGCGCTTGGATCTTTAATATATGCTTGAGTGATGCATGTTTTTCTGAGTGTTTGAAAGCTTACCCTGTTGGTTTGGCAGCCGCGGCAAAAGCACCTGTCTGGATGGTATTGTATGCAGCTAAAGGGATGACTTTCTTTAAAGCTGAGAGCGATGCTTTATCGCCGTCCCCTCCCGCGGCTGCTCCTGTTTTGACGCCCCGCTTGAACGCTGACTTGATCAGGCCGATATCTGCCCAGCACGACACGTCTCCTTCTACTGCAGCCTTCGCCATTGTCAGTCTGCAGCAGTGAATGAGTGAGTGAGTTGATTATTTTTTTAACGACATAGTCATTACTCTTCCAGTGGTTTGTTTTTTGCTTACATACACTTTTTATTGAGACAGTTATTTACTGTCAAAGAATGGGAACAAATGGAATAATATAAATGGAATGTTGGTTGGTTGGTTGGTTTGTTGTTTAACCCCAGCTTATATTCCAGCTATGTGGCGGCGGTCTGAAAATAATCGAGTCTGGACCAGACAATCCCGTGATAAACAGCATGAGCATCGATCTACATAGTTTGGATACGTTGACATACGTCAACAAGGTCAGCGAATCTGGTCACCCCATCCCGTTAGTCACCTCTTACGACAAGCATGGGTTGCTGAAGATCAATTTTAACCCGGATCTTCACGGGTCTACACCTCCGGTGATATTGAGGAGGATAAGGAGTGAATGAGTGAGTTTAGTTTTACGCCGCTATTAGCAATATTCCAGCAATATCACAACGGGGGACACCTGATTCGAACCAAGGTCTTGACAAGCGAACACTTTGACCACTGAGCTACCAAACAGTCCCCGAGGAGAATAGAATACCCTTAAGTCGCTGTAAAAGTGAGTGAATTTAGTTTTACGCCGCTTTTAGCAATATTCCAGCAATATCACGGCGGGTTACACCAGAAATGGGCTTCACACATTAAGGCCATGTGGTGAATCGAACCCGGGTCTTCGGCGTGACGAACGAACGCTTTAACCAATAGGCTACCCCACCGCCCCAAGTCGCTGTTAAAACTTATGTTATTGTGGTAAAAAATCAAGAAAAGAAGATGTCTTTTCGGGAAACTACTACTGAAGAAATGTACACTTATGATACTATTGGATATTTCCTAGGGTCTGAATACTAGACGGCGGTTTGAGAAATACCAGTATCGAATCTGGATCAGGCAAACCCGTGAGTGATGCGATGATATAATGTATCAGTCAAAACATCAAAGACACGAACCCCTTTCAGGAACAGAATAAATCTCCAGGTACCATCAGCCGACTAACGGGATGTCGGCATGATAATATCATTATCCAGAAACTTCACCTCAGAACAGAGAAGCAAGCTGTCCCGTAAAACAATATGTATGCATGTCGCCGTATCAGAACTGCGTAGTTTCATGCTCATGATATCAACCACTGAATTGTATGATCGAGATTACTTTAAAGAAAACACTTCCATTACCGTAATACGATACAATTGACCAATTTTAAATATGCATATATGTTTCTGAAACTAGCAGGAATCAGGTCCCCAATTCTTAAAAGGTTACATAACCAAGATATAGTATTAATTATAGTAATCATCCATACGGTTCTTTAATTTCATTTTAAAACTGCTTAGTTGTTTGGTGCCCTTCCGATTGTATTTAAATTATTGTAAGTCACACCTTACACTATCTTTATATTATCTTTCAATGGTATAAAGCTGTTTTGAATTTTATTCCGGAATGAAATCAAGTAGTTTAACATGTGATTAACGCAAAAATTCGAGTTGAAAATGTCATTTTGAATTTGCGTAATATTTCACTTTGAAAAAAACATTCGCAAGGATGAAGGATACATCAAACACCAGGGGTTATTGGCAAGTTCAATTTAAATTCAAATCACTACAAGTCGATTTCGTTTGTTTGGCTGAATTAGTTAATTTATTCGTCAAAACGATTGTACAACTATTACCTAACGAAGCGCATTAAGAAAGAGACTTATTGAAGCGTTCGTATAATACCCATGTGTTTCTTACCTAAGTATCCTTTTGAGCCTTTGCACTGTAGTCAAATGTATTAAACACTGACTAAAAATGTACACCGCGTAATCGGATAAGGATTTTTCCCAGGAAGACGTTTGACTAAACACGTTACACAGGGTGGAAGCGCTGTCCACACGAAATGTGGAGTTGCCCCAAAAGCAACTCCATTTCCTCGCTGGACAGTGACAGAAGAACACGTGGCACAAGAGTTATGGTAAGTTTTCCCTCGCTATTCATTATGTTGCAAGTATATCAGAGTTTTGCCATTTGGCAGAAGGATTTAGAAAGTTACAGATCTTTCTGTAATAGCTTGACACCCTCTATATTTATTACAATTATTGTAATATATCATATTTACATATTCTTTCACTTTTATTCAGTTGAAGTTTAGGCAAAACGTAATCACGGACCCGTTTTAAAATTATAACCGACAAATTTTCTGCTAGTCCTCAGCACAATTTGAAAGTCTCGGGCAACGGTCCAGCGTGAATATCGAAGGTTGTTGTCAAGACATCAAAGTGGGTATATTAATTGCTACCATTGATTCATGCGCCTTTCTGTGAAGCCCATTTATGGTGTCCCCCGCCGTGATGTTGCTAGAATTATTGCTAAAAGCGGCGTAAAACCAAACTCAGTCAGTCAGTCAGTCATGCGCCTTTCTACTAAAATCATAACCGCTTTGCTTCTGTAGCATCGCGCTAGTGAGTGAATATAATGACTATGGTTGATGCTTAAAGTTCTGTGTCTATAACTAGTGGATGTAAGTAGTTGATATTCACACTTGAATCAGGAGCCATACGACTATGTGGAGGGGTGAATATAACTGCCGTCATGAGTGAGTTTAGTTTTACGCCGCTTTTTGCTATAATCCAGCAATATCACGGCGGGGGGACACAAGAAATGGGCTTCACACATTGTACCCATGTAGGGAATCGAACCAGGTTCTTCGGCGTGACGAGCGAACGCCTTAACCACTAAGCTATCCAAAAGCTTGTCCCCGTCCAAAATTAAGAGAGTGATTAAATTCGATTTTACGCCTCTATTAACAGCTGGGTCAGTTAACGTAGGAGGAGTGTCAGTGTGACTTGGTCATAGAAGTAGAGCCGTGAGCCGTGAGCCGTGAGCTTACTCAGAGACCTAGGATTTCTGGGCTTCAGATCCTTATAGGTTAAGGGGCGCTAACTCTTTACAGAGAATTGCAGTGCCACTGGATAACCCGTTTTCTGATGTCCGGATGAGTGTTTGAGTGACAGTCTTACATTTTGGAGAAAAGAGCAACCTAAATACAAGTGTTAAACTTTACCGTTAGATTAGTACTTTAACAAACCAAGGCGTAAAGAGATGAAATGTTTCACATGGTTGATTGGGTACAATTTATGAAGATTATTTCTGTTCCCCCCGCCGTGAAAATGCTGGAATATTGTTAAAGGCGGCATAAAACCAAACCAACTCACTCAGACAACGTTGATGAAATGTCTGAGGTGCCGTGGAGTTCTATACAGAGTTGCCTCCCTTACCCATGTCAGGATCGTACTTTCGAACAGATCGTGATCACCAAGTTGCCTTAGTTGTAAATGTCCAGAACCTTTGTCACGATGGCCTCTCCTCCCCGCTTCGTCAACGCAATAATGTGTAGTCTCACAGCATTATTTTAGTAGGGCTGCGCAATATAACCGGTTTACCGGTATTTACCGGTTCAGACATGAAAACGATACGTATTGCGATACGCTGATCGAAAACCGGTATTTTGACATGCAATCGGAAAACTTCGTAACACTCGGAAATCTTCGGATATTTCCGTTTTTAAATTGTTCCTTTCCTTGTTTCATTTGTGCCAAACATTATTTACATTTTTATTTTGTTATGATTAAAAGTTTTTATTAAAGCCTAATCAAGCATTGTGATTTTGTTGTGTTTTTGCTTTATAAATCAAGCATTAACTCGACTATAAGTAGTTTTTTGTTAAAAAAAATTCTTGCAATACATATCGCAATACATGCTTTCGTATCGAAATATATCGCAATATGAAAATTCCCTGCAATACCCACCCCTATATTCTAGCAATATCACTGCGGGGGATACAAGAAATGGGCTTCACACATTGTGGGGGATCGAACACTTGAACCACCAGTCTACCCCAACGCCCCACTCACAAAAGTAACAACGTTGCTACGTGCGGTCACTGTAACCTTACAATATCCCAATACATGCTGAACCACGCGCCTGTCACGGAGAATAATCAATAACAATGTGGCCAGTATTGCATATAACACAACCAGCCAACAATCGGCGTTATTTATGACATACAACCGTTACGCTTAAACCTGTTAGATCAATGTACATTCATAGCACTGCGGCAGTAACGTTCCACATCCAGCCATTTCACTCATGCCCAGTGGCAGACAGGTCAAGGGTGGACGACAGTACAAATAAACCATGGTCAGTGTACAAGGAGAGTTTCACAACACGGAGTAAACAGCACACAGCACGCAATGTTCATACCAGAATCGATAGCGTAGCTTGAACGATATTATCGTATTTGATATGATAGGATATTTATATAGCGTGCATATCCACGCAAGTAGTATACATGCTCAAGGCGCATACCTTATTTCACAGTCATCCAAAGTCCCGTTAGACAATCATTAAATAATGCATACCTTATTTCAGAGTCAACCAAAGTCCCGTTAGACGACCGTTTAATAACAGTAAACATCAATGCTAGCAATGCATACAAAACATAAGAGTCATTTCTGTTTCTGAGTGTTTAAGTCTTCATAGTCTACATATAGTTGATATATTTTCGATCCGAAGTGATAGCTCAAGGCTTCAGAAATGTTGTATTCGTTTTAACAAAATACGTCTTTTCTAGCATCATATTTAATAACGTACTGGCAGCTGTTGCAAAGCGACAACTATCTGGTTCGAATCAGCCATGGTGCTAAAACAGATTTAAGTGTCATCTGTATGATTACATACCTTGTTGTCTAGTGTCCACCTTCCACACACAATGCGACCTAGGGAATGTGAAGCTTGACGGATAGACAGCCACCCCGTCCCTGTAACCAACGTAAACAACGCCCGCTGTTGCTGCGTGGATCGACCACGTGACCACGATCAGCCGGGCTTCAACTAGATACTTCAGTCAATAACGGAGATATAAACCCCATACAAAACACACCCTTCAAAAGACTCGCCGGTACATGCACTCAACCTTCGGCGTCAATACACTTGTCACATATGTTTTGTCACACAAGCTTTGCTTGACTAGATTAAGCCACTGCCTCAATACCATGTCTTGGGCCAGTCTCATATTGCATAGTAGGGAAAGTAGAGTTTGACGAAACAGAAACGTTGCTCAACCCAGTCTTTGATCCAATAACAGCACACTAATTCCTGGTGTTTATACGGATAATCCCCGTTTAAGGAACTAAACAAAACAGTTCGTGACCTGCTTGTAAATAACACATGACCCGGACGAATATATCGTATATGCTATTAATGGGGCATGAATGTCAAGCGGTGATTCTCCTTCTATAATTAAAGACTTCTGTTGGTGGGTAATGCCACTAAACTGGTTAATGGTTAATTGTGTCTATAACAAGTGGATATGAGTAGGCAATGTTAACTCTAGTCTCAGGAGCCATACGAATATTTGCAGGTGTGAATATAAGAATTATATACGGAAACTGCCGTCATGTAATAGAGCCAGTGAGTGAGTATGGTTTTACGCCGCTTTTAGCAATATTCCAGCAAGGACTTCAGAGTTGGGTTTCCCTATTGTAGGCATGGGGGGAATCGAACTCGGGTCTTCGGCGTGACGAGGGAACGCTTTAACCACTAGGCTACCCCACCGTCCCCTATAGCCAGTGATCGTAACTGTTGCGATAGTGAGTGAATGCTGATCACTGCCGCAGACAGAACGGATCAGATTACGATCAGCTTTATGCTTACACCACTAAACACGACACATGTAGGTTTTCGTATTTAGTAGAACACTTTTGTAGCGTTACATTTCACGAACTACTATAGTGACAACATATGTTACACAAACTGACAGGTCTGTATTGACAAGCCGTGTTTAAGACACTACCCTTGCAATATATCCATACACATCCAAGGCCAGATCTGAGACAGCTTGTGCAACGTTTTTATACTCAAGTATTGAAAATTGTATCATTCAGTGTTTGATATAACATTTAAACCCAGCGTGAGACAGGTTAATAATACTGAGATGGTATGAAGCGATTATATATTACAGTATAATTTGCAAATTTGTGACAGTCAGTCGGTGGTGGGGTAACATAGTGGTTCGATTCCAACATGGGTTCGATGTGTGAAGCACATTTCTGGTGCCCCCAGCTGGAACATTGCTAAAATGACGTAAAATTAAACTCACTCACTCACTTTGTTTCAGTAACAGTATAAACCCGTGTTGATGACTTGTGTTTTTTCAGTTTTTTAAATTTTTTTTTTTATTTGACTTGTGGGTTTTATATATTATATATATATTTTTTTTATTTTTATTTATTTTATTTGTTTTTTTTTTTTGTTGCAATGCATGCATGCGATACATACATACATGTTGTCTTCGGCGTTAACAATAATATATAATTTTCAATATTAGTGATGCGGCACGTTCTACTTTACAAAAGAACTCCAGGACAATAATCCATAAGTTAAAGTTTTTGGATATTTTGAACAATAAAATCTTTAAGTTATTAGACTCAAGGGCAAGTGTGGCAGATAATCAAGATTTGTCATTCCGTAAGGAAGGAGTCATTATTTTATCATTATTTATTCCAGTAAACATTACTAAACCGCACTTTTATTGTTCAGTATTTTTTAAAAACAATTAAATTATTGCAATTCAGTGACAATTTTGCCTAATTCGATTTTACAGTTCTCAGATAAAATATTTTCTAGGCGTTTCCTTTAGAAAATACCATTTCAGCATAATTAAGTTGTGAGGTTTTGGTTTCAGGTTTATGTTCATAAAATATGTTATTAGAAATTGAAACCTCATAACACAATAATCGTCTTCGCTTACATGTCCCGTAGCAGTTATACTACAAATGACAAGTTACGATATTGAATTTGGATTTCATGCTCAAGGCATAATGAAATATATCCATGAGCATTAAACGTGCAATAACCCACTTTCTAATATGAGTACGAAGACTCATGTTGGTGCATATGCTTTGAAAACAAATCTCGGATTAAAATAGTAGTTGTAACACATTTTACTATAATTTCAACAAAAAAACTGAAATTAAAACATGGCAACACATTACTGCTATCTGAGAAGAATACACAAAAACGTGAACATCAACAATGCTGGAAAGTATGGTCACCATGACTACCCCACAAATCTGACTGTCCTACAGTTTTTAAACAATGGTTGTTCTGATTGTATGAACCACCACAGGTGACCACACCAGTATCATGTGTAGCCATCCCTCGGACTTATAACATCTGCCAGTCTCCTCCTCATACTGCCAATCAAGCATCGTATTATTAGCATCCGATTCACTGCCTGCCCATTCTTCACTTCGATTCCAGCTCGAACTTGGCATCTAACATAGTCCGAAAAATGTTCAATGAGGTTTATATCGGGGCTCCTTGCGAGCCATGGTAATGTTTCAATGGAATTGCTCTCTAAAAGGGTGATGACGGCACGAGACGGCCTAACGTTGTCATCCATGAATATCTGACGATTGGCAAAGTTAACAAAATGAGGCACCATGGCCGTATTCAGTACTTCCTGTCGAAAACGTTGACCCTTGTGTTTTCCAGGTACTGTAATGAGATATAACTGGCAGCCATGGATACGAAACGCAACCCACACCATCACTGATGGGTTCAGCTGCATAGATCATCTCCTGATGATACGACGTCTGTATAGTGACAACGGCCGTGGGCAAGCCTTAGAAGAAAGCGACGTTCATGAGACCAATGAACCCTACGCCATTTCCTCAAGTTGCAGTTCTTGGAGTTTGCACCACACCAGACGTTTCTGCCTGTTCCCATCTGTGAGGACGACATACCCTCAGACGTCGCAGTCTCCTTCTAGTGGGAATGATGGAATATACTCACTCCCCACTGCAGGTCTTCGACGTGGTTTATTATATTGATGTCTTGCTAGACGAATTTACACCTGTTCATCATGATCATTGGTGTTCCTCAGTCTGCCAAGACGTGGACGACACTTTACTTCACCGGTGGCCACATGGTTTCTCGTAGACCACAACATTCCTCTTAAGTGGACTAACAGCCATGCAGTTAATGTACAAGTTAGCACCAATGTTGCGACAGGACAACCCTGCATCATGCAAGCCAATAGCTTGCCATCATGTATTTTCTGAACGTCTGCGTCTTGCCTTGTCAAAAGAATTCTTTTTAAACTGCCGTTTGTTATATCATTTCAGGAAATTGTAGCGCACGTACTGCAAGTTTGAAATGTCGACTCCACTTTGTTCTGGACCATTGCATCATGTGAAAATGGGGAAAGAGCAGTTTGAGACCTTAAAAAAGGAAAGTTTGTGGACAGAAGACAGCCGAGTAACAGTATGTGCCTTTAACGTATTATTTTAACTTTGATAGAATAACAAAAGCCGTAAAAAGGGGTAAAGAAGAGCTGGAAACAATGAAGAGTGACGTAGAACTCAGAGTGTACTCTCTGGCGTAGTCTGTCGCACAGACCCTGAAGCAAATATATCCAAGAAAGCCCACGCAAGTCTAGAAAATGTGGCAAGTCTAGATTTCCTCAGCTTCTGAAAATGAAGAAATTCTCAGGGCTCCTTTTCATTATATTTTATTGTTTTTACTATGAACTTGTTTCAGTAAAATATGTTCATTTCAGAGACTAGTTGTTAGTCTAACTCTGGCGTTACTCACGTGGGAAAAGTTAGGTGATTCTGATCCGCATGAAGAGCAGACACCATCCCTATCAGAAAATGGATGCTTTCGCACTGGTACAAAACGTGACCTGTTGGCACATATAGAAGCATGTGTTACAGCAATATCAGAAGAGCCAACTGTTACCACTTTAATTATTGACGGATCTGTCACTATTCAAAAGTTGAAACCTGGTACTGGCAAAACATTTGATGAATATGTCTTCGCTTGTCCCTTGCAGTCATCAGGATACCGATATTCACATCATACTTCATGTTGCTCATGCTGCAAAACATGGCCATGAAAAGATTATGTTACGAACAGTAGCTGCAGATGTTGTAGTGCTTGCAGTAACGCTCAAAACATGTCATCCCACCAACGCACGCAGCTCTTGTACAGCATGTAAATAACCCAGCTCGGTGTTTATGACGGGTGCCACCGGTGGGGCAGGATGCGCTCACCTTTTCACGAACACCTGGTATCATCACTATTTCATAGTGATTCATAAACACATGCTCTGTCATCGTATATGAACGTATGGTTTGATGATGACATGCTTTGAGCACTGATGAAGGACTTGGAATCACTGAAACATCTGATGGAAATCATGATACTACGAGTTTATTTACTTTGTTTGTTTACTTTGTTGGTTGGTTGTCTGTGTGGTCAAGATTCCAACTATATGGCGGCTGTCTGTAAATAATCGAGTCTGGACCAGACAATCAGCCACTGGCATCCTGGGCATGGATCTTCACAACTGGGATACGAAGACATATGTCAGCGAGCCTAACCGCCCGATCTCGTTAGACGCATCCTACGGCAAGCGTGCATGGTTCCTGAACGCTGTTTCTGACCACAGGACTTCTAAGGGTGCCGTAAAGTACAGATGAACATAGGTATATGTTTTAAATATTTTCAGTTCTGAATTAACGGAGTTCATTCAATTCATCCTTAGACTCCCCTTCTCCGCAGCAGTCTTAATCTTTGGGTTCTCTGACAAACATGGGACGTTTCACTGTCTTTGTCTCCCTCAAAGAGAATATTTCCGATATTGTATGTCAATCTGGTGTAATGTCCAGCTTAGTGCTCCAGGTTTTTGTCTGTACATGAAATGGTGATATCATTTATGCCTTGCTCGCGCCACTGACGTTGTTGTTTGTTGTTGTTGTTGTTGTTGTTGTTGTTTCCTCCATCATTAAGCCAACACACGAACTGACCATGAAACAGTGTTCAAGGCATCGTTAAACCAAACTGACTCACTGGATCACTCCAACACAAGACGTCACCGTGTTGTAAAGTTCCATCATTAAGCCAACACACGAACTGACCATGAAATAGTGTCCATAGCATCAGACGTCACCGTGTTGTTCATAGTAAGACATTGTAAAGTTCCATCATTAAGCCAACACACAAAATGACCATGAAACAGTGTTCAAGGCATCGTTAAACCAAACTGACTCACTGGATCACTCCAACACAAGACGTCACCGTGTTGTTTATAGTAAGACGTTGTAAAGTTCCATCATTAAGCCAACACACAAAATGACCATGAAACAGTGTTCAAGGCATCGTTAAACCAAACTGACTCACTGGATCACTCCAACACAAGACGTCACCGTGTTGTTTATAGTAAGACGTTGTAAAGTTCCATCATTAAGCCAACACACAAAATGACCATGAAACAGTGTTCAAGGCATCGTTAAACCAAACTGACTCACTGGATCACTCCAACACAAGACGTCACCGTGTTGTTTATAGTAAGACGTTGTAAAGTTCCTGGTTGTTGAAAGGCAAATAATATGGACGTTCAAACTGAAGCATGTGTGCCGCATTCATGAACTCCTTCACGGTTAAGATTGTCATTCTGTATGGTCGTACTAAAACACCAGCACAATACACAGTAGGAAGTATATGTCTGTACGACCCGTGAAGATCCGGGTTAGAATTGATCTTCAGTAACCCATGCTTGTCGTAAGAGGCGACTAACGGGATTGGGTGGTCAGGCTCGGTGACTTGGTTGACACGTGTCATCGTATCCCAATTGTGTAGATCGGTGCTCATGCTGTTGATCACTGCACAGTCTGGTCCAGATTGGATTTATTATTTACAGACCGCCGCCATATGGCTGGAATATTGCTGAGTGCGGCGTAAAACTAAACTCACTCATTCACTTTATGCCTGTATGACTCTAATTAATGTAAAGTTTACAACATGTCATTTCTTAATAATTACAAAATGCCTTTTAGAAAATGGTCAAATGCAACATGTTGTGTTCGGATTACATTTTCTCAGTAAAGTACAAATTCTCGTGTGTGTTTGTGTCCCACATTTCTTTTATAGTTTTATTTTACAAAACGACACAAGAGTAATAATGTTTTATTTAACAAAACTAAAACAATGAAATGATCACAAAGGTGAAATTTGGTTCTCTACGTATATGGTATAACAACATTATGCGTTGTACGATGTATATAATATCTAGGAAATAGATAACTTCTTACCGGCACATACACCTATAACGATAATATCTAGCACTATCTATTGCTTATTATATACTCTTCAACAAAAGTAAGGGAACCCGAACTTTCAATTTGGATAGGAAGTATAAGCGTTAACAAACTTTTCAAAGACAGACATCATATGAACGCACCACCATTTCTCTTTATCACCAACCCTAAACACAACACATGGGGAGCACGTGCACAACGCAGTAGCCCCATACACGTGCTTGGGGTGTCATTCTTGATTTTGACGGTTTTCAAGAAGGTCGATAAATCACTGTAGACCATTTTGACAATTATCTTGCGTCACACAGTTAGTGTTTGTTTCTAGTCGGGTTTTTGTTGTTGTTGTTTTTGTTGTTTGAAAATGAAAATCGTACACATGCAAATTTCACGTCACACATCAATCATCTATCAAGAGCGATTACTGTACAAACAACTATGGTCATAAGGAAGTGCAAGTGGTGATGCACTCTCAAAACATTAATTATTAATTATCAACATTGATTGACTCCGATATATCTCCCAATTTTGTCAATCATAAATTAAAAATGAAGTTCCCCTACTTTTTTTAAAGAGTATAACAGGGATGTATCACACACGACACTTGACAATAGAAGACGCACAATTTAGGCACAATATAAGGTAACTCATAAAATAGTTATGTAATAGGAGGTATGTCGTATATCATTAACCTTGTAAATAAATAGGCGTATGACCAAGAGCGATGATTTAAGAAAATATTCGTAAAATGAGTTAGGAATGTTCAACAGGCACTTCTATGGGTCCTCAAGAAAACTGGTCTATGGAAGAGATGGACTTTCGAAATCCTGCTAAAAATGGCCAATTGTCAAATATTTCTGCTACAAACACATATTCTAGAAACAGGTATGGGTCTTTCCACAAGATATGCACCAAACTAAATAGACAACAGGAACGTGACCCTGTCAGTAATCCAATCTAATATATACGACTCAAAACAAGTTAAGGAACTGTCACAATTGGAAGCGGGTGTTGCAACACCTTGTTGTCATGGCAGATTATTTGGTCATGTTAACGAAATCGGATGTTCCTTAACTTCTTTGAGTAGTATAACCCAGCAAAGAAACATGGGAAGAAGCACGTTTTACACGTAACTGTGACCATGTAATTTGGAAAAATTCCAACGTTGTTGAGAAGTCAACAAGTGTAGCTGCAATCACATGCCAATTGTTTGTCAAATGACCATGAATCCTATAGCTCTCCATGATATAACTGTTTTACCGAAACATATAATTTGGCTTAATAATTAACTCAACAAACCGGGTATTAGATCACATGCTATGTTAGATGGAACGGAATTAGAAACGAATTCATCTGTACCTCTCACATGAGAGCCTTTTTACCATATGACGTTGAAATAAAGCATATGCCATTTGCGCACACAAATTACATTATAAATATTAATGAATAGGTAAAAAGGAAATCGCTAATTTGAAATCCAAGGTGGTGACCAAATATGGTCTGTAATTTTTCAAAATTAATTCAACACAGAAGGCTGTGTGGTTCCATGATAAGCTGCCAAACTTTGGTCACATGGGAGCTCTGTTCCCTTCCGTCCTCGAGGCCACTGGAGAAATGGCTGTATCTACGATGAAAAATGTCGACGATGATCTACTTCTTGTCGAAGGTCCCTTCTCCCTTGTAGTTGCCGACGTAGCCGCTGTACTCCTCGGGGTCTTTTTCTTTACGTCCTGCCGTTCCCTTCCCTTTCCCGTCCTCATCGAACCTCTGCTTGTGGGTGGCGGAGTACAATTTGGTGTCCGTCAGTCGTTTTGTGATATCATCAGCGGCATTGCTTGACCCTTTATCCTTCTTCTGCAACACAAACAGGCTGTATGAAAAGTATCCTGTGTGATTTGTTTGTTTGTTTGTTTGTTTGTTTGTTTGCACTCAGCAATATTCCAGCTATATGGCGGCGGTCTGTGAATAATCGAGTCTGGACCAGAAAATCCAGTGATCAACAGCGTGAGCATCGATCTACGCAATTGACATGTGTCAACCAAGTCAACGAGCCTTACCAGCCGATCCCGTAAGTCGCCTCTTTCGACAAGAATGGGTTGCTGAAGATCAATTCTAACCCGGATCTTCACGGGTCGAAGAATATCTATGGGTACTCTGTATAAATGTCCCAACCATGAATGTAATCAGAGGCGAATGGGCCCCAACTGAACTTTGACCCTCAACTACAGTTGTGGGTGTTATTTCATGGATAACAGACCATACATTATATGATGCAAGAAATTCGATTTACATTAAACTACGGTTATATCGAACTCAAAAGGACCACTAATTTTAGTTCGTTAAAACCGTAATTCGTTATACACATTTCGATTTCGAAATATACAACAAGTTGTCAAACCCCCATCCCCAAGTTACTTTTATCAATCACTTCGTCATAATTCGTCATATCCGTCATATGTATTCGTTATATATGTAGTTTTACGGACATTATGAATGAATAACGCCTAGGACATTTTAGTGACGCGCCAAAGCCCATGAAAAATGTTCCTTTTAGCCTAATATTTCAATTGACACATAATACCGAAGATTCTTGAACCTTTCTGAAAATTCGAAATACCATGTGTTTTCTATCTTTACAGGTGCTGTTTGCAAGAGAACAAATTATATTCCGCATTTTCCGACAAGGGTCAAAAATCATTGTGAAACCTTTTTTATTGCTTGTCTTTGATAGGAATTGATGCGTTCGATGCTAGACCATCCAGTACCCGTGAAGATCTACGTTAGAATGGATCTTCAGCAACCTATGCTTGTCGTAAGAGGCGACTAACAGTATCGGGTGATTAGACTCGGTGACTTGGTTGACATGTCATCGGCTCCCAATCGCGCAGATCGATGCTCATGCTGTTGATCACTGGATTGTCTGGCCCGGACTCGATTATCTACAGGCCGCCTCCATATAGCTGGAATATTGCTGAGTGTGAAACAACAAACAACAAACCAACCAACCGTCCAGATATTTTCTATAATCATTCAACTCTATTTCAGAAGTACAGCCACAGTCAAGTAAGTTCACTTACCCCTTTTTCAAATGACCCATCTCCCTTGTATTCTCCAACATAGCCGTCGTTCTTGTGGAGATATTTCCTTCCTGCTATCCCCTTGCCTTTACCCTCAGTATCGAACCTCTCCTTGTGGGAACCCGTGTACTTGCTGGTGTCCGTCAAACGGCTGGTCACGTCGCTGCCCTTCTTTGGCCCCTGGTCAAAAACATGGCAGACTTTGATGTACGTAATCTACATCGAACCATTTAATGTCGTATCAGTTTAATGATATCTAGTTGCTTGATAGCGTAACCGATATTTTGATACGGTCGGGGCTATTATGATATCAAGGGTGGGGTATTCTGATATCGAGTGCGAGGTATTCTGATAAAGGGGGTGAGAAATTCTCATACAGAGTGCGAGCTATTCTCGTATATAGAGGGTGAGCTATAATAACATGTGTATTTATACCGCTGGATTAGATACAAAATTGTATGCTCAAAGCGCTACATATAAAGGCTATGGGAGTGCTACAAGACATAAAACATCTGTAGATGAAATGGTTCAAACGTTTCAGGATGTTTGGTAATCACTGTAGTATTTTCTGAAGCGGACTTTTTCAAAGCACATTTGAAGGAATCAAGGGATGTTGATAGTCTGAGTGGCAGCTGGTTCCATAGTGTTGGAGCTCCATAACTAAAGGAGCGGAAACCAAAAGATTTTACTTTACGTCTTGGATTGACCAATAGATGTTGATCAGCTGATCGTAAGGCTGTCGATGGAATATGTTTGGTTACAACTCATTGAGGTAGTCAGGGGCAGTTTCATGAAAGCAGTGGTGGGCTCGACTCAGGATTGGAGAATGATGGAGTTGCATATTGGGATTGCAGTTTCTGTAATTCCAGCTATTCTAATATAGCGAATGAATCTGATATAGAGGGTGAGGTATTCGCAAAAGGTGTGTGAGCTGTTCTACATAGGGTGAGGTATTCGGATAAAGAGAAACGGGTATTCTGATATCAAGGGTGAGGTATTCAGATAAAGAACAAACGGTATTCTGATATAAACGGTGAAGTACTCTCATATCATGTGTGAACTATTTATATAGAGAGTGAGATATTCTAACATAGAGGGTGATGTATTCTGATAAAGAGAATACAGTATTCTGATAAAGAGAATACGGTATTCTGATAAAGAGGATAAGATATTCTGACATAGAGGGTGATGTATTCTGATAAAGAGAATACGGTATTCTGATAAAGAGAATACGGTATTCTGATAAAGAGGATAAGATATTCTGACATAGAGGGTGATGTATTCTGATAAAGAGAATACGGTATTCTGATAAAGAGGATGAGATATTCTGACATAGAGGGTGGGGTATCCCTTACTACCCTCACCTCCGCCGCCGCTGCCTTCTCCTCCTCCTGTCTCTTCTGCTCAGCCTCCGCCATCTCCACACACCACGCCTTGGCGCACTCTTCATCCTTCCCTGCCATCCTCCAGAAGAAGTCCTTCGTCACGAACGTCGTGATGCTAAGTTTACCCCTGCAATACCATTTGATTATCATTTACCGGTTGTGAAACTTACACACGACAATCCCGTTGTTTGTTTGTTGTTGTTGTTTATTTTGTTTTTGGTTTTTGGGGTTTTTTTTGTTTTGTTGTCGTGTGTGTGTGTGTGTGTGTGTGTGTGTGTGTGTGTGTGTGTGTGTGTGTGTGTGTGTGTGTGTGTGTGTGTGTGTGTGTGTGTGTGTGTGTGTGTGTGTGTGTGTGTGTGTGTGTGTGTGTGTGTGTGTGTGTGTGTGTGTTGATACCAGACAGATCGACATTTACGTCGTACCAGTTTGAGAGACCAGGTACAGGCACATTGTCACCATTCATATTCTTCATTGCATACAAGGTCAACGAAGGCTTAAGACGCCACATTTGCTGTGTGGACTTGCTCCCCTTACACATGCCAGGATCCGCTATTCATTGGTAAGAACCTATGGTTCAACATAAACTATAATCCTTCGTGCAAACACTCGCACGAGTCTCCCCACAAGCCTGTATGACAAAGGGGTGATTATACCTTTCCAACAGTCACCTTTCCCGTCATGTCGAGCAATATTCCAACAGCCCCAGCCTTTAAAGTTAACAATTCACAACTTTTGAAGTAAAATCGTGCAAGCTCTTTTTATACAAATACCTTTTTACCTGAGCGGCGTAGGACTCTTGCTCGGAAGTTGTTCGGTCACGTTTACAACATTCAAGCCCTCAGTAAAGCTTTCAAAACGTTTCATGGGAACATGGGAAGGACATTTCAAGATTTGATGCATCAGTGACAAAATTATTTCTGATGCAATTCCTCAATTTGACTTGCACCATACACTTTTTGTGTGTGTGTTGTTCTTTTTTGTGTTTCTTTTTCAGGTGAGCAATTGACTAGCCTTTTCTATATGTTTATGACGGGGGCGGGATAGACTCGCCTGTTCGCGAACACCTGGTATCATCACTATTTGATAGTGAGACATAACCACATGATCTGTCATTGTATATCATTATGTCAGTCACTGGATTGTCTGGTCCAGACTCGATTATTTACAGACCGCAGTCATAGAGTTGGAATAATCCGGAGTGAAGCTTTAAACAAACAAACAAACAAACACATGATCATAATATAGTCGTAATCGTACAATCGACTCTGCTGTCAGCTCTGATTTCTTATACATGTCGCTCTTCATTTGTCGCTATTATTCTAAAAGAAACCGCAGCAACATGGTGTTGCGCACCTTAGCCGCGCCAGGATCCGCTGATTGTGGATTCCAGTTTCTGTTTTACACAACTTACGAGCCTTGGTATGTCTATAAAGACAACTGCTACAAAGGTCATCCCAGGCTTCCCTTGTACACTGAACTGCAGCTTGATATATCCAAACTATTGTAAACCAAGGCATAAACCGACATCAGTGACGTCAGTGAAACAACTTGACGGTGGGACCTACTTACTTGGCATCCTTTTTGGCCGCTGCATACACGCCACATAATTGATGATTGGTTCATTACAACCGATCAATCATCGAAAATAATTGGTTAGCGTCATTTATGAAATGTGTTAATGCACAAAAAAATAAGGAAAAAAACATGTAGTTCTTTGGGGTTTTTGGGCAAAATTTCACATCTTTAAAGGATGACTAGTATGGAGGAACACAAATTTCTTAGAGTCTTTAAGATAAATTCAATCATGACTTGGAACGAGCTTGTAGTGCTTATGAAATGTAACAGACAAAACCAACCTAGTGAAAAATACTGTTAATGAAAACAAGTGTTCCAGAATTGTTTGTGTTCGATTATGAGAAAACATGATCGATTGCTTGGTCGTTTAGTCACTGCGACCAATCTTCGATTATTTCAATTAATCGGACCACTACTAAGCGCTACATATAAAGGCTATGGGAGTGCTACAAGACATAAAACATCTGTAGATGAAATGGTTCAAACGTTTCAGGATGTTTGGTAATCACTGTAGTATTTTCTGAAGCGGAATTTTTTCAAAGCACATTTGAAGGAATCAAGGAATGTTGACAGTCTGAGTGGCAGCTGGTTCCATAGTGTTGGAGCTCCATAACTAGAGGAGCGGAAACCAAAAGATTTTACTTTACGTCTTGGATTGACCAATAGATGTTGATCAGCTGATCGTAAGGCTGTCGATGGAACATGTTTTGTCACAACTCATTGAGGTAGTCAGGAGCAGTTTCATGATAGCACTGGTGGGCTAGACTCAGTGAGTGAGTGAGTGAGTTTGGTTTTACGCCGCTTTTAGCAATATTCCAGCAATATCACGGCGGGGGACACCAGAAATGAGCTTCACACATTGTACCCACGTGGGGAATCGAACCCGGGTATTCGGCGTGACGACCGAACGCTTTAACCATCAGGCTACCCCACTGCCCCGGCTAGACTCATGATTGGAGAATGATGGAGTTGCATATTGGGATTGCAGTTTCTGTAATTCCAGGTATTCTAATAAAGCGAATGAATCTGATATAGAGGGTGAGGTATTCGCAAAAGGTGTGTGAGCTATTCTTCATAGGGTGAGGTATTCGGATAAAGATAAACAAGTATTCTGATATAAAGGGTGAGGTATTCCGATATCATGTGTGAACTATTTATATAGAGTGTGAGCTATTCTAACATAGAGGGTGAGGTATTCTGATAAAGAACAAACGGTATTCTGATATAAACGGTGAAGTACTCTCATATCATGTGTGAACTATTTATATGGAGAGTGAGATATTCTAACATAGAGGGTGATGTATTCTGATAAAGAGAATACGGTATTCTGATAAAGAGAATACGATATTCTGATATAAACAGTGAAGTACTCTCATCGATCAGATATTCTAACATAGATTTATATTCTGATAGAATACGGTGAGATATTCTGAACATAGAGGGATGAGATATTCTGACATGATGATGTATTCTGATAAAGAGGATGAGATATTCTGACATAGAGGGTGGGATATTCTGATATAGAGGGTGGGGTATTCCCTACTACCCTCACCTCCGCCGCCGCTGCCTTCTCCTCCTCCCTGTCTCTTCTGCTCAGCCTCCGCCATCTCCACACACCACGCCTTGGCGCACTCTTCATCCTTCCCTGCCATCCTCCAGAAGAAGTCCTTCGTCACGAACGTCGTGATGCTAAGTTTACCCCTGCAATACCATTTGATTATCATTTTACCGGTTGTGAAACTGTACACACGACATTGTGTGTTGTTGTTGTTGTGTGTGTGTGTGTGTGTGTGTGTGTGTGTGTGTGTGTGTGTGTGTTTAGCTGATACCAGTCAGATCGACATTTACGTCGTACCAATTTGAGAGACCAGGTGCAGGCACATTGTCACCATTCATATTGTTCATTGCATACAAGGTAAAGGGAGGCTTAAGACGCCACATTTGCTGTATGGACTTGCTCCCCTTACACATGCCAGGATCCGCTATTCATTGGTTAGAACCTATGGTTCAACATAAACTATAATCCTTCGTGCAAACACTCGCACGAGTCAAGCCTGTATGACAACAGGGATGATTATACCTTTCCAACAGTCACCTTTCCCGTCATGTCGAGCAATATTCCAACAGCCCCAGCCTTTAAAGTTAACAAGTCACAACTTTTGAAGTAAAATCGTGCAAGCTCTTTTTATACAAATACCTTTTTACCTGAGCGGCGTAGGACTCTTGCTCGGAAGTTGTTCGGTCACGTTTACAACATTCAAGCCCTCAGTAAAGCTTTCAAAACGTTTCATGGGAACATGGGAAGGACATTTCAAGATTTGATGCATCAGTGACAAAAATTATTTCCGACGAAATTCCTCAATTTGACTTGCACCATACGCTTTTTGTGTGTGTGTTGTTGTTTTTTGTGTGGTTTTTTTTCAGGTGAGCAATTGACTAGCCTTTTCTATATGTTTATGCCGGAGGCAGGATAGACTCGCCTGTTCGCAAACACCTGGTATCATCACTATTTGATAGTGAGACATAACCACATGATCTGTCATTGTATTTCATTATGTCAGTCACTGGACTGTCTGGTCCAGACTCGATTATTTACAGACCGCAGTCATAGAGTTGGAATAATCCGGAGTGAAGCTTTAAACAAACAAACAAACAAACAAACACATGATCATAATATAGTCGTAATCGTACAATCGACTCTGCTGACTCTGCTCAGATTTCTTATAAATGTCGCTCTTCATTTGTAGCTATTATTCTTAAAAAAAGCAGCAACATGGTGTTGCACACCTTAGCCGCGCCAGGATCCGCTTATTGTGGATTCCAGCTTCTGTTTTACACAACTTACGAGCCTTGGTATGTCTATAAAGACAACTGCTACAAAAGTCATCCCAGGCTTCCCTTGTACACTGAACTGCAGCTTGATATACTAGTATCCAAACTATTGTAAACCAAGGCATAAACCGACATCAGTGACGTCAGTGAAACAACTTGACGGTGGGACCTACTTACTTGGCATCCTTTTTGGCCGCTGCATACACGCCAGTGTTCAGCTTCTCGTAGGCTGGTTTAGGGACGACTTCTTACCCCCGAGCCCTTTCGGACGCCCCTACGGAACGCGGCCTTCACCATCTTAATGTCCGCCCAGTCGGACACGTCTCCTGTTGGTCCTGACATCCTCGGTTACTGTGAACATAGATATGTGTTCTCATAATATGTGTCGGTTGTCCAGCAAAGTACCACATAAAGGGTTACTGAGTTAGATCAGCCAGACCACAAACTTGCCAGCCCTGACCAAAACTTACCTGCCCGCAAATAATTTAGGTTTGACAAGCGACGTAGTTTATCGTCCAATTGGAATTCATCATTTATTTTTACGAGTGAATTGATAATGATTTATTATCCTGAAATATGATGAATATCTTCATATATATGTCTAAATTTTAACCCGACCTTTGGGCAGGTGAATTTGAGAATCTGGCAGTCCGTGTTGAAAATAACCCGTCCCGGGCGGTCGGGCAGGCAGGTATTTCGAACGCTGAAGAGATATGTGTTCTCACAGTGTGTGTCGGCTGTGCCACAAAGTATAGGTTCTCATAAATGATCTCTATCGGTTACTGCAGCAAAAGATATGTGTTCTCATAATATGTGTCGGTTGTGCCACAAAGTATAGGTTCTTATAAATCCCTATCGGTTACTGCAATAAGGTATGAATGTGTTCATTGATAACTGCAACAAGCGATATGTGTGTTCATAGCCCATATCGGTTACGGCAACAACAGATACGTGTCCTCAAAACGCGAGTCTGTTACTTCAACAACATATCTGTTAGGGCTCGATTAAGCGCTTTGTTACTTGCACTAGTACAATCAAATATTACAAAGTGCAACCTAGTTATTAGTCTAACTTGCACCAGGTGCAAGTAAACTTTTGTGTGGGTAAACTTCTAAATAAAACATCTAAATAATTCAATAGCATATTTCTTTTATAACATATTGCAATAAAAGCAGTGCCATTGGAATTTGGCTGGTGCAACTAGGTTTTTATGTTAGGTTGCACCTGATGCAAGTAGGTTAACATCTCTTAAATCGAGCCCTGTCTGTGTGTTCATAACCACTATCGATTACTGCAATAACAGATCGTGTGTTCTCATAACCACTATCGATTGCTACAACAACATATCCGTGTGTTCATAACCCCGATCGCTTACTTCAACAACCGATCTGTGTTTTCACAGCACGGACAAGCCATGCCCATATTACGACTTTCAAGAAGTACTTGGAGCCGACAGCAACCAACCCTGTCACCAGGACAAAGTGTAGATAGTAACAGTATAACGTTACCCTGCGTCCACAGAAACAGACAGCTGGGAGTGGCGTCACATTGTATTTCAAATTCGGAGCTGTGTTTCCAGTAGTTCACCTTACAACGCACATTGCAACCATACACAAGACTGCTTGTTTTGAAGCCCGTGGACAACGTAACCAGCAAGTGTACTTACTTGCTGGTAACGAACCACACCGCACTTTGACACAACTCATTAAGATTTAGCATATCTTAAAAAGCTTTGTACCCTGATGAAAAATCAATATGGGTAGGTTGTATCTGTAGTTGGCTCAAGTGTTTACAACTTGGTTTTGTTCAAATTACACCTAGGAACATACAGTGGCTACATTTAGCCTGAGTGTGACCCGGGGCGGTGGGGTAGCCTAGTGGTTAAAGCGCTCGCTCGTCACGCCGAAGACCTTGGTTCGATTCCCCACCTGGGTACATTGTGTGAAACCCATTTCTGGTGTCCCCCGCAGTGATATTGCTGGAATATTGCTAAAATCGACCTAAAACTAAACTCACACACTCACTGTATGTGACCCGCATCAATGGTGAGGTCACACGAGTGATGATAGTGATGATAATTGTATTATTATTTTTAAGACTTATGTAAATCCTAACAGTACAACGATTCGTTAGCATTTATAAAATATAGTGGTAAATGATGCCAGTATATCCGTTAATTCCATATGACT